GGGCCAAGGCAATGCTAAGGCACAATCTGGAAGTATACTTTTTGTCTACTTTGCCTGGTGGGGAGGTGCAACCACCCTGACGAAGGTTCTGTGTAAGTGACTAGCCTGTCGCAGTCGTCGTTGTCGAGAATGCAGTATTCGTACAGATAGACAGCGATTGCGTTATCTCTGCCTCACCCAGAGGACCCTATGAACGACCGGCTCGACGCTGTTCCTTTACAGAAAAATGTTTGATATCGAGAGCATTTGGCGAATTGCGTCGACGGCTTGTGCGTCTGTGCTCTTGCCGTGGCGCTCTGTCGGGGGTGTGTGCAGCGAGTGAAGTTGGTATGGGTGGGATGAAGTGCGCCAGTGTCGTTCCAAAGAGACTGAGAGTTGTGGGAGTCGTGGGGAGCAAGCCGCAGATGAGAAGCGGGAATAGGAGAGTGCGGAGGAGATACGTGTAGGCTGTCCTGTGGTAGGTATGCGTAGGTAATGAGGGTTGTAAGGGTTGCTTGCTCGTGGAGGTATGTCTTTGATCGCCGTAGCAGCAGAGGCAGGTCGCGGTCGTGGTAATGGTATGGTAGGGTAGGCAAGCGGTGGTGACGGTGGTTCTCGCTCGAGGTCGAGGTCGAGGTCGAGGGGATCCAACTTTTGCGTGAGGTGGACCGTGGAGGTGGTGGGCGACGGAATTAACCTGGAGGGCGGGATGCAGGCTAGCGGACGGGCGGGCGAGCGAGCGAGAGACAAGAGAAGGGAGGCCCCTGCCGGTACGTCTTCCTGTTAGGCCGGTTTTCTTGGTGGCACAGGCTTTAGAGGGGATAACGGCGTCAGGAGAGGGTGCGGATTGGTCCAAGGTGGTGGTAGCAGTGCGACCGGGCTCAGGGGTCTTGTAGACTTTCGGCGATCGTTGGCACCGTTTGAGGGCTGGTGCTTGCCAGGAGGCGCGTGTGGTGGACGGTGGTGTCTCTCTTTTGGATATCGGCGTGGGCTGTCGTCTGCCTCTTGTCTTGCCAGTCTGTCCGTCTGTGTCTTTTGGGGTACGGGAGTAGAACCGTAGAAGGGCTGCGCGTGTGCTATTGTCTGTGCGTGTGTGCGTGTAAAGTGCGCGTAAACTGGAAGAGCGTGTGTAAGAACCGTGCGGGCCGAAGGTGTCTGCCCGGTTTTTTTTGTCTTTGTACGAGGTGTGAAGGTAGTTGTAGGGAGTACGAGCGCGACATATGCCTACCTACATATGCCAGAGGAAACGTCGAGGGGCGGAAGAAGGAATGAGAATGGGAATCTGGTGAAGTGGAAAGAGAAGGAGAGATACGAAATGTCGATGTGGGGTTGCTGGTGACTCCAACGGTATCTGGGTGACGGAGGGGAGGAGCAACAGAATCTGTACAGATTTCTCGGTCAAGCGGTTCGGTTGGGCGAGGACGGGAGCATCAGTAAGGTGAAGGAGATGACTGGGACGGAAATATCCAGACACTGTGGGCAATGGAAGACCTACCTTGGTAATTAGGTAGGTACCTACGAAATTGGGAATGAATTGGCCAGCAAAAATGATGCACCGTCGTCGCACTTTCCTTGAGATTTGAATGTCCTTCCTGCCCCCATACTCCGTACTCACGAATAAGTACCTACCTTCTGTGTGTTGAGGTGCTCTTGCCCTGCGAGTATTCGTACCTGCCAGCACTACATCACTGCATGGTACTTTCCTGCCCTCGCCAATCTGAGTTCGACGTGGGAGGCAGCAACGACAGGGTGGAGTCGGCCTTTTCGAAACAGGAAAAGAAGGAACAACGCAGATTGCAGATTCACCTTCCTTCCCTCCCTGAAGCACCTGCCATCAGCAACAGGGAGCTAAATGCCCGTACCTTGGCCGATTCCTTAATGGGACCGAAATGGAAGGAAGGCATTGGACGAGCCAGGCATCATTGCACTGTACGGGAGCCATATCTGCAACACTGTCCACATGTGCCTCGTGCAAGTGGTAACTGCATCCTCCTCCCTTCACGCATATCCAAGCCCTGAGCAATGTACCTCGCCTTACAGATACCTCGACTGACTTCTTCGTCTTTTTCTCGGTAAGCTTTATTTTTGTCATCTTTTTTTTTTTTTAAATTTTTTTTTTGAGCTTTTGCTTTTTGCTGTTTGCGTCAAGCAATAGTTGGAGGAGCAGCTGTGGATGCACGTGTGGAAGATAAGCACGTAAGGTAAATTCGATCAGCGGCATCCCCTCCACCCCTTTTGCCCATGTTCTAATTGCACGAATACTGATGCTTTGAGGATGCTCGATGCATCTCGCTACCATGTGGATGCCGGCGCACGCATCACCAGTATTGTCCCTGAAGAACCAAGCCAAAGGATGAAGAAACCTCTCGAGTCCGCCGCAGCAGCCCGGCATGCATCGTAAGCTGCCGCCGCTGAAACTTGGGAGGATTGGGAACGGGGTCATTGCATGAAGCTAGACAAGTGTGTGCCTCGCCCTCGATGCGCCTTTGCAACCGCTCGGGAAGACGGCATCAAGTGTCGGGTGGGATACCTTCACAGCATGTGCTGCGCGCACTCTGCACCTCGCGCCTCGCGCCTCTGACATCGACTTTTGCGGGACTACGAATACCTCATTGTTCTGCCTCTCCTGTGCGCCTTCGCCCGCCGAGTGTTGGACAGAGTCACAGACAGGCACCCACGGCACCACCTTGGCTCCAACAAATCTGTCGGCCCTGATCTACCACGCGAGACCACAGACCAGATGAGGCCATGTGCCCATCACGCCGGTCAGTTGGCGGAAACCAAACCAAGCTGCATAGAACGTTAGCCTACCAACCCACTCATCTTGCCTTACCAGACCGGACCCGGTACTCGTACGTAGCAGCACCCACCATTCTCGACAACAATTCCGTCTCCAAGTACCTACGGATACCTCGTGTGCTTATCCACCAGCCCAGCAGCATGGGGCAAGGAACACCGCATCCGCATCCGCGAAGCAAGGGACCCGACCAGACCCTTATGCCCGTGCAGAGCTGCGATAGCGTGACCCAGGACCTGGACATGGGCTGCTGCCCACACGGGGTATTCATTTCGTTTCTGTAGGGCTCTATCTCACTCCTCCGACGGCTTCCAAGTTCCCCCTCCAAGTGTCAACCTGCGGACAAGGCCAACAACTTTCTACGACGCAGACAAAAGATGGTGTCGACGCCAGCCCTGTCACCTCTCCGTACGCTTCTTTTCGATGAAACCCCTTGCTCTTGTCAACTGCACCGCTGCATCATGGACCGTCATCGTGCGTCCGCCGTCAGGAAGTGCAAAATACTCTCCATATCGGAACCTTGGTTGGGGGGAGCTGCTAGCTAGGTACCCGTAGGCCGTGTCTGGTCACGGCTGGAGGATACATGCACTTTGTCGCTCATGGTCCTTGGGGCTCGACTGCCAAGATCCTTGGAGACGCCGACGATATTCGGATTGCCCTCTCACCTATGGATATTTTTCCTGCTCTGACCCGACAACGTTGTATAATTTGAGTTCTGGGTAGTTGAGTCTGTGCCGCGTCTAGACATCACCAGCCATCCTGCCGGCAGTCAAAACGTCCTTCACCCGTTCCCGCCTCACACAATCACATTCTGCATGCGCCGAGGCGCAAGCCTGCTGGTGCCGCCAAATGCAGATAATCAAACTTCTGCGGTGAGACCCCCCGAAAGCCTTTAGCAGACCACACATATACCTGCAGGCAAGTATCTACATGGGCGCACTCTTTGGTTACGGGTATGATATGCAGTCGAGACTTTGGCACCTCGAGGTTCTGCTACGGCCAGAGCAGACGTGATAGCAGCCCAGCCGGGAGGTTGAACGAGTGGATGCCACCTATCAATCGCGATGCTGGCCGACTTGTCATCAAGGCTGCCAGGTTGTCTCTTGAGTGTGGGGGTGGCTTCGGAGCCCGCCAAAGTTGAAAGGGGCTTGGGAAGCGTGTCTCTATCCATCACACTCGAAGACGGAGAAACCTATTTGGACTGCAAAGCAATACGCCTGACACCGTCTAGCAAGGGAACTGGCAAGCTACAGATGGAGCGGTTTCGAGAAGGTATGACGGCTTTGGGCCCTGAATCCACGTCAAGCACAGCACAGCGTATCCCTTACTTTTCTCAACCTGCAGATCGGCCCTGAGAGTTGTGGCATCATTTCCCTCCTTCTTGGACACTTTCTTTGCTTTAGATTGCTGCGTTTACTTTGACAGAGTCCCCCGGCACTGCTGACTGACCGGTTCTCGTACCTAGTCACTCACGCCGACCATGGCCAGCCTCCCACGCTGACGCTAGAGCAAGACTACGGCTGCCCATTGGATTGCCCGAGCAAGCTCCGATTTTCCGGCTCTCAACACGACGCCACTCTTTTTCCAAACCCCTCCGGCCCGGGGGTTGCCTCTGGCTATGCCGGACAGAAACCAATGGATCGGTCTTTGCCCCGACCCAACTCGTCCAGTCTCGACCCCGCCGACTTATCAAACATGGCTCTTCCCTGGAATGGCAGTGCGCCTTTCATTGGGCATCTTCAAACCCTTGTTGTTCTGCAACTCTGCTCGCCGCTGATACAGTCCAAAATCCGAAGAAATTCAAAGAGCTCCTCGCCTCGCAAGCACATGCTCTCAGCCAGCCGATGACCTGCAGGCTTGTACGGGCACATCTTGCACCTGAAGGCGGAGAGACCTCAAGCGGGTGCAAGGCGCAAGGTGCACGCGTGCGTACTCAGACCCCCTCGCATCACTCTGGGTCAATTTGGTGGGTTCACAAGCTCTCCTACTCTTGCTAGACGTTGACAGACGGATAATCCCCTCTGCGCTGGGTCGCCAAAGACGATTTGCACGACAGGACCTTCCTTGCCCAATGCAGCCCTAGCTTCTCGCTCCCTAGCTCGCTCGCTCGATATCGAAGCCGCTCTCCGGTCCGCGCTTATTCGTATGCGGTCAGTCCGGGGGATTACACTCTGGGGTGAGCTGTTGTGAAGAGAAAACTCTCTCTGGCCAACGCTGGAGGCTTCCCGACTGCTCTTACCATTGTTTGTTTGTTTCGCCCTCACAAGGAAGGCTGAATCAGAGCAGGGACTACTACCAATATCTTGAAGCAACGAACTTGTGGCATTGCTACAACACTTGTTGCCCTCCTCCAGCGGTTGCTTGCTCGCGGACAGGCGGGTATGGCCAGCTCGTCAGGTCGTTGTGTCAGTTTGGCGTGCTACCGGCACACTCTATCGACTTCACCACCTTCATCAAATATTCTCACAAATGTCGGAAGCGGGCAATGTTTCCATCTTATCAAAATACTCAAGTTGCAACTCGAAGCCTCGCGCTGCTCTCTTTCCCATGACACCAGCCATCAACCTCACGGATATAAGCTGTTTCAACTGCCGCGCGAGGTAGACACTGCAACACTCAAGACTCTACGAGAGTTCCTCCCTCACTTGATCTCTAGAACTTCGTCTTGGCGTATTCAAAACCACAGCTTCCTAACAGCGTCTTTCTCCGGGTTCCCCCGGACGCCTGTAAGGTATTTATCGGTATTGTATAAGGACTTTATCACATTGCAGAGCCTTGCCTTCACACTCTCTTTCTTAGACAGATTCCGCGATATGTCTAAAACACTCTACATAGTCACGTTTGGTGTCTGAGTTAACGTCTTACCGCGGTCCGGTCATCACGTCTGCGATGTAATGCTCTTTGCTGACATCTGGTTTGGCCCCTCATCCGCTCACCATCGCATCAACAACTTGAAGGACCATCCTACCCCGACAGAGAGTACAATTAGTTGGATGGAATGACAGGTTTTAGCCAGAAAAAATCCGAGAGCCACCTCGCTTTCGCCCTTTCACAAAATTAGCGAACGCTCTGAATACAGCAATACCAGAAGGACCAGCAGGTCAGAGATACGAGGCTGGGAATAGAACTGTGTGTCACAAACGAATCAACCTTCCAAAAGCTCAGGTACCGCATTTATCTTTGGAAAGGGATCCATGCTATCTTTGCCGAGCTTTCCCCTGCACTCTTCAGCATATGCCGCTCTACACTTCGTTCCCTACTCCCGGAGGGCCTCGAAATGCACACCAGCAATTCTTAGGTTGTATCGAAGCAACAAAGGGCACCCATGCTTTCTTCGGGCAATTAGCTACTCGTCAATTTGAGTACTGGTTAGTGGTAGCCAAAGACCCAAGAGAAGAGCGCGAGCTCTCAAGACGTACTGACTATTCTTCTCCATGGCCCAGTGCAATTACAGATACGAACGCAAACGACAATCACAAGCTTACCAGGAGCGTAGTTGCTCTTGTAAACCATCTATTTCCAAAGGCTGTCGATTCACCTCTTATCTCTGAAGCCACCTGCGTAGAGCGGGCGAATCTTCGACAGTTCACCTCCTTGAGGCTCATCTTGTGTACTGTTTTGTCGCGCTGGGGTTACACAAAAGAACAGACTTCGCGGTTGACCATGCGCAGGGAACGTTCGAGGAACTCCAGCCTTGCATGAGTTCGCCTTTTGTGCTTTTCTCTCTGAACTTAAAGTTCAAGCGCCGTGGGTTTTGACCTGTCTCTCTGCAACTAACCTTCATCGCTTCAACAGAGTGAATTTGATATTCCTCATCAACGCGGCATCGACGAAAGATCCTAAGCTGTCAACAGAAGTGCGAGGTGCGTCGACAGCTTACGAGGAGTCAGGTCCGACATTGAATCTTCACATAAGTACCAAGTCCAAACGATACTCAGGGTAAACCACTTTCTCATGTGTCACCCATTCTGATATCTTTCTGTTCCCTGAACGACCGAGTACGTCCTTTGTTCGTCAGCCAACCATTGAAAAGTCAAATCACGCACAGCAGAGATGACTTCAAGAAAGTAAAGTCTCATTGGCCGGCAACCCTGGAAAGTACCACTTGTCGTGCATGGGGCTACTGTACGGATGCCATGGCCAGTCACTTCCGGATGCAGAATCCTGAAACTAGCAAGGAAGATGCAATGTTGGGACGAATTCAAGCGCTCAGCGTTTGGAGAGATGGGTCCAAACTTTGCTTCTCGCATAGCACTGGGCAGAGCACACCGGCGCATTCTAATGTCTTCTGAGCGACCCTATGCCGACTTGGATTAGCGGCCTGGGTGCTGTCTAGGACGACATGGACAGGATGAGAAATACCCATAAGCAAGCCCCAGTTTGACTCGGTAATTCGTAACCTCATGAACATACACCAGGCCGTCGCGGCTGGTTGAGGGTGAGGAGGTCTGCCAATCATGACTTCTCTTCACTACCGAGACCAACAACGATATGCTGTCGGCATGTGTCCCGCTCCGGCTAAGCCAGCTACACCGTCAGGCCTGGGCCTTGGAGGCTCGGTCTGACATCTGTCACTTGTGAATGATCCGCAACGGCGCATCTCTATCCGCAGCGGGGTACTCACAAACTGACACCGAACGCTGGCTATTGCCTCTGTATCTTCGATCTGAATTCTACACAATTTCCATACAAATTCGTTAATCCTGGGTCTCTTGAAGGCCGAGTGAAGCAGCCTCGGTTCTCCCGTAGCACGCAGTCGACCGTCACGTGTCACATTTTTAGTGACTGGATTCTCAGAGGTGATAGTAACCTTCTATGGCCGTTGTATCAGGTCGAGCTCAATTTGCCGAGGAGATATGGAGATGCGATAGGTTACAAATAGCAGCCACCCACAATTACCAGCACGACGAGAAGGGTTGTCACAGCAGCGAATTTTTCTCCGGCCTTTAAACTCTAGATGCTGAAGGTGAGAGACACTGCGAACAATGACGAAGTATGAGCACATTCATGAGGGGGGATTCGACCAAGCAGAAGCGCTAAGATTGAATGATGGCGGGGTCGACTGGACTGAAAGCGGCCCAAGACGAAGGAATGGAGAGTCAGGACCACCCAACGGGGAGGGTGTCTGCCAGGAAGACTTCCGATACGATGGAGTCGCCTGTCCCACCGTTCACAAGAGGGGTCTGCGGGGTTCTTGGGAAAGCTTGGCGCTGTCGATTCTCACGAACTTGCCCAGATGACTGCCGACGTTGGAAAGCCTACGGAAACCCGCTGATATCCTACGGGACCTGTTCTCCCCTTGTCCGGTTCCATGTCCTTCCCGTGCCACTGATCTCGGCCGGGCTTTCCATTGAAACATCAGATTCGAGGTGAGACCCACTCGAAGCGTAAGAGATACACGAGCAAATGAGCCAACATCAGAATGTGGCTGGCTGAAGTTTGGCAGGTGCGTTTAGAAGCCAATGCTATTGCTTGCGTTGTCTTGCAAAGGACCGGAAGAGCTAATTCTCAAGCATGTTGGAAAGAGTTTGGAGTATTTGGGAACTGAAGCGAACAACATCTCTCAACATTGGACAAGACAGGCGTTCGGGTGGCCGAAGCGCCGAGCCGCCGCCAGGCCCAGGCTGGACGGTATTTGTTTGCGCAGAGCAGAGCCTGCATTATCATTACAGATCCTGCCCGATCACAGGTCAGCCCAACATGAACACTTCAGGTTCCGAACGATGGTATGCGCAAGACAATCGGAGCGCGTCTGTTCCGTGATTCTGGGCCGCCGCGCTTCCAAAGGCCCAAGGAGCTGGTCTATCCACGATCCACTGCCAGCGTTGAAAGCACTCCCGGGTGCCCATGAAGCCACGGTAATAGAGGCGCGGCCAACTCTGCCCGCTCAAAGTCAAGGTCATCTGACCTCTATGGGAATCTCTGTCCCCTCGCCAATCAACCACTCGGGGGGCTTCCGCGGTCTTGGGCAGACAGGGTTGCCTGGCCGTCAGAAAGTCTTGCTTTTTGCTCAGGCAGGCTATCTCGAGGATTAGGTCTGTTTTCTGTAAGTGAGAAGAAGGTCAAAGCAAGGGTCTTCTCCAACGACAAAAATCTGTGCCTGTGAGAGCAAAAATATGCCTTCCCCAAGCTTGTTTTCTTTCTTCTTTCTGTCATCAACAAGCGTGCGAGCTGCAGCACACCAAACAGCACTCATCCGAAAACCGCCGCAACCATACACCCTCCTCGCTCTCCTTCCCATCGAGTCTAAATTTGGACCACACACTTTTGGGAGACTTCACGGGCAGCAGCAACTATAGGCAGGCCCCGAGACAACCGAAACATTAGGCGGGGGTGGAGGGGGGCAGGTTTGGTGTTAAGGGGGTGTGCGCGACAAGCCTGGCACGGAGCCCACAGAGCCCCATGCCACACTGCGTCTGGGGTTTTATCTCCAGGGTTAGCTTTTTAAACCTCGTCCTGCTTGTCGACGTGCAGGTGCTTCAGTCTTTAAGCAAGTGGCTGACTACGAATACTAACTATGGATATACAGATACAGAGTAAGGATACTCAGCCCGAATACAGGCTCCGAACACGGGCTCGACGCCCGCTGGGCCCCTGCCGCCGCGTACCTATCTGCCCGTCTAGGTCAAGCGGCTCCGGCGAGAGTTGCATGAGGTGCTATTTTGTTTCCCCTGACTCGAAGTTGTTCATATCAAAAGAGTTTCTTCAAACGTTCCCCCACTAGTCCAACGGATCGGGAGAGCACCTTTCAGTGAAGCTCCGGCGCCCCGCTCCGTGTTTTGCTTCTCTGCCCGACCGAATGTGGTCCTTGAACATCGCGCCGGTCACCGGGGCGGAGACGAAGACCTCCTTTGATGAAAGATCCGTCGTCAACTTTGCACGACAAACTGTGCCTCACCCTCCCCCCTCCTCCGCCCCTTATTTTTCCCACCTTTCGCGCGCAACTTGATGCAGGGACGGGAATCCTGCCAGCCGAGGCGACACATGGCTCGGGTCTTGTAATTCAGCCGCAGCGCGCTACGGTATACGGTGCTTACCTTATACCTTACAGAGTGACCTGGCGGCGCTGTCAAATTCTTACCCGACGGGGCACTTTGGCCGCGTCAGTCTCAGTTCCAAGTCCACTTCTTTTCTATCGTTTCCAGCCCTCGCATCGCGTGGCTTGTTAGGGATGATTTGACATATGTAATCTGAACACCTGGCTGGTCTTTAAGAATGTGTAATACTAATAAAACTGCCTCTTCATATGACCCCTTTTTCTGCTACATACATGAAAAATTCAAACACATCTGAAAATCTTACCTACTACTGTCTTGACTTGATCTGCTTCACTCATCACAAAAGTCACCCCGGGACGTTGCTCATCGACTACTGCAACCTCCCGCATCTCAACAAAAAATCACAACGTCTCACAACAGCGTGGTCACAGCCGCGTGTAACTCACCCTCCCCTCTCCTCACTCACTCGCCGCTCACCGCTCTCACGCGCCTGCGCCTGCGCCGTTCCATCCTCCCGCGTTTCCATCATGACAGTCGCACAGGGTTACCACAACCTCATCCCCGTCACGAACCTCTCGCCACCCATCGACACAACGCAGCCCTACGACCCCTCCACCCTCGCCGGCAAGACCGTTCTCATCACCGGCGGCGCCCTCGGCCTCGGCGCGGCATTTGCGAGGGAGTGGGCCTCGCACGGGGCTAATGTTATCGTTGGTGATATCAACCCGTCCGCGGGCGAGGCACTTGTCGCCGAGCTTCGCGCTGCGTATCCGAAACGGGGAGGCGAAGGAGTAAAAGGAGATGGAGGAGGTGGAGTAGGAGGAGGATCGCACCACTTTGTCACCTGCGACGTTACCTCCTGGGAGTCGCAGGTAAACTTCTTCAAAGAGGGTGCGCGCCTCTCGCCGAGCGGCGTCATTGACGTCGTCGTGGCCAACGCGGGCGTCAACGAGCCTGGTGCAAACGGGCGCTTTGAGATGCCGCAGGCTTCGAGGACGGACCCTGACGCGCCGCGGGAGCCGTCGACCAAGATTATCGACGTCAATGTTACGGGGTTGTCGTATACGACGCACCTCGCCCTCTTCTGGCTTCCACGGAACGGGAACGGTGCTGGTGGCGCCGGTGGTTCTGGTTCTGGTTCTGCCCGCGACAGGTGTCTGTTGCTCGTCGGCTCCGTTGCCGGCGTGGGACATTTCCCGGGCCAGGCGCCGTATACCATGTCGAAGCACGCCGTTACGGGCTTGTTCCGGGCGATGCGCGGGACGGCGTATATGAGGCACCAGGTGCGGATGAATATGGTGTGTCCGTACTTTGTGAGCGGCAGCCAGATGTTTCCTGGGGCGGCGGAGGCGGCGTTGCTTGGGGGCGGGGCGGGCGGGGCGCAGGAGAGGGATGTGGTTGATGCTGCGACGAGGCTTGTTGCTGACGAAGGGGTTGTTGGGAGGGCGCTGCTTGTTGGGCCGGAGGTTGATGCTTTGGGGTTGATGGAGGGAGGTGAGGACGGGGAGGGGGGGATGGTGGGTGGTGAGAAGAAGGGAAAGGTTGCGGTTTGGGATGTGTATGCGGAGGATTATAAGGATTGCGAGGCTTTTGTATGGAGGTGGATTCGGGTGATGAATACAGTTGAGTATGTTAGGGGGTGGACTGGGTGGATTGGGGATGTGTTTTCGATTCTGACGAGGCCTGTTCGAGGGGGAAGGTGAGTGGTTGTCTGGCGTGGTCACCATGTGTTCGTGTTACGGTGAGGGCCAAGGGTATATCAACTGAATGTAGTCAGATCAAGTGGCTGAGAGGGAGAGATCTAGGTAAGAGAGAGATGTCAGCGGGCCTTAGTCCCCTTTAATGTAACGTCAGATGTCAGGACGATGCGGCAGACGCCCTAAGCTGATGAGTCCAATCTTGCTTGGAGATCCTACCTCGAGCAGAAGTTGGCATGCGGAAGGTGAAGATGAAGGGAGGCTGATACACAGGGGCTCATGATATGTGATTGTTTAGATAGGTTGCCAGTCGAAACAGAGATGACAGAGTTGCGGATGTAGTCCCTTTAGAAGCAAAAGGATATTTGCCATGAACATATTTGGGAATTCAGTTTTGATGTTGAGAAGCCAGTTTTGACATCTCTCTCGGAATGGGCACTTGCATGAATACTGCATCTATTGTCCTCTATGAGAAGACGATCCAGAGTTCCCCGCAAGCTACTTCATGATATCAAGCTTGTGATGGAATTCTGAAAAACGAGTCGAACCTCCACGTTCCTGTCTATTTCGTTTTGAGTAACGAGTGGTGTATCAATTTCTCTGAATAGGATAGACAAGTTTCTCAACGGCCTCATATTACTACAGGAACCTCGATATAGTTCTAAGTCACGACTCACGGCTTGATGTTCTTGTCTGCTTTCATTAGATACTTGTACCATTGCCCCGTGAAAACAAAAACGGCCGAGACCTCCATGGCAAACCCTCGCGATCAACGTGTAGACTATAATCCAAGTCCATCTTCAACTGTCTTGTCAGTCTCGTTCTTCAGGCAGTGCTCGTTTATTAAGGACGATACTAGCCAGAGATTCACACTGCAAGGCTGCCAGTATAATTACCCTTAGCAAGGCAGCTAAACAGCACCACTACCAACCTCACTGACTATCTAAGCCTGAACGCCGAGTCTACTCGCCACAATTCTTGCCAGACATGTTCTGGAAGCGGTGATCTTTTTCTGTCCAATCTCCAGGTCATTGTTGCCGAGTGAGTTGCGGTGGGTTGTGTGCATGTGTAGGTATATGTTCTTAATGCTCTTATATCTTTCTATTATCCAAGATACAAATGCCAGCCGCAACATCCCACTGTGTTATTATCATATTATTCGTCGTAAGCGTGAGACAAATATGAACAGGATCATAGAAAGTGAACGAACACCGAGCCTTTGTCTCACTAGTTTTGAGCTTTGTCCCGTTCCTTCTTAACTTTTATATATTTCAAATCCACGTCTAAATATATAATGTCGAAGAAGAGTTGGATTGTACCGTGGCCCAGATGGCCCCCATGGCTTTGGTGGCCCTTACGAAGGCCTATGATTGGTTCTGTCGGCTGTTTGCTACCTATAGCTGCTATAGGTCTTTTAAACTTAACAATAGGGCCTTACTAACAGAAAGCTTTTCCTTCGCCTTGTTTGAATTGACTACTGATTGAGATGCTGTCCCACCTTAACCGGCCTTGCCCCAAATATCTCGAGTCTACACCTAGACTCGTAATGCTATAGAGAACATTCGTTATAAGCATAAGAAAAATACGGGCAGGGCAACGGGAAGTAAATAAACATCAAGGCTTTATCTCCCTAGTCGAGAGATTTGTCCCTCCTGCTTCGTTACTATCGTGATATTCGTTATTAGTACGAGACGAATACGAGCGGGGTAACGAGAAATGAACGAACGCAGAGCCTTTGTCTCTCCAGCAGAGAGCTTTTCGTATCTTCTTCAACTTTATTGACTCTGATCACTGCGGTTAACGCCCTCAAGCCTCCCCCCCCCCACCCCCCGGCTCTCATCAACAACGTAGGGGCATTCTGTCCATGCTACTGGGGTTGGTTAATTTCCAGCTGCTTGCCTTCTACCGTGGCGCCTTTTATACTCCGCAATGAGCAGGCCCAAGGCAGTAGCCATCTGGTCTTTCTCTTGTACTACACAATGTATGTGTCAATGAGGTAAGGGGGTGACGATGACAATCTAGAAACAATAATGACGGTGGTCTTCTACCAGATTGTAACACCCCGTACTCCGAAATTAATGACGGAGTCAGTATCTCCCATGACTACCTGAGACTATTGCTCCCCGTAAATGGATGGAATCCTCTACTATGGCTGGGCTTCGTCTAAATCACATGTTTCTGGGCAGCTATTGTCCCAAGGAACGGATCTAGATGAAGCTGCTCACCCTACGGGCTGATGATGCTGAATGAGCCCCCGCCTTGATGCCAATTGTGTGATGAAGCCAACATCTCGCCCGCCTTTTAAAAAGAAGAGACCCGGAACTGAACGCCAATTTAAAAGCAAAAGATTCGCTGTCGCTGCTCAATAAGACACTAATAGCAAACAGAGCGCCGAATGCTGCGGACCACACAACCTTTACCCGCTACCACTAGGGGAAGGACCAAGATTCATGGCCCCCTGAAACGAAGGATCGAGGTTCATCGTCGGATCCTGGACCTGTCCCAAATCAAACCCCGGTGTAGCGGCACCAGCCATACCATCAGGCCAGTCCATAGTCATCGTCGCCCACAGGTCATTATAAACAGGCTGCCCGTTCACCATCACCGGTGTACCATTCGGCGCCGGCGTCACTAGCCCATGCGTCCCGTCCCTACTCAGATCCTGGTCCCAAATCGGGAAATACTGATCCAGACTCCCGTCGAACATCGGACACCCGCGAATTGTCCGCGGCAGCTTATTCACCGGCGTCTCGATATTGGCGACGCGAGCTTCATACTTCCGCTTAACGACCGCAAAGACAACTTTACTGGCGGACAAGACGTCCATGGTACTCTTCGTCGCGGGCGTCAGCGTCAGCGCCTCGCTGTTGGCGCACAGGCGGGCGAGGTACGAGTCGAACTGCAGCTGCTCGCGGGCGCGGGCGTGGTCCCACTCCGGGCAGAGTGGCATCGGGAAAGAGAGGCGGATGGCGAGGATGACGGTCTGGATGAAGCGGCCCCAGTCTATGGAGCTGAGCTCGACGAAGGCGGCGGCGGGGAGGTTGGTTATGAAGTCGAAGAGGGTGCGGAGGAGGGTCAGGCACTTTTCGAGGCGGGGGGCTGGGATGGGAGGGCCGAGGTCGCTATCACCTATTTTTGCTGTTGAGCGGAGGGTGTAGATTGGGCTGGCGAGGAGGAACATTTCGGTGAATAGGTTTGCTAGCGTGAGGGAGTCTGGGACGGGTTGAGTTAGTATAAAAGGGAGTGTGAGTTGTCGGATGGATGAGAGAATGAAAGACTGACTGATGTCGCCGAGGCTGCTTGGTATCCGGCCTTGCCACTCCCTCAGCTGGCTCTCGAGCCCGAGAAACATGAAATGAACCTGCTGCTTCGTCTGCTCCCCTTGCGGTATCGTCTTTGAGATGGCAGCCGATTCCTCGGTAATGTGAACCAGCCTAGCGAGCCACGCGAGAGTGTGATCTCCCTTAAGCGCAGAGTTTTGCTCGAGCAGATCGCAGCAGGTGGCCGTCCACGATGTGTAGTCGAGGGCCAGGATCGCCATCTTGGCCCAGGCCATTGCGAATCTAGCATCGGTCAGAGTCGTGCGGCGGAAATACTGCAGAAAGGGCAGTACGTGCGCTGAGACCAGATAGTAGCAGGACACGTAGGCACGGATACCGTCCATTTGATCTGGCGCAGAGGACGACGACGACGACGCCGCCCCGCAACCAGCTTGTGAGCCTGCGCCTTGAGGTGGATGGTTCAGCTCGAGATCGTGGAGGATCTCGGCCGCCATGCGGACGTATTGGAAGGCTTGTTTGTTCTTTGGGCGGAGGTGAAAGGGATACCTGAATTTTGTAAGGGGGTTTCGCTCAAGAAACAGGAAAGGGGCGTGAGAATCTTTGCAAAGCTTACCATGCTGTGTAGATGAGCAGGCCTTGGAGGAGTTCCAGCGTCCGCTCGCCGCCAGCCACGAACTTGAGACCGAGGATCTTGCGGAACTCTTCATCGTAGAGGGTGTGGCCCTGCAATGCACTAGTAGCAGACGCCGTCGAGAGAATTGCGAGGAGCATGAACGGTTTCGTCTTTGACAAGGACGTGACTGTGGCGTCGGGCGGAAGTGCCACGCATGGGAAATGCTTGAGCATGACGCGGAAGGTCGACAGCAGCTTTTCGGCCGAGTCTAGGTTGAACTGCGGTTTGAGACCGAAGCTCGATACCGAGACAGACGGGCCCGAGGACGGTGGGGACGAGATGGCCGAGTGGGGACCGCTGCGGGAGCCGCCGTCGAGGCCGAACATCATGTCTATGGACTCTAGGTCGGACTCTGGGGGCAGAAACTCCTCCAAGTACTTGTCGTGGCGCGCGGCGAGGTTTTCAAGGTCGTCGGCTTCTTCTACTTGGGGCATCTCAAAGTCGATGCTAAATGTCTTTGAGGGCCCCGGTGGAGGGGGTGGTCTAGGGGTGTCCTGATTTCTGGTGCAGTGTACATGTGAGTATAGTAGGTGAGGCGGTAAACCCAGTAGGAAGTTGATTCATCATCCAAAAGGAGGCAGAGAGAACGGAGAGGATTGAGAGAGAGCTTACTGCTTAGACTGCCGTGGACGACGGGTCCTGGGCCCGGTGCGGAAGATGCATTCTCTCTTGAAGTCGAGACATCTGGGTTGGTTGGTCGGCTGGTGAGCATACGGACGAAACGACTTATACGCCGGGGCAGCTCGGGGAGTACCGCCCGGCTTAAGGGTGGCCACACACAACAAACCTTCGACATATTCCCAGCTGCACGCTGGTCTGGCACTTGACCTTGGCTGCCCTGCACGCTTCACAGGCATTGGTCACCCTCTGCCGCGGGTTGGCGCCGGCGTCAGGATCGGTACCGGGCTCCATGATGCGTTGGCGAAGCGGAGTGACGGATCGGGACTATGGGGTACTCGGGTATTCGGCCCGGAAAAGAGTAATGTGACAAGCACGAGTGCCGAATAAGTTTGCAGAAGAGCTTGGCAGGGAGTGTGAGAGAGATGGAGAGGTAGTGACTGGCGACCTCCCGTATCTGGACGAGCTGGGAGAGTAAAGTCAAGATCCACTGCCTACGAAGCTAGGTACGCCAAGCTAAGAGAAGACGGTGGAGCCGATAGAATGAGAGCGTTATCTGATCAGCTCAGAGCTCAGCTTGCGCCTTGGATGTCTTGCAGGTGAGCGAATGGGGGTGGGTGTAATTCCACAAGAACCAGAACCAGACCGTCCGGCACTTTGGGAATTTCGCGGGGTGAGAGAGACAAGGGTTGAGGAAAAGGGCGGCGAATGAGTCGAACGAGTCCTCCGACGACCTTCGGATGTTGTTGATTGGCCGGTGCCTTGGGGAACTGCATGCGTCAGGCTAAGCGGCTCCGCTCTTAGGGCGGATTCCAGGGGTCTTTTTTGGAAGTTTGGATGCTTTATCGAACCGGCTTAGGTGCCATGGTTGTGGCTTTGGCCTTGGTGCTGACGATAAGTTCCGAACCGCATCGGAGTCTTTGAAGGGCAGCGTGGCTTTCTGAAACGTCACCATGAGCCTCGTAAACCACTCACGAATACGCTCATTTGAGTTGGGAGGTTTGGTAGAATAATGCTTTGGTATTTGAATGGGATATGTTTGTTGTTGTAAGCCGACCTCACGGGCAAGATTCGCCTCGTAAGAAATGTCGCGCTGTACCAGGTCTAACTGAAAGTCTTCAAAGGAAAATGCCGATAAGCATCTCACTAGCGCTGTACATCTTTGATATCAGGATTGCTCCCCTTGAAGACGCGATCAAACGCGTCGTCAAGCCGCCACACAAACTTGGAGATGTCGTTGACGTGATACTTGGTCTTCTCATCGTTGTCGTAGACCAAGTGCTCCCCTTGAGTGCCGAGGTCGATGCCGAGTCCCTTCCAATTCGGGATGTGAACACCTTCTCGATGAGGCTGGAAATCCGAGCTGGCGCAGCGGGATGAACAATACACTATACTCTGTCCCAGCTGTTCTGCGCATTCTTCACAGATCACAGGCCCCTCGCCGCTACCGCCCATCTCCTCATCTTCCTCCTTGAGCTGGATGCATCCCTTCCCTGCCGCACAGCTGTGCGCCGTGTTGACGTGTTCATCCTGCATCTCATATTAGCTTATGATGAATTGGTGTAGTGGTAGAAAACGACTGACGTATGCCGCCTCGTAACACTTCTCCGAGTCGAAGACTGTCCTCTTAGTGAGGCTCAACTCGGCAAAGATCAAACACAGAGGGCACGCGACCACGTCCGACGAGACCTTGCCGGAGCATGCGAGGCACGGCGGGAGATCGTACAATTCCTTGTTGACTTGCGGTCCCTGAGGCGGGGGCTGCTGCCGCTTCTGAGCTTTCAGGAGCTTATCCTGCTCGTGTGCTGCTTGCGCCCTCTTAAGCTCGTTCAGTGTCCGCTTGTGCTTGTCCATGTTCCCGGCAGCGTTGGACCTAGCCGACTTGTCGGCCTGCATGGCCCCCATCACTTCGTCGATGGATGCTCCGGACCGCAGCTTCTCCACGTACTTACTGCATGATGCCGGAATTTCGCCCGTGCTCGGGTTGCGGAAGAAGACGTCAATGAGGACATCGGTCGCCTTCTCTGGCGGGAGGTCGTCAAATTTCGGTGCCAGCTCCTCCAAACCCGGTGCGTTGTTGGCTCCTCTACCGACTACTTTTCGAACATCCTCAATAAGAGCAGTGGTGGATTTCTGCTCGTCCTCCAACGAAGTCTGGAATTCGTCTTTACCAATTGAGGCCTCAGCGATCTGTCCCGCTACCGATTTGGGCAGAGTTTCGCGGTAATGTCTCTGCTTTTCCTTGTCGATCCGAGCCTCGATGGACTTGAGGTCTTCCGTAAAGTCTTTCAGCTTGGTGAATAAGCCATCGAGATCACTCAGGAAGGCCTTGTTGTCGGTGAACCACTCATCCTTGGAATCAGCATATCTGCTTCTCATCGTTTCCACAACCTCCCCGTAACAGTCCTTGCAGTGGGCAACGTGTGCCTTGCTGTGCTCCTCCGCGCACTTGGTCTTCAATTTTTCGATGGATTCGGCCTCATTTTTCTGCCGTTTCCGCTTGGCCTGCAGAGCCCTCTGCTGGATCTGAGTCTTGCTCATCTCGGCGTCGTTGTCGTGTTTGTCGTAGGCAACGAATGTGTCGATTGGGGAAGAAATAGGATTTCAACACCCCAAAACTGATTTGATAATGAGAGTAGTAGAGAATTTCAATGAGATGCAAGATTGTCTGTTTGATGGAGTTCCTTTGTTTACGTTGAGACGTAAGGTAGACGAAGGAGACTGAGAAGTCCGTGGTTGAGTTGGAAAGGAGTGGGTCTCCAAGGTGAAGGTAGCTTGGACGTGCACGTCCCTTCCAGCTTCGTTCGGTGAACGTCTGCCGAGCTTCAGCCGGCGCATCCATGGAAGAGTACCTAAGGTAAGGAAGGTACTGTGCATTGAAGCTTTTCGATATCGTAAACACCATCCACACTTTGGCTCAGCAACACAAGACAACATGGTATGTAGACTTGTCCGTAAAAATGTGGGAAGTATCTAACTATAGTGCTATGTAGGCCGATAAACTCCGCAACCAGCAAGAACTCGAGCGCCTTCAGGCCAAGTACGTTGGCACAGGACACCCCGATACGACGAGTTGGGAGTGGAAGACCAACATCTACCGCGACACGTACTCATCCATCGCCGGCCACCCCCCTATGCTGTCGTACATGGCGTTGGCCGAGAATGAACCTACACAGCTCCTGCGTGCGAGGTTAATCAGGGTATGTTCCAGCCTACCTACGTGCCCCAGGCGATTCGAGACGCGCCTGCTGACTGCTCCTAGAAAATGATGCAACCCGCCGGCCCACCACCACAACGCGAAGATTAACGATCAGCGACGACTACCGAAGCATAGATCTTGGAAGAAATATCTGGGTTTGCAAGGGCACTGGCGTTGGGGATATTGTGGTTCGGAATCAGTAATGGAGGGCTAGACACCCTCAGAAATCCATTCGCCGTTCTTTGGCTGTTCATAAATGCATACGCTCGGAATGCTTGCTACTTCTTGGGTATCCCGTTCCACCGAACATTGCGTCCCTAACCTTGGACCTCCTCTCTGTCTCTATGCCGCCACGCCTACCTCAATGCGATGGCCCAGCTTCGGCCTGTGACATATCCACATCGCCATCCCCATCCTCAGCCGGACGAATCCCAAAGCTCGCCCCAATCTTCTTCTCCAGCTCTGCATCAGCCTGCTCAGCCCAGACAGAACGCACCATGCCCGCCGCCCCCTCGGCGCCAATCTCCTCGAGCCCGCGCGGTCCAATGAGCCACGTGATATCCTCACTGCCGTCCTGCGCCTGCGTCGCCGCATTCTTCTGCACTTTCCGCACGACGTAGCCCTGTGTCTGCATGCGCTTTAGAACATCCTCCGTCCTCTCTACCGCCACGTTGGCCTCGGCGTTGAGGCGATTCAGGTGCCGGCGCAGTTTCTGCTCAGACAGCTCGCCGCCGCTGAGGAAGATGATGGTCACGATCATGGTGTAGAAGCCTACGTAGGAGGCTTCGGCGTCGGTGCTCGGTGCTTTTGAGGGGGCGAGGATGCTCGGGGCGCGGTATTCGGAGGGAAGGGTCGAGGATAGAACGTAGACGCCTGAGCTGGTCTTTGCTTGGGAGCCGGACTTTAATGCTGCATGGTGTTAGCGGGGGTCGCCAGATAATCTCGAGTTGTAATTGAGACTTACCTTGTCGCTTCTCCGCCATTGTGAACTTTTCCCTCACTGCCAGTTCCCGCAGCTCCATACCCCAGACGAGGCGGAGCTGCTGTTGCGCCAGGTCGAAGACTTTTCTAAAGGCTCTGCCCTGGTCTCCAAGTACTGAAGCGTTCGTCAGTAATGTTCACTGTGCTCCGAGTCCATTGCAGCTCCGTACCTCGCTCCTTGATACCATCTCGACGGATAGGCGTCCGGGAAAATTCGCAGGCAAGAGCATATCGAACCAGCTTTTTCGCCAGCTGATCTTCTGCGCTCGCCTCTGCGTCTACTGCACCGTGTTCAGATCCTTCTTCCTCGGCAGATTCTTCTTGATTCCGCCGTTGCCTAGGATGCCTGGGTTCCTCCTCTGAGTCTTCATCGTCCACCTAGGTGCTGTTAGTCTCGAATGCGACCTTTGAGGATTCGGCGCGGGGCATACGGGTCGTCTCCGTCTTTGTGAAGGAGGCATATTGGTTCTGGGTGGTTCTGAGTAACGGAAAGGAATTTGATTCTGACGGGACGATCTCAAAGACTCAAGTTTCGTAGTTTACATGTAATAGATTGTTCAAAGTGTAGGCTGTTCACCTGGATAAAGTAAATAGGCAGCTAAAGTTCAATGGACTTGCAGTCCGGAGCGACGCGACGCGCTTTTGGCGGTGCCACTTTAGGCCCTTCGCACCTGCAGGAAGTTCGCGCTTTCTTATCTTATCTCTTATCTTATCACCATCAGCTCCCGTCGCAAAAATTTGGGAGCTCTGGTTTGAGTGACATGGTTGTATGTTCGCAAAGGCATGTGAATGCTCATACAGCGTTGATCTTCGTTTCTTTCCTTCAAATGATTTCGCGAGCAGTGTTTGCTCGTGGTGTGTGCCTGCGATGCCAATTACGAATCCTCGACCGACCGAGAGCTCATAGCTCACTTCGAATCGCCCCTTTTCGAACCGAATTCCTCCAGCGAAGGACGTATAGTTCCGAGTCGGCATGGGAGCGCCTTACCAGAACCTCAGAAGGAAAGGATGAATATCCGTCAACCAGACAAGTGCCTGAGAGGGATACCTCGCCTAGCAATGAACAGCCTTCTCAGACGTCTTCCACGACAGTAAAACAAGATGGCGCATCGATCGAAACCGAACCAACAGCTCCTACCTTGTCCGGTGGTCCAATAAAGCGAAGCGGTCCTCTCTTGAAGAGATACTACATTGGCGAAGACCCTCTCGACCGCCTCTCGAGACGTCGCGTAGGCAATCGTAGCGTATACGTCCATTCCGAGGCACTGGGCATCAGCATACTGGGAGAAAAAGGACAAGCGATCGTAATGCGCGACATGAGAGGCAGCAACCAGAACGTTAAGCAATTGCCCATTCACGAGATTATCCCCGATGCATTCGACATCAGCCAAAGCCTTGAGGCTGAAGAGAAGGATCTGACGATGGAGGAGGCACTATCAAACCTTGACGAGATCCGACCCTGGGACCCCATTGTCGCGTACGATGACTTTTATACGCTGCTAGATGTCCTCATCAATGGCTTCACAGTTGCCCAGCTTAGGGCATATCTGAGCCGCGCGAACGCAAGGGCTGCGATTGCGGCGAAGGAGAAGAAGAAGCAGCAGCAGCTCTACGATTCTGTAGAAGTGTTGACACCCTGGACCCCCTCGGCAAGTGTCGAGATCGATGGCTCGGCTAAGGAGAGGCTCGGATTGACTCTCATGCTGGAGGCCTGGCGCTTGACCATGAGGGAGATTGTCGAAGGCCAGGGTTACCTGAGCGGGCGTATTGATGAGCGTTTCTTTGCCCTGCTTACGAGTGAGTAATGCGACCCGGTAATGGAGATGCTGTCTAACACACAAGCAGACGAAGAACAGCGACTGGACGCCATCAGGGAGTCCTATCTTGATCCGGGCGAAAGTATTGATATCTCGGATTCGATAATAAAGATCAACGCCACCAAGGCCAAGACACAGGCGATCCTTCAGAGACTGGACGAAGCTTCCAAGGCTATCGTCGTGAAGACTTTCAAAGCCGATTGGCTTGCTGACAGCAACGTCGACGGCAAGTTACTCTGGAACTTGGGCCAGCTCACCAATACTTTCATCGACCGTAAAAACCGTCAAGAGGTGCGTTTGACTTCCTGTATTGCGGGATGGCCATGTCTAACAGCGGAGCAGATTGAGGTGTCGTGGATCAAAAATGGAAATACCGAAGTTGCCATCGGTGAACAGGTAGACCAAGACGACACGGGTGAACAGCTGGGTCACATCGTTCAGCGTCTGCTACACTCTGCCCTCTTCCCGAGAGAGCAGTCCATCATCCTGAAGCATGAGCCAAACGTGAAGAGGGCAAGACTTGTTGCCGAGCCTCGCGGTAACGAGAAGCTTTCGTGGAAGGAGAGGCTCACACAGTGGTCTCGCTGGGTGAAGCAAGGCAGTCGAGAAACCTCTCTCGACAGGACCTTCACCATTACGGAGGGCGAAATTCTGCCTCTACCTCTGACCACCAAGGTCCAGGCCGCGGATTCAGATGCTCCGTGGAGCAAGCCGTACGTCTCGACAACCGCCTCCTTTGGCCAAATTCTCCACAAGTACGATGAAGGAAGCTTCGCAATCGCCAAGGCAGCTAAAACCAAAAACCACATCTTCTCACCCGCCTCCCCGCCGCCCGCAGGTCTCGCACCCATCGTGGAGTCAGTCACTTCTGCAAACCCTGAAAGCGCCATCATAACTACTCTCGTCCTCGGCTTCCGACCTCACCCTTCCGTGGCCAAGGAAACAACCCGCAGCCTCCCCGATTTTCTTGAACTCCATCTGACCGTCCCGGATGACCTACCCGATGGCCCCTTGGCGTGGGACGCCACTCCCAAGCGCCTCGTCGCCATCCTCAGCCAGACCTTCACCGACGTCGCGTACCCCTCGGAACCCGTCGACCTGCGCCTCTCTCAGCCGTTGGTATCCACCATGTCTCCAGATGCCCTCGACTCATCTGCGTTCCGCGAGTACATTGAGACCGCAAAGCTCATCCTCCTCGAAGGACGCCTGCGCCCGCCTCCCGAGGTGGAGCTGTCGGGTCTGCCTTCCGCCGAGGACGACGGCAGCGTCTCCGGGCCCGTGAAGTACATGTTTGCCGGTCTCGAGATGCGTCGGACTCTCGAGGTGAGTTACGAGGGTCACAAGATCCAGTACGCGAGCATCGAGGCCGGTCTGCACGGCGGTCGCCGCTCTCAGATGAACCTTGAGGCTGTGCCGGCTCGGGCCGACGCGAAGCTGTCAAAATACGAACAGAAGGCGTATGTGAGGAAGTACCTTGACATCGCGGAGGACTTTGTGAGAGGAGGTGTTGTGCAGTGGATTGGGGAGAGGGATATTACTAGAGAGTTTGAGCAAGTTGAAGAGACGACGGCGGCGGCGGTTAAGGAGATTGAGGTTGAGGAAGCTGGGGAGGAGCAAGCTTTTGGTGAAAGTGAGCTTGATCTTGCTGAGGAGCAGCTGGACGCCGCAGAAGAGGAGAAAGCAGAGACATCAATGGACGGCGAGGCTGAGACCTCTGTGGGCGACGAGGCTGAGACGCCAAAGAAGGATGACTTGTAAAACCATGTAGCAAATAATTGTAGATCAACTGTACTATCACTGATGTATAACACGTTTAATCACTCAACGCTATTTGATCAAAAATATGGCATAGTTCACTGAGGACGTAATGAGCTGGATGTCGTTGGTCAAGATGAAGGTACGAATGCCCTCCTCTCTTAGTTTGGACGCTGAGCTAGAAAAGGTGGCTGGTCACCCCGAGATTTGTCAGTCAGATTACCTACTTTTGTCCAATCTAAACGTCCATTGAGGCATGAGTGGCACGGCTTCAAACAGATTTAGATATCCGCTGAAGTTTGAGCATCATTCGCCGCTCCCAAGTACCAGACCAGGTCCACATCAAGGTCCACCACCATCAAACCTTGGCTTGTGGAGAGGCAACCGAAAACCTCGGAACCGAACTACCTTAGGCGGGCTTGACACATCGTGGGAAGACACGTAGCTGCCTCATTCTCGCTACAAAAGTCTGACAAGGTAACCGTAACAGGGCGGGTATTGGAACAGCAACATAGGAAGGCACTCCCTGGGGTAGACGACTTTGATTAGGAGGATCACATCACGAAAGCATCATGTCACGGCATTGGGGAACGTTGTTTTTTAACTTGGGAATCACTTCTAGGACTCTATTTTTGTGCTACTAGGCACGTATCATGAGAAGCTTTTTTGACGTAGAATCATCCGGTCCAACCTTCCTCTCGATATTCGTGCTTTCCGCCATATCATAATGTCCTCATGCTACGCAAAGGGAATTCGTAAAGCCGTAGAAGTGAGTGAGCCACGGCGGTGAAGCCATGGGCGAACTCGGCAACCAACCCTGGTGAGGTGAATCGCTTATTTCTTGCCGGCCTTGGCAGCGGACTTGGTGACCTGGTGATGAAGATGTTAGATGATGAAGACACATGAGAGGGGGGTGAGTTGGATGAACATACCTTGCCAGCGTTACCAGCGGACTTCTCGACGGACTTGATGACACCGACGGCGACGGTCTGGCGCATGTCACGGACGGCGAAACGTCCCAGAGGAGGGTAGTCGGTGAAGGCCTCAACGCACATGGGCTTGGAGGGAACCATCTTGACGATGGCGGCGTCACCAGACTTGATGAACTTGGGGTTGTTCTCAACGGACTTTCCGGTACGTCTGTCAATCTTCTCGAGGATCTCGGAGAACTTGCAGGCAATGTGGGCAGTGTGGCAGTCGAGAACCGGGGCGTATCCAGCACCGACCTGACCGGGGTGGTTAAGGACGATGACCTGGGCGTTGAAGGAAGCGGCACCCATGGGGGGGTCGTTCTTGGAGTCACCGGCGACGTTGCCACGGCGGATATCCTTGACGGAGACGTTCTTCACGTTGAAACCAACGTTGTCACCGGGGAGACCCTCAGTAAGCTGCTCGTGGTGCATCTCGACGGACTTGACTTCAGTGGTGACGTTGGCAGGGGCGAAGGTGACGACCATGCCGGGCTTGAGGACACCAGTCTCGATACGGCCGACGGGCACTGTTCCAATACCACCGATCTTGTAGACATCCTGGAGGGGAAGACGGAGGGGCTTGTCGGTGGGACGCTTGGGGGTGTCGATGGCGTCAATGGCCTCGAGAAGGGTCTTGCCAGTGGACTTGCCAGCCTTGGTCTCCTTCTCCCAACCCTTGTACCAAGGAGCGTTGGTGGTGGGGGCAAGCATGTTGTCGCCGTGGAAGCCGGAGATGGGGACGAAGGCAACGGTCTTGGGGTTGTAGCCGACCTTCTTGATGAAACCGGAGGTCTCCTTGATGATCTCCTCGTAACGGGCCTCGGACCACTTGGTGGTGTCCATCTTGTTGATGGCGACGATGAGCTGCTTGACACCGAGGGTGTAGGCGAGCAGAGCGTGCTCACGGGTCTGGCCATCCTTGGAGATACCAGCCTCGAACTCACCAACACCGGCAGCGATGATAAGAACAGCGCAGTCGGCCTGGGAGGTACCGGTAATCATGTTCTTGATGAAGTCACGGTGACCGGGAGCGTCTGGAAGGCAAGAGTAAGCGAGTGAAGCGAAAAATGATTTTTCATCACTCATCAAAACGCGGCAGGAGCTGCTCGAAATGAGAGGAATGATGAAGGGAAACAACTTACCAATGACGGTGACATAGTACTTGGGAGTCTCGAACTTCCAGAGGGCAATGTCGATGGTGATACCACGCTCACGCTCGGCCTTGAGCTTGTCAAGAACCCACGCGTACTTGAAGGAACCCTTGCCCTGTAAAATGTGTCAGAAAATTCCGCAAAATCAAAATAACGAGGTATTTCAGCCTACAAGTTCAGCCGCTTCGAAAAAGTTAGTTATATGTTCAGAGTTGTCAATGTGGTGGTGGAAATATGCTTACCCTCCTTCTCGAACTTCTCGATGGTACGCTTGTCGATACCACCGCACTGGTAGATCAAGTGACCAGTGGTGGTCGACTTGCCGGAATCGACGTGGCCGATAACGACGACGTTGATGTGGTTCTTCTCTTCCTTACCCATTTTGGCGGTGGGATGTGATCGAGTTGTGTGTTTGAAAGGTAAAAGCTGAGTGAGGATGATGAGTTAGTGATGAGATTCTGACGAGTGAAATCAAGTGCGGTAAAATAAATACTCACTGCACAGGTGATCCGTAAATTTGGATTCGGTATGTACGACGAAGAGCAGAAGAGGGAAGGAAAAGCTTTGCTTTGGTGGGCGGGCGAGGCTTTTGTATGTTTGTGAGTGGAAAAGTTGGGTGGTGGAGTGTGAGTGTGAGAGGGTCAAAGTGGGTTGAGTAGAGGTGGGAGGGGGAGTGGGCTAGTCTGTACCAAAGGCTGCAGGGATAAGAAGGCAGGAAGGTGGGGTCAAAGGCTCTTGCTTTGGATGCCCTAAGGTAGAATTTTTCACTCACAGGCTCAGTTTTTTCGTGGTTGGTTGGGTGGTTGTTGTTTATTCCAAGTGTAGATGGCTTCTTAGCAGATCGTGGCTCACGGACAAGTAGCGCGTTGTACCTTGGTTCAGGCTCGCCACGGCACGAACTAAGCGGGCCCGCTCAAGGCAGGTACGTATCGTATCACCCCTCCTTTAGTCTCTCCTTCCTGCGGCATGCGACGGGCGGTAAAGCTCATCGTCGCTATCCATGATCATACTGTTCCAGCTGCCTACACAATTCAAAAAAAATTAAATTGAAAATTTGGTCTCTATTGACCATATCACTATCCTTGACTTTGAAATACTGTCTCTAGACTTCAAAAGAGCATATTGTACGTTAATCCAGCTCTTGTTGCGGCAGCAGGAGTTGAGGCAACAGGATGGATGGCATACTGATGAGGTAAGGGGGGATGGAGGGGCACTCTGCAGCTCTCACCGCGCTCTCTGTGTCGCGGGGGCGCTGCAAACGATCCTGGCCTTGTCAACCCCACCGTGGAAGCTCCAGGCCTCATTGCTGCAGATCCCAGTGATGTCAATTCGTCGAATCGCCAGCCCAGCTAAAGTAATGAACAATAACAAACGCATTCATCACGATCAAATTTTCCCTCGGGCACTAGCTAGCCGCCTTCTTTTTGGAAGGAAATGAGGGGCAATGTGGACCTTCCTGAGTCCTCCCCCTCGTTGTTGGGCCACTTCACCTCGTTTTTTTTTCTTTCTGTTGGAGTCCACCTCGAGGCAGACCATCGGCCGCGTCTCAAGTGTGCCTCTCTCTTTTCGTCCCATCCATCCATACCTTACCGGCCAGACACAAACAGACACACAGCGCCGTTTGGCACACACGAAAATTCTCACCAGAGGGAGCGCTTTGTTCCGAGTGACCTCGATCTACTTTGCCAACGATAAGACATCCACAGCTTCGAACTCTGCCCCTCCACCCCGCCCAATCCCTGTCAGACACACAAGGTAGGTTGCCGCGCAGCCCAACCTGGGCCCCCTCCTTGCCCCTCGACGACGCCGCCCAGGTTTTTTTTTTTTTTGACCGTCAGACCGTCAGAGTGTGTGCCCAACCCATTCGTTCGGCATGAGTCACGTATCTGGCACAGCTCCAGCCTTCTCCTGCATACCTTTTCGGTGCTTGGGGCCCCTCCGTCGTAGTTTTTGGTTTGGGGCCGTGGTCGCCCTCGCCATAGCCATGGTCCATCCCACCTCGAAACCAAGGCTCCTCCGCGGGGCTTTTCCTTGTCTGCTTTGGTTTCCGTAGGAATTATCGATCGTCAAGGGGCATTGTGATTTCCTCCTTGTGTTGCTTAATCCTTTTCTTGGGCAAAGGGAATGCCGACCCAAGCGGGCCCTGCGCTACCATACTCTTCATTATTGTCACAAACTGTCGGTGCATTAACTCCGAAAAGAATTGTGGCTGATGCGGCTTTCTGACGGGGTGCGGGGTTGAAAAAATCTGATCTCAGAAAGAGAAGAGGCAAAAAAAAAAAAAAAAGCTGTACTACGGACATGGGTGTCCGACAGATCCTGGCCTCAAGGGTGACGTGCAGGTGAAAGGTACCTGAACAACCCGTTCTAAGCGCCTGCGCCGCCCGTCAAGGGACAATTATTCTCATCCTCTCGCATCCTCGCAGAGCGAGATTTCCCAGACAGCGAGGTAGTATCGCGGCTGCATGCATATTTGCCATCGCGTTGGCATCTCTCTTCCCGAAATACCTAGAGTGAGAATCTATCGGGCGGCCAGATTCGCAGCATGAACGGACAACGCGGTGCGGTGCAGGGACACGTATGAGGGGGGCCACGGAGAGAGAGGGGCGCCAGACCAAATAAGACCAAGACGAGTGCGATCGCCCGCCCCAGCCCAGGCGCAAGACCCCTCCCTCACACGAAGCACCGCCGAGCCATAAGAAAAAAAAAATTGAGAGCAGAATGAGGGGTATTCCATGCCCCTCCATGCTTTTTGCGCTTGCGATAAGGGGCTGAACTCCGAGACAGAAAAAAAATCTAGCATCACGTGATGAAGCTCTTCCATCCTTCATGAATGTTGTTTAAACCAGCCCATATCCCACGCCAGTTGATGCGCATCTTCTTTGCGGCGATCACTGGCCATTTCTGAAATTTCCTAATTGGGAACAGAGACGACGGCGGTGGCGACGGACGACGTCGGAAACCGCCGGCTCCACGAGGCCGGAGATGAAGTCACATGACCTCGCTCGACGTCATCCGACGAAGACCCGCGGGGCTGGCGACGACACAAGACAGCTCGCCGGCGAGTCGCAAGCTGATGGACGAATTCCTAGAAGGCTCTGTTACGAAGATGACTTCTCTTCCGCTTTCATTGGACTGACATGACAGAAATTGACCAGAGAACTTTGGGACGAGTTGAGGAACCACAGCTTCGAAGCTGTCTACCCCAGTAAAGCGACTCCTGCGATACCGTGAGGGTCTTGACCCAGTCGACAATCCCCTACAGAACTTTTTCGGATAAGAACGATTTCACCTACTGCCGATGCCCATCGACCTTCCGAACACGATGTTCTGCCTATGCAAATCATGTACCTACTGAGGCAAGCCAACATACGAAAGTACCACATCGACCGGTTTGAAGAACCCACGAGATGGGACATGACAACACCACGGAGTCTAAGTTGTTGAGCTGTCTAGACTCCTCCCGAGTGGGTGTCTTTGCTAGTATTGTTGCGAGAAGGCTTTCCGCGCATGAAGTCATGTCGTAGACGGAGCTAGTGTGCCCCTTAAGGACATCTATCTCTTGCTTACACGCACGAATGCTGCCGTGGGCTGTACTTCCGTGCTCTTCCGTTTCCACTTGGCTCTCGTAGGAAGATGAGCTTGGAATGAGGTCTTAGTATGGGAAAGTGTCAGAGGAGAGGTATGAGGATGAAAAAATATGGGAAGAAGGACAACGGCAAAAGATGAGGGTTTCTGGTTCATAGGATCACAAGTTACGAAGACAACAAGACATGTTGCATTTTTGGAATTGTTCTTCCTCATCGACACCGCCAAGCCGGGACCGTTATGGCAGCTCCCGAGCATACTCTCCTGCTTAGAACCTCTGGCGTCGTTCCTGTTGGGTCCTTGGTTCGATAACTGAATATCTTCTTGTCAGGGCAGTGATTCCTGCGGGATAGAAAGCGAATTCTTCTTCCATCTTTGATCACAACTCGGACGCCAGGCAATCCTTCGAACACTTTAAGCACTGGCACGAATTTCTCCCGCGGTTCTCAGGCTAAGTGTTACATACACCGGGTCGGGCGCACTGAAAAGAGCCGTTGGATGTCACTTAGCAGGCACAATTTTACCAGCGAACAGGGGGCCCCAATGCTCAGTTACGATGTCTACCTGATGTCTATCACAAAAATTTGCCAACCCCGTCATTGTCGTATTTCTCCTAGCAGTCACATCTCCACCCGATTCAACGTCCAGCGCATGTCCCACCTTCTCCAGCAGCATAAGATCATGGTATCGGATGGTCTTAATCGTTTACTTGTACACGTCCTACTCTGTTTTTGATGTAAGTACATGGACATACTACAATTGCCTCAGGACAGTTTTCTAGGGAGAAACTTACACGATATCCTCACCTGCTCACGAAAGGGGCAATCCGGACTGACACCTCCAGTCTAGCTAACGCCGTACTTGATCCAGTCGCGGTGAACCTAGACCGCGCTGCAGTGTGTCCCCGGCCAGTGGCCGTCGACTCCGACGCGGACGACCTTGAACGTCAGGGGAAGATTGCCTGGGGTGTAGAACAACTCAGTCATGGCAGTATCGCCAACTTTGAAAGGTCGCACGCAGTCTCCCCGGCCTTTCACTCGACGATACGCTCGTTCATTGAGGCCCCAATCCTTCTTGAAAACAATCTTGACGGTCAGGTGGTGTCGAGGAAGCATGGCGTCGGGACTGAATGGCCAGTTTGTTTCGGCACGGTCTCCGCCCGGTATACTGTAAGGAGCAATGATGGCGTCCATGCCCGGTAGCTGATCTCGTGGAAAGAAGAATGCTTTGGTGCCTTTCGGGAGTGGTCGCGTGGGCAAGTATGATGCTTCAATGCTCTTGTACATTGTTATCAGCTCGCTAGTCCAGTCTGCGCAGACATGAACGACTATTGCACTCTGGTCTACCATGGTATGATTGTGGAACGTGTTCTGGTAGATGTTGTGATATTGACGTTTGGCAAAATCGTCAAACCGAACGGGACCTTTCAATCAAAGGAGTGCTTGCCTACTCAGACTCCTGATGTATAACTAGTCAGGAACAACGAGGATGAAGTACGAGCATAGGCGAGGAAACATGTGCGTCCACCTCCTGCCTCTTGCTCCTGTTGGAACACAACAGGCAGCTGCTGTCCAAACATTCTTTCCGAAGCACTTCCCTCAACGTCACTTCCAGTGTTGAACTTGGAATCCCCTGGAAAGGAATGCTACACATCCCCTCCCCACTAAACCCATCTTCACGAAACAACGACACATTCAACGACGACACGTATTCTGCCTACATCAAGCATCATCTCTGTCTATTGCATCAATTCCGCATCTTCCCGCACCCAAACGGCACTACGTTGAAACAGCTTGCATACGATCACTTCGCACCGAGGCCCTCGCAACAGTTATTTCAGGAACGCAATACTTGACCTCACACAGCGCAATGGGGTTCCCCTCTGGTATCGTTTTGGTTCTGAAGCGCGACTGGACTCCCGAAAATCGGATTTGCAGAAGTTTCCGTTCCGACGGCTCTGGGGGACCTTTCATCCCAAAACCTATCATCCTGCAAAAAGGTTTCGTTGCCTGGCTTCCAAGACAAGAACCATCCCGGAAACTCGGGGACTATCGCGAATGGGCTGCCATCGCGCTCTACTACCCGTCTTCACCGGTTCTCTTGGATTCAAATAGAAGCGGGAGTATTCTTTGGGATTCCTTGGAGGACTACTACTACCCGTATGATATTCGCCTGGCACAGGTTCCGGTCTCTTATCTCAGCGCGGAAGTCTTTGTTTTTCGAGATTTCGTGCCTGGAGTGCCCGAATACGATACTCTAGTCGCCCAACAACCTCATGGAGAAGTAGGCATCTTCTTGAAGGGCGACGTGGCCACGCACGAGGAATTCTCCATGGACCCTCCAATGATTCTCAGAGTCCGCGGTGCTGATCGGACCGCCGATGGACAAAGAAGACACTGTCTCATTCCTTACAGCTTTGTGAGATATGGGATCCCACCCGGCCCGAAGAACCGAAGCTTTGGTCCGAAGCTTTGAAATAGTCTCTGAACTATCTCGGATTGACGATGGCATCTATATGCGTTTGTCTCGGTAAGCTGTAGTCTCGGGCTGATGGATCAAAGTAGCAAGCTAACAGCAATAGAGTCGGCAATGGCTGCATGTTCTGTGGGATGTTTAGGAAGCAGGAGAAACGAAGTCGGGAACAAGAAACCTTCGCAGGCCAGGCGAACTATAGCTCTCACAGCTTCTGGAGCAGGATAGATCAACAGAACACCAGGCTGAACAGCCCCCCCCCCGTACCCCAGTACTAGTTTGAATTACAGCTGCAAGGAACTTGTGTCAAATGGGTTTGCACTTCTCTGCAAGACATGATAAACCTGAACCGCGTCATGTTGTGTACTTCTCGCGTGTTGACATCACGGGAGTTTGTAAGATGCTAAAGGCCTGGCTAAACCCGTGTCTCTGTTTGGTAGGACGATGCAGCTTTCCTCTGCTTTTCTGCGAGTGGTGGTCAAAGGTGACTGCAGGCAGCAGCTTTGACTACGCTCACATTAAAGTCAGTCGAACCTCACTCGGGGTCTTTGATGCCTGAACTGTAGGCCTCATACCGATCCTCAAGGCGCCACCGGACTTTCCACACGTGACACCCTACTTCCACCATCTGAATGGAATACGCACAGGAGATGCCTTTATACCCCCCCTCAACTCCATTCTCGTCACCAGCCAGCAGGCGCCCTCTAGGTCGGGGGTCAGGTCAAACTGGCTGGATGGTGGAGTGGTTTAATGTCAACATTTAACGCCAACTAGCCTACTCGACGACAGGCTTAGCGAGTACCCGAGTTCGAATCCCAGCATGAGCACCAAGAGACGTAGCCACACCGGTGGTGAACTCTTTTTTTTAATGGTCTCTAATGATTTATTCCTTTGTCTTATTTAATGATTTAGCTTCCTTTCACCTGTGAAGACGGCGTAAGTGAGACCGCCTCTCTCTTCAGGATCAAACTGCCTGTCAGGCAACCGCAGAAGTTCTCCCATAAGTATTGAATCAGAGCTACCCAAAGCCAGATCTGGTTATCATCTCCCACACCTCTCTCACCCATTGACACTGCAATCGCCCACAAACACTCTGCTCTCACATTTACTTATTCGCATTGACGATGTGGTCACCCGCCGACAAACCTTCTCCTCAATCGGCCCTCAACAAGGTCAACACGTCGAAGATGTCGTCCGCCTCAGACCAGCCTCCTTCTGAGGAGGCTGAATCAACTCCTATCGGGGAGCACTCCAGAGCCACCGTGAAAATTTCTACAAGAGTCGCCGTTCAGCTCAAGAACGAATGGAACGAAGCCGGGGCCAAGTTCGCCTTCCTCGTCCACCCTACCACAAAGCCCTTCCGTCTCCTCAAGTCAGGCACCACAGCCCTTGTCAACCTGAACCAGAAGTCCGAAGGCCCATTGGACAACCCCCTCATCACCATCCAGCCCGTTCAGCATACCGAGACCGGCCTTACCTACGTGCTTCCCTGGGTCGATGCCGGGGTCGACGTCCCGGCCCAGTTCCTCCGCATTGGCGTTCGCATTGTCAAGGATTTTGGACCCGGTGTTCCGGAGTTTGACAACATGGCGCCCAAGATTAGCACCATGACTAACACCAAGACCAACACCAATACCCCTCAGTCCGAGAACGAGTCTTTCAAGGCTGGGGATATGGCTGTCTGCGACCACTTTGCCATTGACGTGCCCGATATTCTCTTGATCAAGAAGCTTGGCATCAGCCCTACTAAATATTCGGGGGGCTATTACATATCTGGCGTCGAACAAGCTATTCCTCGCGACTTTGTCGAGTATGGCTTGCAGATGGGCGGTCCTGTGACTGTCAAGAACTAGTTCAGTGCTTGGTAATAGGTCAGTATTGACATTCTCGGTAAGTGAAGTTGATTCTTGGGCACGAATGGAGACTGTTCTAACTGTGATTGGCAGATGTGTACCATGGCTTAATCTGCAACCCGAGACTCGATCAGGGGCACGACCGGGGAGGAAGTTGCGCCGAAGTGTGGTTAACCAGGAGCGTGGAGGAGGCATAGACAGTCACACTGATGGAAGGTGCAGATGACGAACGGAGATAGACCTGATTAACTTGGTAGCACATTTGCGAATATACATGTGGTCGTCTCTGGGAAACGCTTCGTGGTGTTGTCCACGTGACCTTCCTAATTTCATACGCCTCCTTCTTCACTTGCGTTCGTACCTACCTAAGATACCCACGCAGTCTTCGTAGGCAGCCTCTAGGCAGGCGCTGGTACTTCAATAGGACTTTGGGTTCCTTCTTGCATCATTTTGAGTGGCAGGACGGAATATCTCTGCTGACCGTCTACACTCTGATTCTGCTACCGTCCTCGTTCGCCACGCAGAAACCTCCTGCCAAAATTGAAACCTGGGAAAGGAATATTAAGCTTTTCCAATTACTTCAGAGTAAGTATTAAAACTTCCAGCGCCATATCTCATCAACACAAGCTGACCGATTCACAGCTACGACAACCCGAAGCACAATCTCGACTCCCATCATGACGACTGAGAAGATCGTTGCCGTCCAGCTGAAGGAGGACTGGACCAAGGAGAAAGCATCGCTCGCATTTCTCTTCCATCCAAACGTCTATCCCTTACGGGAAGTGAAGAAAGACACCATGGCTTGGCTTTATCTAGACCAGAAAACCGTGGGGCGCGGTACCAACGAGTGGGCTATCATCACACCCCTCACGATGACAATCAATGGGCCGGTCCACATGTTTCACGGCGATCATCCTCAGATCGCTGTTCCATGGCAGCTTCTTCGCATCGGACTACGCGTCACCAAGGACTGGGTCAGCGGCAAGCCTGAGTTTGACAGGGTGGAGAGGCTTTTCGGGACCACTACATTCCTCGAGGGCGAAATGCTGATATGCGAAGAGATGAGCAACCCTCTTCCGGATCTGATCAACGTCAAAGAAACCTATTTTGATGCTGAAACGGGCTTCAGCATTTCACCGTCTGACATGTTACCGTCTACCCCTGATGTCATTCATCGCAATTTTGTGGAGTTCGCCTATGAGAAGACAGACAACTGCGTCAACGATCGCGTCGCGATAAAGCGAAGCGCAAGTGAGATGGCCTAAGTAGTGGACTATGCGGAAACCCATTTCTGCTAAAGATATCTTCAGAGGAGACAACGTCTTAGCTCTGGTAAGTCTGATTCGATGCGTACCAGAGGTTCCCGAACTGACAATCAAGGTTGGCAGCGAGGGCGAGGGAATTGAGACTTGCCTACAGCGAATGAGCAGCTGCATGCGAGGCGAGATGAGTCGGTTGGCGAGCAAAACGAGCAATCAATGAGAAGAAACAACAACCTTGGGGGTTTCAGTCTATAGAGAATACAGAAATTCGCCGGGAGTATCAAATGAAAACTAAAGTATGCCTCCCACCCGTGAACGCCAAATCATGTACCCAATTCTACACAGGAAATCATTCCGATCCCTCCTTCTCTTCCGATTCCTTCTCCCCCTTTGATCCCTTGATCTTGTCCCAAACCTTTCCAAACTTATCCTTGAGCCAATCCCAAACGCCAATCATGGCTTCCTTGCCTTTGTGTATGGCGTCTTCATCGGCTCCTTCGCTCTCTTCATCATCATCTCCTTTCTCGTCATCGTTCGACGCCGGCGCGGAAGACGTCGGCTGGGGAACGGGGTCCACCTGGATGGACTTTTCGGGGGTAACCGACTGTGCCGCTGGCGGTTTGCTGGCAGAAGCTGGAATCTGTGTTGTGATGTACGGGGGTACAGGGTCCTCGGGCTCTGGAGGCGTATCCTCAGACTTGTGAGTACCCATAGTGGTGAGCGGCAGGCGCAGTGTGCCGTTGTTGGGCTCTGGGATGAGACCGACGGAATCGCAAAGAATGTTGTACACGTTGATGTTTTCTACTAACGTTAGTCGGACTTCATGGCATGACATGACAAGTAGGGGCACACTCACGGAAATTGTCGATCTGGCTGTTTGGCGGATGGGGGAAAGCCGGTCCGCGGGCTATGAAGATGGCGCGCATGAGAGGATGCTCATGATCATATCCATGCAGCCCGCGGGGGTTGTACACCGTACCATCCTTCAGCGCCTTCTCGACATCCATCTCTTCCTTCGTGACAATGGCCCATCCGGCCTTGGGCACGATCCACAAGGGTGCAATGCGCTTATTCTTGGAAAAGTGGTAGCGCTCGGGCATGTTGACGTCGCGGAGGTAGACCTCAAAGTTGGGGTTCGTCTTGGACCTCTCAACCAAGCCATCATACAACCCCTGAAGATCGTCGGGGTTCTTCGGCCGGAGACCGTATAGAGGCCAGCCATCGGTGTGCTCAATCTTTGAGGTATCGACGAGATCCTCGAGCTGTAGCAGGCGTGCCGTGTCCGTCGTGGCCATGCCGTGATCAGATACAACGATGACGTTGACAATGTTGGTAAGGTTGCGCTGCTCGAGAGCCAGGAAGAGCTGATCCATCATAGCGTCGGCTGATTCAATGGAGACCCGGATCTCCGTGCTGTTCGGCCCGTATTTATGGCCGTCCGCATCGACATTGGGCACATAGGCAGCGATGAGCTGTGGTCGCATGTCTTCGACCTTGGCAGTCTGATCCTCCAAGCCCGGCTTGTCGAGGAATTCGAGGATCCTGCTGACCTTATTGTCAAGTATTTCCTTCCCATTAAATTTGTCGAGGAAGGTTGGCTCAACACCGAGGATGTGCGCCTCACTGCCGGGCCACATGTGGATCGCCGACCGGATTCCTTGCCTCTCGGCTGTTACCCAAAACGGCTCTCCACTCCACCACTTCGCATCGAGACTCCGTGCCGGATCGGTATAATAGAACTCGGCCTGCATGTCGGGGTCCCAGAAGGTGTTTCCAACAATCCCGTGACTTTCAGGGTGAAGACCAGTCGCCAGCGTGTAGTGATTCGGGAATGTTACAGACGGGAAGGCCGGGAGCATGTACTTTGGCGAAACACCCTCCTTCACGAAAGCGTTCAACCTCGGCGTGATCCCGCGCTGCAAAAAGTCGGCGCGGAAGCCGTCGAGACTGATGATGATTGTCGTCGGCGCGAAGAGCGCCGTGCCATTGCTGACGAACTCGGTCTTGTGCGCCGACCTACTGCTGATTGACAACTTCCACGCCACTAGAAAGAGGATCGCGAAACCGACGGCAATCATGCTGTGTATGACCATCCAACGCCGCCAGCTCCTCTTCTTATCGCTCTTCGCATTGGTCACTATCTTGAGTCTCTGTCGGTCGAGTTCGTCGCTGTCGTCCCTTTCGCTGCTATCGCCGGTCGAGCTTCCCTCCTTCATGGCCCCTTCCTCCATCTCGTACATCAGCTCGCCGTCCTCGCCGTATGTCGCCTTCTCCAGCAGCCGGTCCTTCTTCTGTTTCCTCCTCGTGCGGCGCTGTTGGCGTCTGTCCTTTTCGTTGAGAAGATCCTCGGACGAGCCATCTCTGGATCCGGGCCGCTGGCCGTCTGGGCCTCGGCCGAATAACTTTAACGGGTTCGGGACAGCGAGACCAGATCCTCGGCGTTGGAGCTCCTTTTTCTTGCGCGTCTCCTCGACTAGTGTTTCGATCTCTTCTTCTTCCATGAAGACTAGACTGTCGGCGGCGCGCAGCTCGCGGCTGTTCCGCGCACGCAATTGTAGCTGGTCATCGTCGCTATCGCTGTCCTGGTCGCTTCGCGTGCTGTGGAGGGATGAGGCGTCGTCGTCGTACGTATCGGGGGCAAGGAGGCTAGTGTTGTCGCGGTCCGCCCGGGACCTTGCGCTGGGACGGCGTATCGACATGGTTTGACGGGGGTTGCCGGAGGGCAGAGGCGAAGTATAGGTCGTTACTTGGTCATGGACCGTGATGTTTGTGCGACGTAGCCTCTTTTTCCTTGAAGTAAACGCCGAGCCGAACAATTCTTTCCCTTAATTTCTCTGTATCCCAAAATCGCAACTGGGACTCGAACCCCTGGGACGGACCACCTTGATGGCAACATTGGCTTATCGTGGCGATAAGTCACGTGGTACTCCGCTTTGCTGCATGTCCCCCGTATTCAGGGTCCATCTCTCGGCCTGTCACTGGCCCGTCAGTCTGGAAACGGGACCAAGCACGGCGTGGCTCCGGTCCGCATGGCCCACTTGACGCGCAGGCTAAAATGCGCTCTATTCTCCGGCTTCCTCCTCGGACTAGGGGCCAATATTCGGTCGTCAACTCATTCTATGACTTTTCTCCATTTGCTTTAGTTGTCTAAGCGCGCTTGTCGACACAGAAGCATTGCCTCGTGGGTATGAGTTCTGCGTAGAGCACCATTGGCGTGACTTTGTCTTTCAGAGTTCTGAGTTATCTCACTCGGCCAGTTTTCTTTCGGGATGCCGGTGACTTTATTCCCCACCCTTCAGGCCTCTCTACCAGCACATATATGCTTCAAGAATCAGGAGATCAATCGGACGGGAGAAGCCACTTCTCGAGTAGGTCTGATTCGGCTGAAATATGCGCTAGTAAATTTTATGCATTCAATGAACCATATCGAAGCTGTGTGTCAGGAAGCTGAGCAACTCCATGCTCGGCAGTATCGGCATCCTTGCGTGCCGTGATGATAGTGGCGTTTTGCATCACATTCCTCATACTGGGCTTGTATCGAGAAAAGACTGGGGTCACATACGCGTCTCAGTAAAGGCGTTGGAGCTCGTCTCCAAGATCATTATTCGGGAAGTCTTGTGTGAATAATGGTAGTTCGTAACACCACAAGTCCTCAGCTGGGAATGCGACCTCAGCTTAAGACTCCTATTGCATCTGTACCGCTGATGTTCCATGGCCAGAGGCCTCGACAAGTGAAAAGTACCAGTCTCAGGCTTTCAGCACGAAAAGGCATGTATCCTGTTCGAGACACAAGCCGGCGCCACCATTGAAAACGCGGAGGCTGTGCTCGTACTGATTGGTAACCTTGGACAAACAAGCAGTTTTGCATACGTTCACTCTCTCCTTTCTGTCTCATACCCCTCGTCTTGTGATGCCCCAAGTCCTGCAAATGTGAACCAGAGGCCGACAGCTGCAGTTGGAGGGTCCTGCCAAGGTCTCCGAGATGCCCCTGAACAGTCATGGTGGCACTCTGTTCTTGACTCTCGTGTATAGGAGGGCGAGATTCCGTTGCATCAAGTCTCTCCCTGGTGATCTTGGGAAGAATCAAAACTCTCGATGAAATTTCATCTGCTATATACTGCACAGCCAAGTAGTGTGCGTTCAAGTATTTGTACTACGCCGCTAGAACATCTTTCAGAGCTTTCGCTACCTTTATAAGACCGATTTTGAATCTGAGGCTCGCCGACATGTTCCAGCGCCATGCATCGATTTCCCTCCTTGAACACCAGCGTCGTGTTTCGGACGCCATCTTGGAGTCGTGAAGATGGGAGCCCGAAGAGTGCGTCCAGTCCAATCATCCGCTGGAACCCACGTAACGAGGTCTTTCGACGCTTCTCCGATGACGCAACGGAAGAAGAGGGTGGGATTGACCAAACGACTTTCGAGTAAGTCTGATCCTGAAAGGTACCCGTCCGTCCGAAGATGTGGGCTCTTGCAACAGACCTATACCCGCCACGGCGATCTCGCGGTGATCACTTGCTGAGAAATATTATAGAAAAGCCGAAGTGGCATACAAAAACGCTGTCAAGTCACTCCAGGCTCATCTCAATAAAGATGAAGTTGCGACAGTACTACAGAAAGGCACCGTTGGCAAGCAGAGTGATCCCAAAGCAGAACTTCATCAGATTTCTTGGGATATACAACGGACCAAAGAGGCAAATCTGGGGGAGGGAAAGACTAAGAAACTGATCGAGTGCTTGGATCACTACCAGGGAGTATTTGACATTCTGTCGCAGGCGGAGTTCTCAGGTCTACCATTGATCTGGGGTGGTCTGAAGTTTGTACTCCTGGTAGGTAGTCACCTCTCTCATACTTAGATGGCAGCCTTACTTATTGAATGACAGGTGACGAAGAATAATTCCAATGTGCTCTCCAAAGTAATCGACGTGATGATAGACATTGGGCGGGATCTGGAAAGAATACGAGGGTACACTGCGCTGTATCCAACTCCGCGAATGCTCGAGTTCTCGGCCGAACTTTATGCAGCGATAGTTGAATTTCTGGAGAAGGTAATCAAAGACGCGAAGAATGCAGAGAAGAGTATCCTAAGTATGATCTTAAGCCAGCTTTCATGCGCTTTACCACACCTAATTAAAGCATAGAGCGTGCGATGACGACTTTTCTGCAGCCCTTTGAGGTCCGATATGGAGAACTTGTAGCCAAGATGAAAAAAACGCAAAGACACATCCGCGAGGACGCAGAGCTATGCTTCCATGTCAGGCAGGCAATGGTAAATCACGCGATAGACAGATACCGGACAGCACTACCGCTTCAGAGGCACACGATGCACCAAGCTTTCAAATGTACGCAAGGTGGCATCTGAAAAAGACGGACACCCGCTAACGTATCGCAGCCGTCGCCAAGAACCCTACAGCAGACCTATTCAAAGCGATACGGAAGAATTTGTTCAAGAACTTCGAAGTCCAGGCCGGATTCCACCAAGAGTTGCAAGCCACGTACGAGGTCACCACATCAAAAGCGTGGATCGAGTGGTTTAAAATGGAGCAGAAATACGTTCCCTCAGGATACTCTCACGAGACAAAAGTGATACAGGCAGAGTGCGACGCCCCGGATCCGCAGTATGCCCTGGTCTGGAAGAAGCAGCAGCAGCAGCGCAAGTTCGCTTCGCACGTCCCGTCGGCGTATTTAATTTGAACACGCGGGATGACAGCACAATCAGCGATAGCATCACTCGTGGATCAGATACTAGTCCAAAAGACGGAGGTCATAATAGACGCCCGGATTGATTTGGAGCAGTTCAGAGAGGCTAACAACAATGTGGCGTCTCTCTGGAAATTCTTCCTCTACCTTACTAAAGTCCTCGGAGGTTGCATGATTTATATCACCATCGGATCCGTCGGCGAACAGGAGTTTGCCATCGTCGGCAAGTTCGTACGTATGGCGAAGAGCTGGAAGGGACCGCCTGTCAATGTGACACTCATTCATCCGTTCAACGACAACTTTGCAAGGACAGATGATGTCGTGAACCTTGATGACAAGTACGATGTTCATCCACGACTTACGACGACGGACGCGATACACCATGTGCTACTATTGGAAACGAACTCCCAAAGGAAGATCTCGGACACTATCCGAAGTCTTTTATGGGAGACCGTCTGGCGGGAGGTGCGATACGCCGTCATTGGCATTGCCCTCACACAAGTTATGGAGGTGATACACGTCGCAGCCAAAAGGCCGGCCAAGAAACGCCAGTGAGATGGCAATCGTCTTTGTCAGATGCGGATTTCAAAATATGGATCGCTGTGGTAGGAAAGTGGACAGCAGCCACCTGGTCGATGAATAGCATGCGGGAGCAGATCCAGCGGCACATTGACATTGTCGACATTCATCTTCCATCCGACAGAAAGAAGCGGTTGGAGTGTAAGTTGGCATTGCTGGTGTTTGAGCAAGATGAGGAGCTCGGCTCGCAACTAACGTTCGCGCAACGGGAGGCAATATGGGTAGACGTTCAGGAGGCCATCAAGCCGGGAACGGCTAAGATGTTTTGTGGAAAAGTAGAGGAGCTTGTAGCCGCGATGCTCGAAGACTTATCGTAATGAAGGTTCCAGTGGTGAGGGAAGCTTAAAAGGCCTGTCTTTCCCTCTTGTTGACGCGTATTTTGGTAAGGGCGGGCGATGGAGGGATTCGTTCTCTGAGAATCAGGACTTGGTCGCTGACGGGATGAAGAATGCCATTGAACTAGGGTTCGCGGGTCTGATTCAAGCGCTGGCATTGCAAGAGATGGAAGAATAAAAGGGCTTCTGCGTTGATGTATGAGTATTTAGAGAGAATCTGTAACTTAATGAGATCATCATTGATACGCTTTTCCGTAGCCGTCTAGCACCAAGCATAATACTCATTATCTTCCCACACGACCTCACCTTCACCCTTCCACCGCAGACTGGGAATGCTGCCATCAAGTCTCTCGTCAAAGACGACCCGCACGGCACCCCCGGTCCTATCACTCACCCTCTTCGCCGAAGCCGAGACGCCCTCATCAGGGTTCCAGACCAGAACCTTTGCGAGCCCCCATTCGGCGGCCTCAATCACCGCGGCCTGTAGCAGCGCAGTGACATCCGCCTCAGGGTCGCCAGCCACGCGGAGGACCTTGAGCTTCTTCTCGCGGAAGTCGTGGTCCCAGTACACCCACGCCTTGCCGTCGACGGTAGCCGCCCCACGGTGCGTCACATCGCGGCCGGAAAGCTGCTTGGCCATGAAGCTGTCCCGCGTGAAGTGCCAGAGCATCTGGTCGGCCGATGGCGCAAAGGCGACGTGCGTCTTTCCGTCCTCGGGCAGGTTCGCGAGCTTCTTCTTTAAGATTTCGACGTCCTTTTCGCAGTAGGCGGGGACCTCGCTTTCCTCGAGGTATCGTACACCGTCGGGCTTGCGCAGGACGGAAGGGTCATCGGGGATGAGGGAGACTTGCAGGGACGGGTAGACGGCCCAGCCGAGGCGGGCGTAGTAGGTGAGACCGATGTCGCTGTAGAGCGCGCTTGCCTTGGAGTCGGCGTCCATGGCTTCCTTTAGGCGGTTCAGTAGTAGCGTTGCCATGCCGTGGCTGCGGTAGGTCGGGTTGGTGTAAACGGAGGCGATGGCGTAGGCCTTTTCCTCGCGGAGCGTTGAAGAAGAGGCATCGCGGATGAGGAGGGTCTTTGCGGTTGCTTCGCAGGATGAGATGATGTGCTCTGGGTCGGCCGGGTTGAATAGGACGTAGTAGTTGCACTGAGATGAAAGCGCCGTCTTGGAGAGCGCGACCTCGCGGGCCATGTAGTTCTCAAGGGACATTGGAGGGGCCCATGAGACGCCGTTGAGGCGCCATGCGGCCTCGCGCTGGGCGGGCGTTGCGGAGGCGAACTTGACGTCCTTTTCCGAGCCGTATTGGGTTACAATGAGATCAGCCATTTTGGGCTGCGCGGTGAAAGTGAGGAAGCGCGGGTGAAGGATGAGTAAAAAAAATTGAAGAGTTGAGGTTGCTTCCAGGTGGATGAGATGAGGTTGTAGTAACTAGTCGCTCGGTGACCTGCGTTTCAGCTAGGACACCAGCACTCAGACTCTCTAAAGATGACTGAGGACCTGACTTTTGAGTCCTTATGAGAAGTGAAATAAGTAGCTATCTGAGGCAATGAATGCAAGTGAAGCTGAAAAAGGCTCGACTTGACGTGGGGGGACGGCAGATTCGCGGGGCTGAGTGGGACATCCCCCAGCGGGGTTAGCGAGTCCCCAGGTCTGGCTAGAGCCACGCCCTTGCGATTGGTGATCCCACCGCCAATGCGATTGCGGGAAATCCTCACAACGGCCACAACGTTCACAACCACCCAAAAGGTATGCATGTCAGTGTGGCTTGCTTGCTTCTTGTTCATTCAAGTCGAACAATAACCTCGCTCAAGTTCAACAATGACCACAGTGTACCCTCGGCCAGAGAGGTTTGGATTATATGCAAGGCATGTGGAGAAACACTGGCATAGAAAAGCTACATGTAATTACCTACCGACTGGACCCGACTTTCTAAGGTCAGTTGAGATCTTCAATATTTTGCCCCTGAAGCCATATGTATAGTACTGTAAGAACCATCTTGTTGCAAAAAAGGCAGTTCAATCTCTCAAAGTGCACCACTTGGAGACATGGGTCTGATTGCTTGGTAAGTAAACTTCAAGACTTTACTGAGGTGCAGGGAAGTGAATGATCCAATTATTACTACAGCCCTTGAATATAAAGCTACGCTGGTCAGCGATAGGCTCAGTCCGGACCAAGGGGATCTAGACGTTCGCGCTGTTTGAGTGCATGTCGCCAATAGTTCATATGTACCCAAAGGCAATGAGGTGACCTTAAGACCGCATGAGTTCTCAACATGTAGCACCAAAAACATACAGTAAAAACCTCCACCATGCTTCTGGAGCGATAGTGAGCTTGTCGACTTGAGGTTACCTCCGATGTCGCTCCGGCCTGAAGGAACCGGGCCGGAGCCGGAGTGGGGCCGTATGGCGCAGCCAACTAAGGCCCACGTTAAGGTATTGAACTGAAATGTCAACTGATGATTGAAAGGTACTAAGCCGAGAGCAAACAGAAGCATCCCAAGGTACCAAGCTTGAATATGAATAGCCTCACATCAGAGTATATCTGGTTCTTAGGTTCTAAATAGTGCTTGTATTCGTGTACTTCCCAGCCAGGTTCGTTCCTGAAAGAAACTTCAAGGCCATCAACACAACAATGAGTCACGAATCACAGCCCATTCCGCACACTGCTCGACTTGATAGCCATAACAATTTATCGGAACCGATAACATCAATTCCAGCCGCGGGTCCCATCGTCACAGAGTTATGAGGCTCGTAGGGGCTGTTTACTGGGAGAATCTCGAACGGACAATCATGTCCTTATTAGGTGTCGTCCGAATAGGAACATTCGCGTCTGCAGGAAGGTCTCTAGTCTTGGGGTCGCGGTAACTATGCCAAGATTGACGCATGAAAAGGCTGCGGGACAAAATGTTAACCAAAGATTGAGGCGTAGAGACAAGGATTGATTCTACTTACACTTGACCAGCTGTGAAAGAGAGGTCCTTGTCACTGAAAATTCGTCAGCATGGCCGTCTATCACATACGCAGCTCGCACAAAAGAGGTTCAACCTACCACATCGAGTACGCCATGTAATTCCAGACCAGATCTTCGCCTGGAAAGCCAGGGCACGTGTCCTTACGCTTGCATGCGAAGTTTTCGTGTCGCGACTGCGGCGTGTCCGGGACGTAGTCACCGTCGGGGACGGCGCAGCCGCCCTGAAACGGGTGGAAGAGCCCCAGCCAGTGTCCTATCTCATGGATCACAGCCTTGTTGAACAGAGGACCGTCCATAGCGCTGTAGCCGATGATGACGCCGTCCCCACCAAACGATGTTCCTTGCGCTCCCGGGACAACGATGGCGCCTGTCAATAAATCAGGAAAGGAGGCGTACCCGAGGAGGCCGATATTCAACTTCGGCACAATGTACAGATTCAAAGTCTCGGGTCCGCCGATGCGAAGCGATTGCTGCATAATCCGAGTCTGCGTATATCGGTTCTCCATGTGGTTCATGTCGGCGTATGCGTCGTTGACGACCTCGTACGTCTCGATGGGGCCGAAGATGATGCCGTGCTTGGCGTAGCCTTCCTCGAGGGTGGTTCCGATCCGCTGGATCTCGTGTTTCTGATTGAAAATACCAAGTCAGTACGTGGGTGCGCAGATAGACTTAAAGACGTGGTTTTGCTGATGAGCTAGTGGTGGGATACGTACGTTTTTGACCGACTTTCGCTGTTCTTCCGTTCCGACCAGGAATACCTTAACAGGTACGTGAATAGAGTCCTGCTCCGGGTTCAAGGAGCGCTTGGAGAAGGCCTCAAGAGCGGCCAAGTCGTCTTCTCTTCCAATTCCATGAGCTTTATCACCCTGGCCGCACCAGTTGAGCGGGTCCCTTGCAGTATTGAGGGAAGAACGTTCAGATGCTTGGGCAAGTGCGACGCTGGCAAGCGACGCCATGCCAAAGATAGGGAACATCATGGTCTGGAAGATCATGGTGTGCGTGTATGTATTTCCCGGGCGACTGGTCAGACTGTTGCGGTGGTTGTTGAAGATAATGACCTGCGATGTGCCCAAAGGAGTAAATGGTACGCAGGATGATGTTGCACCTTGGAAGTTTTTAAACTTGGGGACACTCTTGTGGTTTAGATTAATAAGTGGAAAATAATTCTCCGCTATTTGATTTCTGATTTTGAAAGAGTCTAAACTGCCATGGAAGACAAGGTGCAAATGCAGAGTTTGCGGGTCGTTATGCGAAAACTAGGGCTTCAGAGGCTCAAGCCAAACCACGGCTCCCAACCCTTGTGGGCTTTCGGACTCGAAACTTTGTTGCAAGCTGAATTTTAACCCCCCGGGTTATATTCTCCTTCAAGAGCCGTATTGTTCAGTTCCGCTCGGCCAAACTATGTCCTCTGCGTCTCCGAAGAAGTGTATGACAGAGACTGGGGCAATTCCAAGCCGACCCGCGATCAAGGGCACATGTAATCCCAAATTGCGCAGAGATGGATCTGGAATTATAACTCAAAGAGTGTATGTGTATGAAAGAGTATTATGTCGCGGGGCATGGTCGATTTGTTGTCGTGAAATGGGGCCAATGGTCCTGATAACCAAGCAAGTGCGGTTGGCATTCTCATGGCAATGAAGCATGGCCAGATCATATAGACCGATGTAAGACCTGCAGCCATGCGCCCGTTGCGGGTATAAGCGCTAAGATGATTCGCAGTAGTCGTCGTAATAAAGCAGAAGGATCAGCAAAAGGCTGACGCCAGCCCGGGACTCCAAAAGTCCCATGTGATGCAGTAGAGCGTAAATTGTATGCCCGGATGGGTCTTTTGTGTCTGCAGGAACAATCAAGCCTTCTTCAAAAGACGCTTGAGTAGATTCTTGCTCGATGATGACGAACCTGTCGGAAACCACGTTAGCAATCTCGGCCTTTGTGATTTTTCGAGGCCAGACGTTCCGAGGTGCCGGTCGACCATACAAGGCCCGAGGGTGATGGGATAGGGGTTCGATGGAGAATGGACTGTAAGGATTGAGATGGCTTACCAGAGATGTCGCCATTGGCTTCGTTCTTCTCCTTGGACATCACAGGAACGCCGTCCTTGTCAACGAGGGTTGACTCTGAAGACATGGCGCCGACAGTTGCTCGCGGTGCCGGAGCAGGCTGGCGGGGCCTACGAGGCATGGCAGAAGCCTGCATGTGAGGGATGATGAAAGCTGATTCGTAGAAGGAGCCCGACATTGTATTGGTATTGCTCTTGCTGTTGCTTGTCTTGCTGTTGCTTGTCTTGCTGTTGCTTGTCTTGCTGTTGCTTGTCTTGCTGTTGCCTGTCTTGCTACTGTCTGTCTTGTCCTTGAGGATGGCCTTGAGGTATTGTTGGGATTCGATGGAACTCATGTGGAGGAGGAGTAGAATGAAGAAGTAGTTATTGGCTTGTTGACTTGGAAGTATCGTCAATGGGTTTGTAATGAACTGAATGTCGTGCGTGCTTGATTATATACGGCCTAGATCTAAGGTTCCGGCAAGGAGGTCATGGGCGGGTCTTTTATATATCACGAGCACGATGTTGATGACCAATGCAAACGCGGCTTCGGCAGGTTAAGTCCCCAGTTGACTCACGAAATGGCACGAACGCATGTCCAATGTACATGGCATCATGTCAAAGGGCGCGGTTGTGAGTCGTAGGTCTGAAAAAGTTCACTTTGGTACAAGTCTTGTCAATGCTAGTGTCTGTTTCCGACTGGGGGTAAGACGGGGGGATCGCTGCCGAAGTGGAGGTGCCCGCCGGCTCTCCGACCTAGGAGGAGGATTCCTAAAACCAATCACGCCTCGTTCCCAATCCTCGGGCTGAAAGTCGCATCGGCCGGTTGGTGAGTGTTCTTGGCGAGAAGGCTTGTACGGCCAGTCGTTTTGGGCTAGACCTGCACGACCAGTCTGACTACTTTCAACTTGGAGTTTTGTTCGGTCAGTCGAGTCGGGTTAGAGAGGTGGAGGAGTCAAACGATGAGAATTTAGTAATAATAGGATGACGGCTTAGAAAGATTGGGGACCAGCGGACAGCCAGGATCCACTTCCGAAGCCGACCCCAACCGCCCGTGTTCCCGAAGCCGAAGCCGAGACCTTCCATCACCAACTTCACGCGGTTAACGGTCGAGCCGACGACGTGTTGATGGGAATTTCCAATTCACTTCCCGAGGTTTCTCTTACGAAACAACGGCTCGAATTTTCAACTTTGTAATACGGGGAACATAGTGGACTTTTCTTTGATTGATTGAGTAGAGAGAAGAGTCGTGTTCCCAAGTATGGATTCAACGCAAACACCACCCCGGCTCTTATTCCGAAAGAACGGGCGACCGCAGGCGTGTGAGCCGTGCCGAAAACGCAAAGTCGCCTGCGATCATGCACAACCAGTATGCAACAGATGCAGAAAGTCGAAGCGCCCCGGGGAGGTGTGCGAGTACATTCTCAGTGACAGTCCGGCAGCATCAAGAGAAACTTCAAGACAGACTCGGCCGCGGGAGCAACGGCGTGCTTCGAGGGCGCCGTCTACCCCGCTGACTTCAACCTTTCAGCCTACCGCAACATCATTATCGCAACTAGGACCCGGGCCCGCTGTGGTATCACAGACGGCATCAACGGCTACAGCCACAACGTCGCCCGCAACATCCACGACCCGGCACCGCCCCTCACTCCCCGCAAGTCTCCCCACCAGCCCGGACTCGGCCAGCACGGCAGCCACACCGGCAGTCACGCCGGCCGTCCTCGGCATCGGCTACCTCGGCTTCACCTCCTTCTGCGGCATCTACGAAGAGACCAGATCAAGTCTAAAGCAGCTCCAGCCGTCCACCGCGGCGCCCATCGGCGAGATCGGGACCACCGCGTACTGCGGGCTCGAGTGCTCTCCGCCCCTGACGGCCCAGGCGCTCGAGACATGCCTGACTATCCTCCGCCACGTCCCGGACCGCGAGACGGGGCTCAAGCTGTTCGACAGCCACTTGAACCCGAGTGATGGGTGGATCCGTCTGGCGGCAAAGCACATGATGATATCGCTGTACGACACGTTTCCGCAGTACTTCTCCGCCAACGAACACGAGCGACGGCCGGATGATGCCCAGCTAACCGCGCTCGCCCGCACTATCTGTGGAAACACTGCAAAGTGCGTGTCTGACGAGGAATCGGACCCGGCCAAGTGGATGGCGCAGTTCACCGGCACCAATTTGCGGTGGGAATCGTTGGGCGTGATGTTTGCGTACTGGGAGCTAGCGGCTCGATATCTCGGACCGTACCGGCCTGACGTCGGCTCCCGATTTCAATGTGTTGATGAAGGGACGAAAGTGGTTATGCAGTATCGGTATTGCCTTGGCGCTTGTATAGAGTTGACCAAGGCTGCTGGGAGTGGGGGGAATACACTACTCCTCTTCATGTGTTCGAAGCGGACGATTATCGAGTCGCTCTTCTCGGGCGATGCTAGTAAGTTACATCTTCTTTTGGATCCTAGAAGGCTACTATCGTCTCCGTTTGTGGAGTGAAGCAATATTATTAATCTCGGTGTAGATGTCAACTGACGATTCATATTAGGCTTCGCCTGCTGGCAACTCCACGCAGAAACAGTAGCCCTATCCACCTTCCTCGGCTTCCACGACGAAGTCGCAGCGGCGCCGGGGGTTGGCTACAAGCCGACCGTCTGCTCCGAGATCAAGCGCAAGCTCTTCTGCTACATCTTCTACGTGGACAAAGTCCTGGCCTCGTTCGCCGGCAGGCCGCCCCTCATCAGCCGCCGGTACGCACGCACGCCGCCCCCGCTGGATCTAAAGGACGACCACCTCCTCTCCGACGAGGCCACGCTGGCGCGCCACGTGGCCGCACTCGACGAGAACGGGTGGAATACCGAGGGCGGGCTCTACTCGGCCACCATTGTACGGTCCCGGGTGATGCTGGCACACATCCGGGACGAGATCTTCGAGATCGCGCTTGGCCAAGGTTCCGTGACGCTGGTGGAGACACTGTTGTAAGTGACGCGTGTGGTAGTTGCTACATGTATCTACCTTTTCGATGGCATGAATGCGTTGCTAACTTGATTTGTTCAGAGAAATCAAAGAAAGGCAACTTCGGACGGTTGCCGGGTTCCCTGATATCATGACTTTTAAAGAAGAAGACATACAAAACAGGAAACTTGACATCTCGTTGCTGTACACTCGACTGATCATAAAGCTGGAACATCTCCAAAACATGTTTTTTATCCAGCGGCTGCTCTCGAAAAGGGGGCACGACGATGGCGCCTTGCTGTCTGTCAGCTTCGAGATGGTTTCCAAAACCCTCATGTTTTGGACAAACATGGACCGCCTGTCTTGCATGAACGGAGACTTTGAATGGCTCGTACGTACTCAACCCCCGAAGTTCCTCTTCCATTCAGTACCTCTTGCGCAAGGACTATCTTCAGAACACGAAGAAGACTTACACAGTCACCAGGTAATGGCCTACGCCGCCCCAGGAGGCGGCATCCTCTGCCTGGAGCTCCTAAAACCCACCCTCCACGGCGGCCACCACCCGCAGAATCCCCAAGTATCCCGGTCAAGCATCATCCAGAAGCTGAGCCTCCTCGTCGGCTTCCTAGACTGGGTCAGCCCCACGGCGCCCAACGGTGACCTCTGCGCAGACTGCAAAGTCATCATCCAGCGCGTCCTCGACCAGGCTCTCAACGGCCCCGCGGCGTCGGCCTCGTCTGCCGTCGACGGCGGGTTGCCCGGGGTATTGGATATCCCCATGGACTGGGATTTCTCCACGCAGCTTGATTTCAACTTTGATTTGCTTGATACGTTTGACTGGTTGCGCCCCGAGGTCTCTTTGAGTCAACAGTCGTCGTAGTGGTTTAGGGGGGGGGGTAGCACTTATTTATGTTTTTGGTTTCTCAAACCCCCCACACCACTCCCTCAACAACTTTATACCCAAATATTCTTGTTTTCTGTTACTATGGGGGTGAGAATAAGTCATGGACTAGCTGGAATACCTACATAGTACCGTCAGACCATCGAATCATAGCCCACCCAAGCCAAGTTAAGAATCAGTAGCTGCCTTGAGCTGCCTGTTAAATATCTTCATGCTCGAGCATTACGAACCCGGTTCCAGCAGCCTCATTACGTTTACTCTAGTGAAGTCTTGATATGCCCACATGGGAACTCATCTGTAGCCTTTACCCCATTCATCGTTGTGTTTTTAGGGTACGCTTCAGAAGCTTCGTGAAGTCCAGGACTGAGAAAGGAGAAACGATTGTAACTTCAATCCGCTGTATACGGGACCAGCGTTTGTCATGATTTGTGTTCACGACCGAGCTGCGTTTCCCTGCTGCGCAAACTAAGCGCGATAGCGGCTAGGCACACAGCATAAAGGCAGGCTCATTTGACGATGTGAATGATTTTCTAGTTGCACCAGACGGGTAAGGTGTATCTCACGCGGATGGCAACTTTCTCAACCTTCGGTAGTCAATGTCAGCGGCGAGGCGCAGGCCTTCCCATTAGCAAAAACCTATGTCATCAACTACTACATAGCGTCGATAAGTTTGCATGGACTTTATGAGAGGTAATAACGAGTTGGATATTAATCTCATCTTATTTCTCCATATCCGTCTACAAAGAATCTCAACATGAAGCAGAATAGAAAAAGCTGGAGACCGATGTACTGACGCCATCGAGCAGTTGATGGGATGGTGTGACCGAGATAGCGGCCTGCTAGTCAAGTCACCTCGCGGCATAGACATAGTTCCTTACGATCCTGTACACTGGATTGGAATGACTAAAGGAGCAGGCTATCGATTTAGCATGTCACAGTGGTGGGAGAGAGCTCTGCTTGAAGTGTGGTCATCTAGAGGAGGCTTGCATTGAGCCAACATCATTCTCGACAAGACCCTACTTTCAGTTAGGACAAGTACGAATCTTACGCAGTCTGTTGATCATGGCGCTAGTAGCTACCGCAACTGGAGCTCACTTGCCGCACAATCCAATCGTTGGGTCAGAGCAACAGCGTCCGTGATGGCGATCCAAGCAGCAATAAACTAGAACCTCAATATACGAAAGGAATCGCGCATCGGCGGTCAACACCTTCCTTCCTGCACCAATGAGGCGTGTCACAGTTGCGGCAGTCTGGCGTTGCAGGGGTATCGTGTCGTTTATAGAAACGCCAGGTTGACGCCCATTAAGCGATCATCGGATCCCGCCGATTCATAGTCTACTCCTTCCAGACAAGATGTCGAAACTTTGAAGCTATCGAAAGGCACCGGGCCGGCCCTTGCTGCCGCTCGTAGAGCATACCACGAGACCTTTCCCCCTTGGATTCTACCTAGTGCGGCCCTTTACCATGTAGTCACTCAGCCATACGTGCCATGAAGTCCCCCAGCTGGGCCCTCCTTCGGCTCCGGGGCCGCCACTGACCACCGCTGGGAAAAGATTGGCCCAGAAGAGTGGAGTTTTAGCGTATTTTGTACATAACCGAGAAGCCCATACGCAGTAATCGCCACTTGACCAAGACGTCACTCGACCGCGCGGAGATTTTCCCATGTTGCAGCGGGAGAACCGGCTGTATCCATAACAACTCTTCCACGGAATCGATGCGCTACTTGTCAACATCAGCCAGACCAGACAAAAGCCGGTCAAGCTGACACGGTGAGCTTCAACGGCCGCGCAGGGAGAAGATCGCTGAACCACGAATACCTCCGAGGAGTTATAAAACACGTCTGGACGATGGTGCACGCTGACTGCCACATGGCGATCAGGAAATAGCAGGAGAATGCTATGGGTATTCATGATACCGCATCTGATTGGCATCGGCTACAAGATGGCGGCTGCATTTGCCCAGACTCCAGAGACCTGGTTCGTAGGTGAATTGAAACCGATGATGCCATAGGACGGTTGGATGATGATCGTCGGGGGCGATCCTTCTCCTTCGTTTCTTTTTTTTCTTTTCTTTTTTTCTTTTCTTTTTTTCTTTTCTTTTTTCGGACATGCCCATCTGTGGTCCAGACCCATCATCGACCTTTTCAGTCGTGTCAAGCTGGATTATCAACCTAGTAGGCATGGGGGGCAGACACCACGTAGCAATCTCTCAGATGGACCGCAAATAACTCGTGCGGAGGCGTTGTTAGTTGATACGCAGAGAGGAGGTGGGCGAGTCAATCCCTAGATATTACAAGAGATTTGTGTCTGAAATTCTCGAAGGGTAAACAGGCAGTTTTATCGAGCTGGATGAGGTATCATGAACGCAACTCCAAGGCTAATAACAAGTGAAGCCCGGCCGGTCCATATGCGGATGACTGAAGGCTAGAGTCTGCGCCAATGACGTGTGTGTGGTAGAGTCGGTTACGGTCGAGACTTCTTATTCTGGCCTGTTCGCATGCCAGGCACGCGCGAGTCCTTGCAGCGGCGTTGAGTCTAAGACCTGCAGACAGGGATAATTAAGCACGCAGTCGGTGAAAGCAATCAGGCTCTGGAAAAACACTGTAGCGTGGCGAGCACGCAGTGCCGTGCGTGGCATGGAGAACTTGAAGTATGGAATGAAAGTCGTTGTCGTTGAAAAATGTGAGACAACGATATTTCCCAGGTCGGCTTCGTAACCCCGATCCGGATGTCGATGAAATGGGGGACGGGGAGTCCGAGTCCGGTACCTCACCCGGGTGTCACCGGTTTTGGGCGGGCCTAGAATTTCGGGACGGGAATGAGACCTCGTTCGACAAGCTGCAGCCCGGCGGAGCAACACCGGTCGGATGAATTCGATGGTTAAGCATGTACTGGAGCGCCTCGATCGACGGCATAGCCTAGGTGCCGTGTTCTGTGAGCAAGGTACGATGCACAGAGCCGATTCGAGGTGTGCTTCATCCGCACAGGCAATTCCTCCCTCAGACTCGAGAGTCTAGGCCTCGTGCAGCATACGGTGTCGAATGTGGGCTTCCGATACTAGCCTTGCCGCTACTCATTTTGCATCGCGAGGCACGCTGTAGCGCGCCTCCTTGTCGCATTCAAAGTTCTGGAAGAAGAAACGACATCCACGTTGTTGAAGGTGAAACCCACGGCTGCAGTGCAACAACAGGTGTTCGCAGGTCTGACGGCGGGGCGCCGTTTGCTTAAGAGCCAAGCACCAAGCCGACGCACGTTTTGTGGTGGTGGATTCTTCGACACGATTGCCGGTTCAGGATCAAGGGCCCAGAATGGGACCACAAAGCCACCAACGCAGACACCCGGTCTGATCCATCAGCATGGCTCTCTGAGCATCGAGCCCGCAGATCGAGGTTTGGCGCGGACGGACGTCATTGGCTCAGTAATCTAGGGGTTTCGGCGCAGCACTGTCGGCCAGGCTGAAGGAGCGCGGTTGCTTTTGTCCATTGTCTATCACAATTACCTTACTCTCCGTTCGCCAGAGCTTCAGCGAGCCCGCATCTTCCTGGAGCTGTGATGCTGGGTGGCCAAGCTCTGAACGCAGATCGAGTTGAAGGAAGTCGTCGCCCTGGCCAGGGGTTCGAGATCCGGCACCGAGTTGTGTATCAGCCCCGTGCTATTTGATTGGAAGTGATGTGTGAGTAAGGCAAGGCAACTTTAGCCTTTGGTGCCCGCGGGAACGAAGGCCGGGTACTGCTTGAGAGATGCCGCGAAGTGCGGCTTTCGAATTAGCAGATGGGGTTTGAAGTCTCCCTCCCAAGACGGCTGACTTTCTTTTTCCTGCCCGCAACTCAATCTGACTACGACCGGTGTTTTGCAACCCGAATGGCGACTCCATATACTCAATCATAGCTTGATCAGTTGGCGAGTTGGGGACGATGTGCACCTTGGAGAATGAGTCTCAAGAGTCTTGTCGGAATTCATGACACGCCAGTGGGTTGTAGCTCAGAAAAATACTGGAGCCGGAACCCTGGTTCAGCTGGAGGTTGGTGTGCTATTGACGAATAACAGTCCATCTTTTAGCTGTTGAAGCTTGTCGAGACAGGGTGCCCAGCTGCACAACCGTTCAGCTGAGCTACCCAAAAGTTAGGATTTCGAAGTGACCAACGATCCGTCTCTTCTCAGTTGGGTTGTCTGGAGGGAGACATAGAGGGAGGGGGCGTAGAGTAGGAAATTGCCAAAGCTTTCCAAATAGGTTGCGCGCGAAATAAGTGCCGCGCAGACTGCAGTGTCGATACGGCGAGTTAAACCGGAGACTAACTCGATAGAGTTACGAAGGCGCTAAAGCTTGCGAGGACTCTTGAGTCTAGAGTCTGGAGGCTGCTCTCGTGCTCCGTAGGTACGTAGGCACGTAGGTAGTTTACGGATACCGAGCTGTCATTCCCAATCCATCAATGGATCGGCCGAGTGGCTGTGGCGTGTGGGCGTGCACTTCGTCGTAGGGGCGGCGGCGGCACCAAAGCCAAAGACAGAGTCTGGGAACAAAGCGGGAACGTTTGGTGGTGCTCGATGATTCATCATATTCCCCGGTGGAAGCGGCAAGCGGCAAGCCGCAAGCCGCCCCGAGCTCCAATTTCATTGCGACCTGCATTGACAGGCAGGGAGGTGGGTTGAAAACGGGTTTGCGCTCTGCCCGCGATGCTCGGTTGCTGCAGCTTGACACACGACGATGGCATCGATCGGGTGGTTCTTTTTTTCGCGATGGAGTACGATGGTTCAGGGGATATCGTGGATGGGAATCTGTGTCGGCGAGCACAGCGAGATGGTCAAGGGTGTTGAATTCGGTAAGCTCTTTTCGGCAGGTTTGACGGCGCTTTCTCATGCAGTGCCATGCCAAGGGCCCAGGGCAAGGCAGTCGGGAGTATTCGTATCCCATTGCTGCTCGAGGAAAGCAGAATCCGATGAATCAGAGATGTGACAAAGACGAGCACTGCGTACGGTGTAGGAGGATGTATCCGTAGGTACGTGAGGTAAGCAAGTGGTTACTTGGTACGTAGTGTCCGTAGAGTCAGTACGGATACTGGGTGCTCGCCGGTGGCCTGAGGGTTGTGTGGTCCCTGGTAGGGCAGCAGGTACGTACCTAGGATACCTACCTCAGATAAGGTGGCAGGGTGGTGAGGTACGTTCCCAACTTCCCTGTGGTGTTCTCCACTAAACTAGTGCCATGGGATCCGTCCGGGTGGACTCGATCTCTGGAACCCCGGACTTTATGTCTGCATCAGAAGTGCCCCTCGATCTCGGTGCACTGCTATCCATCTTTCCCATGCCCTCACCATCGCCATGCAATCTTGCGGCCCTTTCTCCTGTTCCTTGCTACCCACGCTTTCCCCCCCTGCCACGTCTCGGCCTCTTCGACATGCCTCTTTCTTACAGTCAGATTCTAGGTATCTTGTCGGCCATGGCGCCGTGCCCTGTCTATGGTCGCGGAGCTGGCCCCGGTAACCGCCATGGCCGTCCTCCTTGCCTCATTCAGAATCGGCCGACAGGCAGGGACAACGTGCCAGTCTCAGTCTGTATGTACCAATTCTTGCCGAACCTCTCCTGTCTCTTGGGTACTCCGTATGCATGGCAAATCCAAATCTGGCGGCCACCCGAACAGACTGGGAAGGGGGGTGGCCGGGGGGGCCCAGACCCGGAAGGATCATGAAATTTCAGGGTCCAATGTGACTTTGTGTCTCTGCTTGCCATTCGAGGACGTGAACAGTAGGAGGAGGCGTCATGACTACTCTAAGCCATCGGCGGTTTGTCCGTGCAAACTGATTGGACACTTCTATCATTCTCTTGTCTGACGACCTCCATTCCATCCATACCTGACTGCGTACAACCTCTCACCCTCCAGTCAGTCTGTTGTTCCATCTCGTTGAATCAAATCTCGGAATAACAATATCCTACGGCCAAGTCAACCATCAACTTTCTTCCCAGAACGCGGTGCCTATCTCACTGCATAGTACTCCACCCCTTTAGCGAGCTTGCGTCGTGAACCTTCCGGGTTCAGCTCAGTTGGGACGGCGGCTTGACCCTGCATGTGTCCCAGTGTTCATCAGGAACTGCGTAAACGACTCTCTGCAGTGCTCCAGTCAGCTAGAACTGCTAAGCAAAACGCCCCGGGACTTTGATGCTCATCTGGACAAAAACTCTGCCCTTCTTACCCCATCAGAGGCCGCTCCGTCTTGTTCGTGCCTAGAACGGCTACAAAGAGACAGATCGTCCTTCCCCTTCTCTCTTTCTCGCCTCTCCATGCTTTCCCATCTCACTCCCGATCATCTAACCTAAAAGTCGATGCCGTAGCTCTCTTGCAGCCTCATCATCCGACCACACAACCATCGCATCGCGGCAAGACCCCTGGGCTAGCGGCTACTGCGTCATTCTCTTCGGCCCCAACCTAACCTCACCCTTCCCTTCCGCTCCAGGACCCAGAGTCCAAGGTTCCTCCTAGCTTGTTCCTTGCCCTAAGGCCCTAAGGGGAACCCTGTCTCCCGCTCCTCGCCTACCTACCCTCCCCTTCCACTCAACCTCGCCCCTTCTACTAGGTACTTGCATCCCGCTCGCACATCATCATTGCAATTTCTGCGGCGACTCCAAGACTAGTCTCTTTCCCAGCTGGTCGGGAGCTAAAGCAGATCTAACGGCTTCTCTTACGCCATGACTTTGGTTTAGAGTCCTACCAACACAAACTTGTCTTAACCCACTCCCTCGCTCTCAGAACTCCTAACTTACGGTATCACTCTTTACTCTCTATCCTGCCAGCGAACCGTTGTCTGAACACAGTCGAACACTCCATCCACTTCAAACTCCGTGCCAGCTAGGCACTGCAGCAAACGGACTAAACATTGTCTCTGCACTGCTTTTACTAGAAAGCACAATCCGAACAATATCTATCCACGATGGCGGCATCCAATATCCTCATCTACCTGCTCCGGCATGATCTTCGCATTGCGGACAATCCTATCCTCCACCATCTCACAACCGCGTCTGATCACGGCTTCACACACGTCCTCCCTGTCTACGTATTCCCGGCACATCAGATCGAAATTTCCGGCCTCTTGCGCGAAGGGGGCAAGTCTCCCTACCCAGAAGCTCGCAGCGAGATTGGCAAGTTCTGGCGGTGTGGACCTCATCGAACAAAGTTCATTGCCCAATCTGTATGGAACGTCAAAGATTCTCTGGAAGGCGTGGGAAGTGGCATGGCTCTACGTGCAGGCAGGTTTGGTGACGTCGTTGGCGACCTTCTCCAAGGATTTGCGGACAAGCGCCTAAAGGTTGGCGCAGTCTGGATGGTCGAGGAGGAAGCCATTGAAGAGAAGAAGGACGAGAAGGCAGTGGCCAAAGCCTGCGAAAAGCACGGGGTCCAGTTCAAGACTTGGCTGGACGAGAAGTACTTCATCGACGAGTAAGTGTATCTCAGTTGACGCGATGTTTACGATCTAACGGCCCTCCTTTCAACAGTCGCGACCTGGGCTTTAAAGCTCCCAGCGATCTTGCAGACGTCTTCACAGCCTTCAGAAAAACCCAGGAGCCGCTCCGCGAGAAACCAAGGCCTGCACTGTCACGCCCTGCGAAGGGTTCCCTCCCACCCTATCCTGAGCAGTCCGTCATTCCTCCCCAGCAAGCACCATTCGAGATTCCATCCACCTACGATGCTCTAGAGGCAGGTCTTCTCAAGCCATTGAAGTGTCCGTTCGAGCAAGAGCCCAAATTCCCTGAGAAAGCCACCTCTGTTCATCCTTTCAGTGGTGGCGAGGATGTTGGCATCGAGCGTCTTGACCATCTCGTCAAGACTGGATCCATGTCTAGCTACAAGGATACTCGCAATGGTCTCCTCGGAGTTGACTTTAGCACCAAGCTGTCAGCCTATCTTTCACTTGGATGCTTGACGTCTCGCCAAATCCATGAGGCCATGGTTAAGTTTGAGGATGGACAAGACGCAAAATACAACGATACGCCCGGGTACGGCAAGGGAGAAAACGACGGAACCAAGGCTGTGCGGTTCGAACTCCTCTGGCGCGACTACATGCGACTTTGCACAAAGAAGTTTAGAGGACAGCTCTTCCACGTCACTGGCTTCAAGGCCGACAAGACACCCAAGTGGAAGTCAGCAGATCCTGAGCATGTGGTTTCTGACGATAACCTCGGTGCATCGCCCGACGATATCCAAAAGACACTGAACAGGTTCCTCGAGGGAACTACTGGCATGGGTCTGATCGACGCTTCGCAACGCGAACTTTACCACACTGGTTACACTTCTAACAGAGCTCGCCAGAACGTGGCTTCGTTCTTAAGTAAGCATCTTGGTATCGACTGGCGGTACGGAGCCGAATGGTACGAGTACCTTCTCGTCGACTACGACGTGAGCTCAAATTGGTCCAACTGGCAGTACGTCGCTGGTGTCGGCAATGACCCTCGTGGCGACAACAGAATCTTCAACCCTGTCAAACAAGCCTTTGACTACGACAAGGACGGAGAATATGTCAAAGCTTGGGTAGTTGAAACTCGTAAAGTTGAAAAGTTGGAGAATGTGTTCCAACTATGCACCACACCCGCGGATGAGTTGGAACGTCTTGGTCTGAACAACAACATTATGGTCACAGATCCTATCAAGAAGATCGACTTCTCGGTAGAAGGGAAACCCAAAACTGGCAGACGGCAGTATAACAACCGCCGACGAGGCCGAGGCAATTCTCACCAGAGCAATGGGTCTAACGGTGGACCGGCCAGGGGACCTCCACCGGGATCGGGTAGCTCCAACGGTGGTTATGGCCACTCCAACGGTGCTGCTTCAGACCAAGGTTCGACAGGTCACTCTTCATCTAGATCTCCACCCAACGGCCCTCAGGGATACCGTACCAACGGAGGAAACGGAGGGTACCGTGGCGACTTCCGTGGTGGCTATCGTGGCGGACGCGGTGGTCGAGGTGGAGGCGGTGGGAGCGGGGGCGGGAGTGGAGGTGGCTACCGTGGCGGTCGAGGAATATTCAGTGGTGGCAGGGGAGGGGGCTTCAACACATACTACATGCCGAGCTCTCATCCCAACAATCAGCCTCGTCCGCAATGGACAACTGCAACCTCTGGTCCTCAGACGTAGGACGTCTGTTGGTGTAGAATGATGGGTTTGGGCAACCATCTGCTGCCTCGTTATACACACACTCCGGAACGTTGCGCACCATGGGCTTATCCATGGTCTCACTTTTACATCCGCTGTCATTGCGAAAGGAACTCTTACGGCAACTATCGACTACCCCGTTGGGAGCACACGCCTTATCACTGCCAACCATGGCATTCAGGCCGTTGGAAGTTCATTCACCTCGGTCTTCCACAGCACGGTGACATTATAATCAAAGTTGGTGGTTCCCTACATTTTGGTTGAGTCGCCCATATTGATACATGTTGGGTGCGGATCAACGATGAGAAATACAGACGGTACAGGTTGGATATGGGATGCGTTGTTGCGGTCAGGCCACAACTCACCAACGAAGGATGAAGTCAAATGTCACAACTGGCGTGATTAGAAATTTGGTTGCGCAGTGAGGAGTGTTGCAGTCAATCCGAGCGATCAGCCTCTACAGGCAATGTATAATACGCACGCACGAAATGTACCTAGCGCTTTCTTCGCGTTGATATAAAAATCAACATTTTACTTGGTCACTTGCCTTGAAGTCCCATTGGTGTCCAGCAAGCGAAATAGGTGCGAAGATGGTCCTGATGCGTGACTAGACTACATTAGCAGTCACGGTCTACAAATAACTGGGTACGATGACCACCTGTCAGGCTCCAAAGCCTTTGTAACTTTGAAGCTTCTAGTGTCTTGTGGTTGTACCCCATGAACATAACGTCAGTGTCGCACACGATCAAGCAAAGACGGGTAGGCAATGAGCGGTATACATAGTCAGAATGACCATAGCAGGCTGGGTTAGGCACTACTGGAAACCAATTTTGACTCAAGTACAGGAATTGATCTAGGCTCTCCTTGAATCGAGACTACAACTCGCTTTTCTCCTGGAGGCAAAAGGCTAGACTCGACCATATATCAAGTATTACCTTCGTGAGCAGTATATGCGCGGTTGAATCAAAGTACCTCGCTGTAGATGTCACTGATGGTGTCAAACTTCTGTTCTGGCTGAATGGTATGTTTGTTATATTTTCCTGATTTTGGAGGTATCACGAGTTTTATCTATTGCTTCTTCTTTTTTTATGAACCCACATCTATCGGTACATGGCACTTTCAGTGACCTCCCGCCCCCTTTTCCCTGCCTCAATTTTAGGTTAGAGGCATCGAGGCATCGTGTGTCCCTTTTGCAACGCCATGGAATGAATGCACTTCAACTTCCCCTCTTTTACCATCTCCCCCTTTTCGATAGCCACCTTCGTGTGTCAAACCCTCGCCCTCTCAGAACCTCCCACCAAGAGGCTGCACCTCAATCCCCTTGGGCACCACAAAAAGCCCCTTTGCCTCAACTACAGTAGCCCCATCCGGATCCTCCATCCGCCCGATAATCCACAACTTGCGATCCGTCTTGTCCTCCTCATCAGGCCTCTCCTTCTGCCACTCAGGCAGCGCCTTCCCCACACGAACAATGTAAAGCATGCCCGGCGTGACAGGCACCTTGAAATCCATGGCCAACTTGGCCGTAACAGCCGTGTTGGCAGTGAAATTCAGCGCCGCGAGGCGGCCCATGGCCTCGTCCATGATGGTCGACAACATCCCGCCGTGCACCACGGACGGCCACCCCGACGTTCCCTGCCCGAACATGATGGCGAGGATGAGTTCGCCCGTGTACTTGTGCCTGAACACGATGTTGACGAGGCCCAGGCCGTTGGGGTTATTCAGCGCGGGGCCCGCGCAGAGGTGGTGCGCCGTGCGCTCGGGGGAGAAGTCTTGGTAGGGTTCCCAGTTCTCCCAGTCCGATAGGGGCAGTTGCGGCGTCGCGACGCCGCCGGGGACGGGGGCGCTGCCGGGGGGCATGGTGGGGACGAGGGACTGGAGGATGGGGTAGTCCTCGATGGCTTGGAAGGTGGCGTGGGCGCGGAAGAGGGGGATCTGCTGCTCGTCTGCTTCGACGGGCGGGTAGAGAAAGGGGGCCGTGAAGCGTATGTTTGCGATTTGGTCGTCGGTGAGCTTGTAGCCTAGGGCGAAGAAGAAGAGGGCCCAGAGGGTGCGGCGGAGGAGGATTGAGCGGCGGGAGGGGCCGACGCCGGGGCCTGCTGCTGCTGCTCCGGCTGGTGAACCGGGAGGGGGGATCGGGGCCCCGGGGATGCCTCCTGCTCCTCCTGGTGGTGTTGATGGTGGTGTCGTCGAGAGGAGGGCTGTGATTTGTGCCGGGGTGAGGTGGGATAGGTTCGAGAGGGTTGCGTTGGCGGCGGCCTGTTGTTGTTGGGTTTGGAGGGGTGATTGCGCGGTCGGAGGCGGCGGCGGCGGGCGCTGCGCTTGCAGGCGGGAGGAGGGCGTTGAGGTAAAGGGTCGGAGGAAGGGTCGCGGTGCGATGCGGTGCGCGGGGACGATGTCCCGGAGGAGACGGCGGGCGGGCGCTCTGGGTATCATCTTGAAGGTTGTTGTTTGTCTGTCGAGTGTCTACAATTGGCGCATTCGGTTCCGTGTAATGACAGTGAGCGCTTCGCGCGACCGGCTCAATTGGGTGGGAGGCGTGGTGGTTCTTCTCCCCCGTGATGGAGTCGAGGTGGGTGAAGGTGGAAACTTGGCGATTTGAGAAGTTGTCAATGGAGGCTCAACTTTTGGTGGAGACCCATATTCGTTTGGTCGCCGGGTTTCGGTGAGCCTTCATAGCGGGCTCGGTGAGTCGATTGAGCTCGGTAAAGAAGCTTGGACCAGCTCACCCCTTTCAGGCTGCGCACGGATCCTCGCTTACATAGCTCCCGGAGCAATCTTGGATAGGACCACGGAGCTTGATGTGATGTCACTGCTGCAATAATTCGATCGGATGGATCGATCTCTGTGGGGAACACGAAACAAAGGCATCTCATCGTGAACCTGGTATCGAAGAAAGCAGCGGGGATACGCCTTTTGTATCGGGGTCACGTCTATGTCATACTGCTACCACTCCTATGGACGCCAAGCTGTCTATTCGTAATGCCTCTATCAATGCCATTGGAGGGGCTTGAGGGGAGGGGGAGAGAGGAGGAGAAACACTCCCAAAGAAGAACGAAATGACGAAAGAGATCTAAGACGAAAAGTGCATACTCCCTAGGCTCTACCAAAACCCAGAATCAAATCTACGCGGCCATCAACGTGCTCCAGGCAACCCAGATGCGACGCGACTTGGGCACCGTCGCTCGCCCACTCCCGTCTGCCGCAGCGCCGTCGTTGCGCATGAGGACCCGGCCAATTTCCATGTAGCTCTCCACGGCGACGACCATGGGGCCGCGCGCCTCCGAGGGAATCCACTCCATAGAGTCTCTCGCCTCGCCGTAGTGGTCAAAGGCCTTAGCGAGGATGCGACGGCGCACATTGCCGGCGCCTTCGCTGTTAGGGTTCGCGAGAACATCCTTGGGCGTCAGGCCCTCCTCCTTGAGCCAGGTTGTGGGCAGATAGACTCGCCCGATTTTGGCGTCTACGGCAATGTCGCGGGCAATGTTGACGAACTGCAACGCGAGGCCCATCTGGCGCGCTGTGTTGCGTAGGTAGGCTTGCATGTAGTCGGGCAGGCCGTGCTGGCAGTGGCGGAAGACCAGCTCTAGGCAGGCCTGTCCGACGGTGCTGGCGACGCGGGCAGCGTAGAGCTCTAGGTCCTCGGGGTCCGTGATCGGGAAGGTGTCTTTGCTGAAGGAGAGGTCCATCTCGAAACCCTTGAGGAGCTCAGCGAGGGGTTCGCGGGGCATGAGCGATGCGGGGAGGAGGTCCAAGGCTGAGAGGGCGGATTCTGGAAAGTTTTCGGCAGCGTATTTCGCGGCGAGGGGCGCCGAGGTCGCGTCGGGGTCTTTGTAGAGCAGACTTAGATGGCGGTCGAGTTTGGAGATCCAGGAGGCGGCCTCGTCAGGGGTCTCGGCATCGTCGACAAGATCGTCGGCTAGACGGCAGTATGAGTAGCTGCAGAGGGGAGGAGATGGTCAGCGACACGGGGTTACATTTAGGTTTAGGGCGCTGGAACTCTACTTACAGCAGCGTCAGGTCGATCCGTAGGCGGCCTGGGAAGACGGAGCTGGCGAGATGGAAGCTACGACTCTTCCTGGCCAGTCTGGTGACCGCCTGGCGAATGCCCAAGATGCGCTCCATGTCGTACTGAGATGAGGGGAAAACGCGGGCTCGGAGGAGTGACATGGACAGGGCGTCGGCTGGCTTGTCAAACTTGTCTGGGAATGCATCGCAGACCGCAACGGCCTTGTCAAAGGCAGCCACGCCAAAGACGATGAGCATGTTGGTGACGAGGAAGAAGGTCGCCTCTTCAATCTCGAGGCTGCCAAAGAGCTTGAACTCGAGTTTCGTGCCACTTTCAATGGCCCAGGTGCCACGGCCCAAGGCCATCTCGTCAACGACCCATAGGTAGATCGTAGGCAGTAAGATGGGTAGAGCAGTGCAAGCTAATGGCAGAGCCAGGAGGAACTGCGACGTAATAGTCCAGGTGAGGAGCGCAAAAGAGCATGCCCAAACCAAAATCAGGCCCAGGTAGGTGCCTTCACCCTCCTTGGCAATCAGCCATGCGCCGAGGGCGACGCTGCTGAAGAGCGCTAGCTGGCCGAGAGGCTTCGCAGTCTTTATCCATTTCGGTAGCGTGGTAGGGGAGTTAAGGTACTGGGCATGAAGTACAGGCTTGTTGAGGATAATGTAGAGCTGAGCGGTGATGTACGTTTGTATGACGAAGAAGAATAGCTCCTCAATTGGGATGTCATAGAGGGTCGGTCCCAATACCGCGTTTGGGGGATACGTCCAGATGCCGGTTCTGATCAGATACGAATCCCAGGGAATCGTGGCTGTAAAAGCGATTGTCACAATGAAGAGAGTCCTCACGACATCGAGGCGCGTAAAGAGAGGGTATGAGATAAACGCGAGCAGTCCCGCCAGAGGGATGGTGTACTTGACGTGCCTAGCAAGGGATGAGTAAGTGCTGTTGAAAAAGAGCTGAGCGGCAAGATCACTTACACCAACGCGTAGTCGTAGCCCATCTTGGGAGGGCTGCAATTTCTGAAGGCCGTGAAGAGTCACAAAAATGAGCAGATTCTCATAGGGTGCTGAAGGAAGAATACGCAGGCTCGGCGACGTTGAGGGTTGATAAGAATTGAGGCTTGTTCTTTCGGCGGCTCCTGCCCGCAGCGCTCGCCCTGTCTACAGTCCGTCCGACTCCGAAGCAGGACAGATTGCAAGCTGTTCCTGCGGCTAGGTTGCACAAAAGAAAGACGGTACCTTGGGGCGTGTGAGAGAGACGAAAGGTGAGGTGGGATTAGACCGGGCGGGTGTTAACGCAATTATGACGGAGAGGTTAGCGTCAGGGTAAGGTAGGTAGGCAAGTAAGGTGAAGAGAGGTGAGGTGAGACCCCACGTCGGCGTTGCAGCGTTGCGACTTGCACGTAAACCTGCCACTGCCGTTTTATCGTCCCTTTTGATTGTTCTGTCGAAGACGGACTATTCACCGTTGCTAGCTGGACTTTGTGACTCCGAGAGGATAACGGAGGCCGGTCGGGTAGTTCCCGGTGGGAGGAATGGTGAATTGTCCCGAGTGGAGTGGGATAGAAATCCGGGTTGGTCGTTGTCTTGCGGGAACGTTTCTCCGGCCGTGTTTCCACGCGCTGTTTTTTTTTTTTTTTGCTCGGGGCTCGGACTTTTCTGAAGTTCAGAGATTCCAGACGAAGGCAACGAAGATGCCAAGGGTGCCGACGGACTGTACTTCGTCGTGCAAGGTGGTGTAAGATGGTTGTGGTGGCGCTTGCGAGGATCCCGTAGACAGAGCTTCTTTCCGGATCCGGCAAGACAGTGAGTGCGCTGGACCAGGTGGGGGGAGGAGCTGTGTCTGGAAAGAAAGGCAGGGATGGAGCTTGTATTGGGAATGGGAATGGAATTGTTGAGGATCCAAGGTGCAGCTGCAGCTCTCCCTCTGGCGTCTTGGTGTAAGCTACACGTTGATTAATTCGAAAGCTCCAACTTCAATGGTGGCTGGTCCGGCCCGGCGTGGTTGGTTGGCCGAGTCCGAGGGGAATTGCAAAGTCTATGACGACCATATGCGCGTCGTCCCAACATGGGATTTTGCATACAACCAGCCAGCCCACTTTCAGGTTCTGATCGGATCAGGGATTGATGAACGGGTAGTAAGCGGGCGCGGATCTAGTGGGTTTTTAGCCAGGTGGGAGAGGAGGCACTAAATGTTTTCTTGAGAAGAGAGCTCAAAGATAGGGAGATACGGCCATGTGTCAAACATGGTGGGAAGGGGTGAGTAAGACAAGGCGGGATGGATGCCAGGTGCCGGTTTGCCTTTCAGACGGGAAGATTCCACGGTGGCTACTACCTATCTGGAACGCCCGGGTCGTTTGGAGGCCGGGCCAGATGAATGAGGTTCAAGGTGATTCATCACCAAACGTCTAATTGATGAGTTCACGGCAAATGGCGAGCTGGAAGACTAAACTGTTACAAATGTCCGAGTCCGCGAAGCTTGGCTCTTTAACCTGCCTCAATCTAAAGCAATAGCCGATGAAGCGGAATAAAACGATCGCGATCTGCGAATACGATATCAATGTCTCAACGACCGTTTTGTTTGGTTGTACCTGTAGCTAGCTTGTTTGTGCATGAGCTCTCATGCGGCACGCCCCTTGCTTCGTACGCCTTATACCACCCCAAGCCAGTGGCAGGCTGCAGCTCAGAAAGAAGCTGCACAAAAAGTTGGGGTGAAGTTTGTGCGCCGTCCGCCCGTCTTGTCTCTACGACGTTCGTCAGCCAGGAACTTCCTCCGAAGTCGAGGTGTCATCACTCTCTCAACTCTCACCCCCGAACCGGCCGGTGCGGAGCTCATCCTCGTGCGATTTCAATCCCACCCCCTGCACTTGCCGCTCCGATGCTTTTGTGGATCCCATGGCATGCGAGGGACAATTGGCCGCCGCGTCTCTCTTCACATGCTTGCTGGAATGACGGGACAATTATTCTAGTATGAATGTTAATCATCTTCCCTTGCGCCAATCCTCTGTCTGCTTGATCAAGTTCTCTCTTTGCCTTGTGAGCTGGTGATAATCTGATTGGGCACTCGATCTCATCTGTTACAATCTCACGACAATCTCACGACAATCTCACGGGCATCACTTATTGCCCTACACTTAGTGCAGCGATCTATCTCATCCTACCTACTCAATAGACAATCCACCATATAATCTCACACACTCCATAAGCAATGCCTCAACTCGGGGAAAAGCCCAAGAAGGCCATCATCGTCGGCGCAGGCGCCGGCGGCGTAGCCCTCGCCGCCCGCCTCGCAAAGGCAGGCTTCTCCGTCACCGTCCTCGAGAAGAACTCCTTCACGGGCGGCCGCTGCTCCCTCATGCACCACGAAGGCCACCGCTTCGACCAAGGCCCCTCCCTCTTCCTCCTCCCCCAGCTCTTCCACGAGACCTTCCGGGACCTGGACACCACCATGGCCGACGCCGGCGTCGACCTGCTGCGCTGCGAGACAAACTACAACATCTGGTTCCACGACGGCGAGCTCTTCAAGCACTCGTCCGACCTCGCCGCCATGAAGACGCAGATTGAGCGCTGGGAGGGAAAGGATGGCTTCGAGCGGTATCTCAAGTGGCTCCGGGAGGCTCACACGCACTATGAGATCTCCGTCAAGGACGTGTTGCACCGGAATTTTGGCAAGTTTCTCGATCTTGCGAGGCCCGGTTTTGTAAGGCACGTTGTGAACCTGCACCCGCTGGAGAGTATCTGGAGCCGCGCGAGCAGGTACTTCTGGACTGAGAGGCTGCGGAGGGTGTTTACGTTCGCCGTCATGTACATGGGCATGTCACCCTTTGACGCTCCCGCGACGTACTCTTTGCTTCAGTACACCGAGTTCGCCGAGGGCATCTGGTACCCCCGCGGCGGCTTCCACCAGGTCGTGGCGGCGCTGGTGCGCATCGGCGAGCGGATGGGCGTCGACTACCGCCTCAATACGCCCGTCTCCCGCGTCCTAACAGATGGCCAGAAGGCGACGGGCGTGGAGCTCGAGTCCGGCGAATCCCTCACGGCAGACGTCGTTATCGTCAACGCTGACCTCGTCTACGCCTACGGCAACCTCCTCCCCAAGACCCCCGCCATCATGGACTACACAAAGTCTCTCCGCAAGAGGGAGGCCAGCTGCAGCTCCATCTCCTTTTACTGGTGCATGGACCGCAAGATCCCCGAGCTCTCCGTCCACAACATCTTCCTCGCCGAAGAGTACCAGGAATCCTTTGACGCAATCTTCAAGAAGCATTCCCTCCCAAGCCAGCCCAGCTTCTACGTCAACGTGCCCAGCAGGATCGATCCCTCGGCAGCGCCTGAAGGAAAAGACACCGTCATCGTCTTGGTCCCTGTTGGCCATCTCCAAGAGTCAAAGGGCGACGGGCCGGGTTTGACGTCGGACCCTAAGCACTGGGACGACATCGTCGCCCGAGCCCGTGCGGCCGTCGTGGAGATTGTGAGTGCCAGAACGGGCTGCGCGCCCCTGACTGACTCCGTTACGCATGAGATTGTCAACACGCCCCTGACGTGGGAAGATAAGTTCAACTTGGACAAGGGCGCCATCTTGGGCTTGACGCATGGTATCTTCAACGTCCTGGCTTTCCGCCCGCGCACACGCGCGGAGGGTTTGGAGAACGCGTATTTCGTTGGCGCCAGCACGCACCCCGGTACCGGCGTGCCAATCGTAATGGCTGGTGCCAAGATCACGGCGGAGCAGATCCTCGATGACCGCGGCCTGGAAGTACCCTGGGCTAGGGGCTTTGACGGTATTTTGAAGCCGCAGAGCCAGTCACCAGGAAATAAGAAGCTGGATAACGTGCGGTACGGGTTCCACTTTGGCTCCGAGGAGGTTGCCATCCTGTCTTTCGGGCTGGTCTTGGCTTTGATTTACTTCATATTTTGGCCTACTGTGCAACCGTGGGTTTGCTGAGCTGGATATTCAAGGTATGAGTGGAATGATTAGGTCATGGTAGCATCTTTTGGTTAATATAGACACGCTACTTCCAAATTCTTGTTGTCATATTACTTGAATTCCCTGTTGGCCATGCTCGCTCGAGTACTTACTCCTCAAAGGTGTTACTTATAAGTACAATAGCATTGGCGAGACCTAGAATCAATCAGCGGTTATCGCCAACGAAAAATTATAAGTCGGCAGAATAAGGTCAAGCCACATTGTATGTCTCATAGTGAGCCTTGAGCTACGATGTTTAGCTCGAGGAGGTAGTAGACAATACATCCTAGCTCTCATTCAAGTCACTCAAAAATGACAAAAATGCAGATAGCTTTCTCCATCTACTTAACCAAGTATAAACGTAACATTTTGTAAGGCTAGCTAAGAGACTCACCCCAAGACCCAGTTGAACGAAAACTTGAGGTCGGCCGACGGCAAGTTTTAAACGAGTGCTTCGGGTTGTTATCGCTTCACGCCTCACATCACCATACTCATACAAGGCTGTGCTTACCTTCCTCCTCACCAGCCCCATAACGTATCCGTTTTCGAATACGTATGGGACGATATTGCGAGCTAGGGACTATTATCCATGTCTTCTTTACCTTCGTCCTTGTTGTGACTGCTTCATGTTACCTACCTTGCCGGCATTGAAACCTTGCGAGAGCGAGCGTACTTGAACTACCTTAGTATAAGGTAACAAAGTATGGAGTCATTGAAGTGCAACAAGCGTACCTTGACATAAAGCCAGTGGAATAAGCTTCTTTCTATAGAGATCGGTATACAAACTTTCCAGTCGACTGCATAAACATGTTGCACCACATTTACCCTCTCCTCACCATCTCCCGGGTCGCATAGACAGAAGCTGGCCTCTGATATATTAAGCTGCTGCAATCCCTAACATTACCTCCCAGCATAATCCTGGGTGTCTTAATTGTTCTGAGATCTGCCAGTGGGCTCGAAAGTCACGAACTGCGATGGAATATGTACACCATAGATCCTACACTAACAAGCCTCCATACAAAGATCTAGAGTTGGCCTTAGCACGTTGCTTCTAGGCGAGGAGAGGAGCGCGGTGGCACGAAGGCTGCGTTCATTCCATAAAGAACAGACTCGAGCTACGGCAACCGATCAATGAAACAACCAGCACTTTGAAAACTCGACGGAACGCTGGAGCTCTCTAGGACTAGCGTTTGTTGGCAGCGTGCCGCCCATCTACTATCGCTCAAGAGTCTGGCTTCCAAGTACCTGGCTCGTGGGACGGCATGGAAGCGGACAGAGACACTTATACATCCAGTGAGGGAAAGCTAATGTCAAGTGAGCTTGATTGGCAGGCTGGCCTTGCCGCGATAGCGGAAAGTACAGTTATTGCTCGATGCGTAGATGTATTCTCGCCTCGCAGAAGAATTCAAAAGGTTGTCAACATGCTCAAAGGAAGCGAATTCTCTTGGCGGCATCATCTACCAAAGATGCCACTGAGTCCTACATCCTACGATCTTACACGAAAAAAGCTACATTATAGTGAAGAAAATATCATCAAGAACTTCAACATGACTCACGTGGCTTTACTCACGGTCTAGTACGTGCTTCTATACATGTGTAGAATGGATAGGTATAACCTCGACTACTTGCGTAAGGCCACCGCCATCTATCGACCCAGTCGCGCACCCGCTGTCATTCTTGCGCCTGGTTTAATGGGATCCATGGTATGGCTTGGAACACTCAGTCAGGTTGCGGCTGGGCGTAAAGGTGAGCGGCTTCGAGGTAGGTGACAATATCCTTATAAAAGCAAGCAAAAGTATCACCAGGGAAAGAAGAGACCGAAAGTTCACACATGCATGTCTGCGACAGACCTTTCCCAATGAAAACCCAAAGTCTCACCTCGTTCGGTTGTATGTTCTCAATGCCGGCATAGCCAGGCCCCGGCTCTTTCCCCATAGCTTGTCGTCACGCTCTACACCCTTTATGGCACTGGGTGTCACGACTTGTAATATATACAAGCTACTATACACATGAGATGCTAACAAGAGCCTACTACTATTGATTGACTTATATGGCGTGTCGCGATTTCTTTACACTCACTACCAGACCCAGAGTCTGCCGGTCGCCTCGAAGGAACATGAAATCGATAACACATGATACCCGCCTTAAGAACGTCCAGAAGACTTTCTTGGCCCTGGTAACTTGCACTGAGACGGTGAAGTACTTGTCTTATATACCTTTGAGAAAGTACCAACGTAAATACTGCCATACCAAGCACGTAAGTACTCGGCGGTGAATTGCCACCCGAAGCGAGAACTGCATACCGCCCATGTTATCATTGCATATGGCAAGACCAGGTCCAGCGATGCCTTCCTTGCTTGCTAGCATTTTATAGCACCGAAACTTCTCCAAAAACACCACCCGTGTCTTCTGCAAGAAGCAAGGCCTCGACTCATGCTGAGACATCAGGAATACTCATGGCGGGCGGACCTACTCTCTTCGATGATGCAGCTCCCCGCTATGCTAGCGAGCCTCGATGATTCGTGACAGCATCGTTGCTCAGACCTTGTAGGGAGTGCTCCATTACTTGCTCGATCCTTGAGCTGAATACGATCGATGTACCACGATATCTTGAACGCAACGTATCGCAGGCAATGACACCCGGAATCTCCTAGACCAAACTGAAGCCCGGCACCGACGACCGAAGCCATGCTCACGGAGGAACATCCCGGTGTCTCCTCCTTCTCTCACAAGCATCCTCTGAGGTTACTCGATAGAGACTTCCTGGCAAGGGCTGAACTTCGAAGCATACCTGGCTGGCAGTCCATGTTCCGCAAGCACCGAGCGTAAAAAATGAGAATGAGACGATGGCATGTACCCAAAGACATCACCAGGCCTCTGAGGAGGACTGATCTCCGAAGCCACTTCCCATTTAAAAGTTTCATTCGAAGCGAGTGCTTTCAACTCCGGCACCATTGCATCACAAGAATGGAACCTCGCACGTCCTGCATGAAGTGGGCACATACTGTGTCATACTCGAAATTCATTGATCGTTAAGTAACCCAGCCAGATAGCGTCTTCCTATTCCCGCAACGACGCATAAAAGAGCCTCTGACGGGCTAGCGGCGTTGAGCCACAACCTCTCAGCTTCGGTTCATGTTTCTCTCCTCAAGTCTCCAAGGGCCTCTCTCATCTCTGGCCACCCCTCGCCTGTGCCGCTGCATCGCGGTTGATGGCCTCTTCCCCGAGCACCTTACTCGCAGCCATGAACCTACCATCGCATACCGTCAGCAAGGAGAACATCATCATCTGCAAAGTACCCACACCCTAATCCAAGCCGCAGGCGGCTCCGGCGCCAGCCCAGCATCATACCGACACGGGAAAGAAACAGCGGCAAGGGCTATACAAACATTTACTGAGAGGGGTAGATACAGACAGGGGGAAGAGAAGGACTACTCACATGCCACCATGCCACGCCCCCAACCCCCGCATACTCTCGGCCTGGACGCTCGTCATGCGGACCAGGTTCTCCGTGTCAGAGAGGTTGGCAGACAGCTGCGCCAGCTGAGAATGAAGATGTGTCTGCGATACCGGTTCCAGTCAGCTCAAATGAAGTCCACCTCAGAGCTAATATCTTCTCCGATGAGCATCTCATCGCTTCCCTCGAACCCCTTCTCTTCCTCTTCCTCTGCCTTTCACGCCATCACATCTCAGAGATAAAAACGCGCACCACAAGGTAAAGGAGGAAGAATAACTCACCAACTGCCGCGTCTTCATCGCGTTACCAGAGCTAGACGACATGGACGGCCTCGTCGTCTGACCCATGCTGATACTCCTCGACGCCATCTTTTCCGGGCTTGTAGCTTCTGGTTCTCTCACTATTGTGGTGTGACGAGAGACAACCCTCGTGAGTGCCGCAAAGTTGCCGACAGTGAACACTGTTTAGTCGTCCTTAGAAGTCTAAATTAGCTAAGCGTCTTGAAAAAATACGTCACAAAACCTCATCTCACTGAGAACGGACTTGTTACTCAGGCTCGCGGTCGATTCTCATCTCGCGCCGCCTTCCTCACAACGAAAAGCAACCAAAAAAACACCACTCACCTCGTATCGCTTGTCGTCAAAAATCCGAAACAACAACCGGCAGAGCCTCAACACCAACTCAGGAAAATCCGTCTGCAGGTAAAGTACTTCAGATAAAGTAGGTAGCCGCCAAGAAAAAAAAGAAGAAGTAGTAATCAACAACTCTTCAGACGGTTCATGCAACCTTGCTGCTTAATTTTTTTCTTCTTATGCTGTTCCTCTCTTCTCACCCTTTCGTCCAAACACCTTTTCTTTTCTGCGGGCGGGAACGTTGGTGGTGGTGGGGGAGGATATCTTAACAGACGGCCGTTAATTCATGCCCTCTCACATCCAAATGCTTGAAATTGTTTGGGATGTCGTCGGACGACGGAAGTGGGGCGGGCTTGACTACCACCCCGCAGAAAGTAAACAAAACATCGACTTTTGATTTGCTGATGCGTCATTGAGTTCTTGGAGGCAGGTGCCAGGTACCAAGCGAGATGTGATCCGTGCACGGCCTTACGCGACTGCGCGACTGCCTCCTCCCGCGCTGCCGATGAGATAAGGCAGCGTCAAACCACCTCACCCACCACCTCCCGTCACCCACGAAAACCTGACGCTCGCTGCAAGGGCAACCAACACCGTAAGGCACACATGAAAAAAGAGTCTCGGGGTGGCTGTTCGCTTCCATGCATGTCCGCCCAGGGCAGGACTGAACTTTCCCGGATCCCCGGCACGGCAACATCCCTCAAAGGGAAAAACAACAAAAGCCCCTCCCGGGAAAGAAAGCCCCTCCATACCGAACATTCAACCATTGCTCCCTCGGTGAGCGGTGAGGACCCTGCCTACCTATCTACCGTGACGTACCTACTATGCGAAATATCACATCATATCATGAGGCAAACTACCTTACATGTATCACATCATATAATCAGATCATGTCGCGTGGATCCCAGAATACTCAAGTCACGTGTCAACCGCGCATTTTCTCTTCCTAAGTAGTTCCTCCAGCATCCGTTCTTTTCCTTTCTTTCCTTCGGCCTTTAGGGACGCGGCGCCATATTTGATCGGTGGTGGCTTTGCCTGGCGCGTTCTTACCCCCTTCCCCCCTCCCCCAATGTTCAACCCCCCCCCCCTCAGGTCAGCGACGACGTCTTACCTCACCTTAGTTCTGAATCACCAACATGCCAGCGTCTCATCAGTCGCGCCTGACACCAAGCCCAAGCCCGCCACAAGCCTCGGCCGGGGCGACGGACTCCTGGACGTATCCGTAGATGTGCAATTGTAAAAAACCCCTTCACCTAGGTATTGCTTACCTTACCTCGTCTGGCGACGTACCTTACCTCAAGTAGGAGCCAAAGTGTAGTGCACACACCCGTGGTGGAGAAGCTTGCTAGACATCACGTTTGTTTTCACGATACCAAGTCTCGCACCTGTCTGACTTCCATTGCGTTCAATTGATCTCCCCTAAAGGGGCTGCCTACTTGCCTGCCCCTTAAACTTTTACATCCATACACCCCTTTCCTCCTCATCCCCATGGGTTGCGCCCTTCATCGCCCTTCGCTCATCGTCGGGAAACTAAAAATTATGGAAAGCCAAAATCCCTTATGAAGAGAGGCTTCGGTCTGAGCATGTCCCCCAATCGTTGTTTGCTACCATGCAATAATATTGCCCATCTTTGTATTGCCGGATCAAAACCTCCTCCGGCCCCCCCCCCCCCCCCCTGTCTATGCTCGTTACTTGTAATCCCCTCGACGTACCTAGCCGTGGCTGTGCCTTGGCTTCAAAAGAAATGTTTTTTTTCGTAAAGGACAGACACAAAAGAAAAGGAAACTGCCCAGAGGGGCGTTCCGTTTTATACACATCCAACTTCTCGCTGCGCCCAAGATGGCTCAAGGATGGTCAGATCTCACGTTCCCCCTTTGTCTCTGATCCAGGCCTCGGTGCGAGTGACGAGTCCGAAGCCATCGGGTTGCCGGTACGTCGTCTACTATCCAACCCCCAACGCTGGTTTCCCATTGTCGAACGAGAACATGGATGTTGTCCACGCCAATGCTGCTGCTATTACCAGAAGTCGAAGAGAATTTGCCCCCATCGTCACAATGCCGTATGTACTGGACTTGCGTCCGATTGAGAAAAAGAAAAAGTCGTCGAATTAACTATGTGTTGTACCGCGAATGATAGACCGATTCCTGTCTAATCGTTTCGTGTCGTCATCGTGTTGCTGCGCATCGATATGTGAGAAACTCTCGAGTGGCCTCTTGAGACCAACGGGATGCAAGAGCAAGCCTGGGTCTATGAGTATGTAGAAGGACGGAGGACGTAGTCGTAGAGTTCGTTTCGGATCGCAATTGGGCCAAAGCAAGTCGATTTCGTTCCGTGTCACCGGCCGTGCCGTCGTCAATGCAATAGCGCAATTAAAGCAGCCTCGTGAGCGAGATTTACCGAACTCCTATGGCCGGTCTCGGCCCGAGACTGCTTTGGCTGCTGTGGGCCGAAGGCTCGGTGTCATTCTGTGATTCACCACTGCCCGCGCTGGCGCTCGCACTACCAGTCAGACTTCTCATGTTCTTCTGCTTAGGTGGAGGGACAAGACCGCTCACCCCGATATGTTGCTCAACCTGCTGTGGCGCGACTGCGTTACCATGGCCGGGAGGGTATCGGGGCACGGGCTGACGCATGCCGTCGGGAGGGGAGGGACGACCGTTCATCGGAGGGCCGTGGTATCCGTTAGGCGGCGACGGTCGGCCGCTGCCACCTCGGATCGAGGGACTGTAGGGGTTTCCGGGAGACTGGCTAGCTCGTCGCGGAAAGGCTCCGTTCATGCCCATGGCCATGGGGCCTCCGCCCATGTGCATCTCGTCCAGACGTGAGGCCGTCAGCGAGTTGGCTCTCGAGCCTGCCTGCATCGTACCTCTGTCAACGGCACCGTATCGATTCGATGAGTAGGAGAAAAGGGGATCGTCCAGGATGTTCTCATTCGCAGCAGGGATACTAGCAATCTGGCTCGAACGATTGCGTCCAAAGTTGGGACGGAATCGGGAGGATCTGGCGGGCGGTGCCCCTCCAGCATCGTAAATCTCGTTCTTGTGGTACTGAGCACGGCTGGGCGGTGCTGCGGCTGCGGCCTTCCGGTTCTTCCGTGACGTAACGCTCATCATGTCGAAGTTGTCTGGGTCAATCATCGGGGCTGGCGGTCCAGAGTTGGGGTCGAAGTAGTCGTCGTCATCATCCTCCTCGTCGAAAACCTGAGCGCTGTTGCGCATCGGGTGGGGGCCTCTCCTTGGGGGAGGACCCCTCGATCTCATTCGCATCTCGCGCTCTCTCAGTGCCAGCTCTCTCTGACGCAATTCCATCTCACGCTCGCGGATCGCCAATTCGGAGCCCTCAGGGCCATGACTGTAGCCAGGTTCTCCACCTTCCGGGATATCGTCATACATCATGAGATGTGAGAACTCTTCCAAGTCGTTTCCTTCCATAGACCCGCGTCTCGAAGCAGCTCTAGATCCCGGAGGAGGGGGGCCACGTGGGAAGCCGTTGGGAGGGCCGCCATTCATGGGAGGTCGACGCATACCGGGTGGTGGTCCTGGGCCCAAATTTGATGAGTTGCGCGGGCGAGGTCCTCGGTTCGGTGGCATGCCATTGCCATTCATCATGGGTCGGGCACCGTTTGACGACGACATCCTTGGGAGGGGTGACTGAGATGTGGGCGAGCCGGGAGGTGCCATTGTTACATCGATAGGCTTGGGCGGTTTCTGGCGGTTGACAATATTAAGGTTATGCAGAATAGCGTAAAGCGATTCGATGCGAGGGACAGGGACGCGGGCCTCTTTGGCCAATTTTATCGGCGAGCCCAGATACGTCTCGACTTCCATCGGTCGCTTTGCGATGTAGTCCTGCCACATGATGCTCTCGGGGTTCGTGGGTTTCGTCATTTCGTCAATGGTCTTTTGTTTGAAGTCGGGAGACAACTTGCAGCCGTGTGCGTCTGCCAAGGCAAGCAACTCGTCAATTACGCCAGTTACCATATCCTTCACACCAACTTTCTCAAGCAGTTGAGCGTGGCTCGCTGTCTCAAAGATGACGCTTGCGGGGTGGAAAGCAATAGGTCTGTCGACAAGTTAGCAAGTCTGCCGAACAAGATCCATCCATACTAGGACTTACCCAATGACCCGCTCGTACTGCTGCTGACGGATGTTCTGGGAAACTTTGCAGTCAACCTGAGCCGTGTTCAACGTCATTGCCAATGCCTCGGCCATATCCCCCTGGATCGCGCCGGGAATGTTTTCATTTTTGCAAGATGGTCCAACCCAGATTTCTGTTGAGCCCTTGTGTTCGAACTCGCTTTGGCCGAGTTGGGAGAGTTCGGCATTGGAAACCAGCGAAAGCACAACGTTGGTAGGGAATCGCTCCTCAATAGCGGCCTCAACACCGAGAGTGTGCGTCGTGTTGACGAGAATGCACGTGTGCTGAGGGGTGACGACGGCGTCAATGACGGCGGCAAGGTCGTAAACGTCGGGCAGAGCCTTGATGCAGAGGATCACATAGTCGAATGGGCCACCGCCGTGTGCGGCTTCTTCGGGAACGCGTACGACTATGGGTTCAGACTGTCAGCAACCTTCATATCACCTTCTCGACCACTGCCGATTGGGAGCTTACCATGTCGCGGCTTAAATCGTTCGTTGCCAAATATGGGAGACCTGCCAATGTTTGATTAGACGCGCGCCCGCAGGAGAGAATAGGCGACGTACTTGAAGGAAATTCCGTATTGCGCAACGTGATCGAATCCCGACTTCCACACCAGTGTAACGTCGCAAGCATTCGTCGCTTGTAATCTCCATGACAGAAAGGCAGAAACTGGATTCCCTCCCACTACACAGGTTTTCATTAGCTCGCTGTCGTCGGCCATGCTGAATTGCACTCGACACGATGCAAGAGCACCGGTCCCTGTATTGACGAGTACTGTGTATATTAAGAAGGAAAAACAAAGAGAGGGGAAGAAAAACGAGTGTGGTCTGCGATGGGAAAGGTGTAATGGGGGAGGAGAAAAGCCGGGCTGACGGATAGAGATAAAGGGACACAAAATTCCGATCCACACCGTCGCACTGATGCAAGAAGAAGCAATTACTGGAGCGAGCGGGCGGGAAGACTGGAAGCCAGGAAAGAAATGGGACGCACCTGAGAGGATCTTGAGCCGGGGCGTCATGGGTGCCATGATGGGCCCAATTGTGGATTAGCTGGTGGGCTGGGCCAAGTGGTCGCCTGCTGTACCCTCTGTACACCTCTTTTTCGCGACAACGCAGACGGCTTCTGGGGCCTTGTACAACGACGGCGAATGGAACAGCAACCAGCGTGTGGCTTCGTTCAATCGTCGATTGCAGTCGAATTAGGTGTAGCGACCTGTGTATCGCACACGCACAAGTGGTTGATTGTTCCTTTCCTGCTTCCTGTGTTCCAAATCCCCCTACTAGGCGTAGGCGACAGCAGGTCGGCAGGTGGGCGCGTCTGTGGGTGCGTCGGGCGTCAGACCCATTCGACGCTGGCAAGCGTATCGGGGCGTGGATTTGGGGCGACGAGGAAATGAAGCGATTCGGCGACGGGTCGTCAGTGTCTCTTGGTTCTGGTAGTCTGGTGGCGCAGGATCGAAAACCAAGGCTTCTCTCGATGCAGCAGAATTAACGAACGTGTCGCCTGTAGTGGCTAGTCGAAGTCGGGGGCGGCTGGTCGAGCTGAAGTGGGCTAACTGAATGGACCCTTGGAAACGGCGAGACGATGCAACAACAACAACAACGATAGCAGCTGGCTTGGAGCACAGTCAAGAGAAGAGGGTGGATGATGCGAGGTCGAATTGGTACTTGTCGACAGATTGCGGCAAGGTGAATGTGTGGGAGTGTGAATGTGCAAGCAACTTTCTGTCTATGTAACGAATGGATTGGCTGCCCCGAGGTGGTGTCGTGTTTCGAAGACTGGCCGGTCTTGGGGAGGACAGCGAACGGGGGGCGTGATCGTCGAAAGGAGATGACGAGGTTTAGGATTACAAGAAGGAAAAGGAGACGGGTTAGGATTGAGCTGTCTGTCGTTCTTTTCGTAGGACAAACACAGTCTCGCTCGGTGCGAATAAACAACGAGGAGGATATGGAGGGAAGAGGTAAGGTAGAGAGGGCAGAGTGGTTAGAGACTGGGACGGGATGATAGAAGGAGGGTGAGTGAGCCAAAGGTGGTGGAGAGCGGCAATGGCTGGAGGAGGCGTCTAAAAGTAAAGTAGGAGAGGCAGGTACCAAGGGACACGCGAGGTACCTCGGGCTGTGCGGGAGGTGTGTAAGAAGCGTGGTGTGTTTCGGGCAAAGACACCTCTGCGGATGCCAGCGAAGGAAGTCACGACCAGGTAAAAGGGAGGTAGGGGAGAGTCGTAGGGAGGTGCGGTGACAGAGTTGGGATGATGGGATGAGGAGAGAGCCACGCGGTGCCAGCAAGCAGGAGCAGGAGCAGCAGAGGAGAAAAAAAGTCTCCAGTGTGGCCGTGCCGTGCGTACGAAGGTAGTGCGTACGACGTACGTGGGTGAATTTGGGGGAGATGGAGGATGAGGTGGGCGGCGTCTGCGGAAGGCAGGAGAAGGACGGGAGGGACATGGGGGGGGGGGGGGGTTCAAGGAGGACGGGCGTGGACCGTGAATGTAGGCGCCGGCGATGAGAGGATTGTCTCTTACGGTAGGCACCTTAGGCACAGATGCTTGACAAACTACCAAAGTACTTCCAATTGACTGGCGTCCAATTCGGTATACGTAAAGAAATTCACTGAGACAGAACCAGACACACAGTCAGGCACTTAAGGTATCGTAGCAGAAAGAAGGAGAGAGAAACGGGCTGAACGAGAGCGCGAAAACAACTCTCAAGCAAAAAGAGACAGAAAACAAGATGGAGACAAATATTGACATTTCTGGGCGTCTGTCTCAGGGCGAATTGGAAAGAGAGATGGGACAGGCCGGGGTGGGTGAGTTTAGTTCGTCACTCCAGTCTCCAAGCAATAACAGACAGACTCCCAGTCAGTCAGGCACCAGTTCACCGTTCTAAACGTGGACGGATGGGAGAAAATGGGGACGGGGAGAACGGATGGAATGGGATGGGATGGCAATCGGATCGAAAGTGGGTTGCAATTGGGATGGACTGGACTGGACTAGGTAAACTAAACTAAACTGACTGGGACCCGGTGCATATTGAATTGGGGCAGCATGACAGGCCTTCTCAATCTCTCTCAAATCTCTATGCCTGTCTGTCCTATCTGCTGCCAACTGACAGGCAGTCTGCCTCCATCTCCTGTCACCATTGCCGTAGGCCGGACCGTAAGTTTCCTGTACCTCATTTCTAAGCTGCACTGCGCGTCTATCGACAAATGCATAGCTCGGAGGAAAGTCAAGGGAGAAACGAAAGAGAAAGAATTGCCGATGGTTTCCCGCGTGTTTGATTTTCCCTTGCCAACGCCTTTACCTTCTTGCAGTAGGACCAATAAAGATGTAGGTACTTTGGGGAGATGCCTCTCCTCTCCTCCTATCTGTACTGCGTGCAGCATCCCACCAAACGTCGGTACCCATCCAATAGTCAGATACGTACCGACCCGGGCAGATAGTACAGACACTGGCTCCGTTTTGTTCTTTTCTCCTCCCCGGGAACTCGGGAGGCATTTTGGGCCCCCATGGGTATGTTAGCCAACATTTGAGATGTGCTACAGTCTACCGAGTACCTCCTTGCTGCATTCGCAGAGAGGCCCCTTCCCTGTACCAAAATCTCCGATCACAGAGTGTCCTAGTAGCAGTATTTGTATGACAAGTACTTGGTCCGGCTTGGGGTCTTTAAAGATATTGAAGGAACCCATAGTCCCATACATCTACGGATACACATTGTAGCGACCTTTCAAGGGGCATCTCATCGCGCTATCCCTCCTTGGCGGTCTAAGTACGGATAGGTACTCGAGTAACGACACCGCCGGCGAGCGCGCGCGGGATCTTCCACTACTGGCTCGGGGGTCTACGTGGTGGTGAGTTGTTGACTGGATCGGACATGTCCCCCCTGTTTGGTCACTCCTGTGGTCAGACTAGGCTGGATTGGATCAGAAGCAACAAGAAAATAAATGGCTTATGAAATTTGCACCGGGCGATAAGGAATGATTCAACCCCGTCTAAACCCGACGGTCCGAATGTTACCAACTGGATCATCAAGTGAGGCCCGAGGGAGAAGGAAAGAGGATTGAAGACGATGTGTGCCCGAGAGAACGCAGGACCGACAATTGGGACTCAATGGCTCGTTTAAAGCAACTGAGGTTGAAGCAGGCAGTTTGTGGGCAGCCAGCATCTGAGGACGGGTTGGATACGAAAAAGAAGGCATGCATCCGTACTTCCGAAGTCGCTGCTGTCAAGCCTGACAGGGCAGGCTACAAGGGGCGAATCCGACGAGCCAAGTTAGAATGACAGAGCGACGCAGCACTACAGGGCCACAGGGCGTATTTCGTTGCGAGGTTCCATTTGCTGTGATGCAATGCAGAAGCAAGGCCTTGCAGCGCAAGAGCCGGGCAAACAGGGCGGGCGAGTCGGAAGTTGGGATGCCCATGAAGAAAGAAAGAAATGTCCAAGCACAACGCTGCTGTATCCGTATGCTCCAGCTTGGTAAGGGTTAGGCAGACAACGGCAACCCTCAGACTGCTGCAGCTAAGTCAGCAAGAAAATGCAATAAGGCAATCCCCCATCCCATTTCGTTTGCAGGCGAGGGAACAGACACCGGAGATCTGTAAGCAAAGAGACGGTCAACATCCCACCTCTGCTCGTCACCAGGATGTTAGCTCGGTGCCCGAGCGTTGGTAATAGAGCACGCCTGGCAGATGTCGGACACTATCCCGCCGGTCCTCCATCCTCTGTCACTGATCATTGATGTGTGTGTTGTCGTGCATGTCGTGGCGTGGCTTCGGTAACTCTTCTGACTATCTTGCAAGTTGCGCGCCGGAGGTCCGAGCCAGAACAACGCAACGACCAACCTTTGCAGTAACGGGGTTCGCCGCATGTCTTACAAAGTTGAGAAGGGGATGGCATCCACCCGCCATATTCGCAGCATGGCTTGATACCCGCAGATCTGAGGTACTGTACGCAATAGTCTGTCTGTCCCCGGCAAGGTCAGCAATCGGTTCGTTCTTTGGCCAAAAAGAAAAAAAAAATCGACGGAACCCGCAGACTTGCGTGTTGAGGCACGACCAATAGCTGTCAACAGCGACTGCCAATGCGACGACACCACCTCATGCCTCAGTGTTCGTGTCGCGGCCATTGGCGTGCTCACTGCTCAGGGGTTGGGCAGAGGGGCCGTATTCTGGTATTCTAACGTGGGGCAGAACAAAGGTATACGACGCAGTCAACGCACTCTCAGGACACGGGAACACGTCAAAATCGTGCTTCCCCTGTGGCTGTGTCCTCTTTAGCGTGGAACCACGAGCCCGCAACCTTCTGGTTGGATTCTTTGAGGTGGGGAGCGCGAGGGCGAGGGTCTGCGCAGGTGCGGTACGGACTTGGCGAACTGTTGATCTCCGTAAGCAAGCAGACAGATGACAGATGTATTGACAGGCAGGCCTACGCAGTATGTATCGTTAGGGAGATCAAAGGCCAACGCGTTTGACAGGACAGGTAGCGTATCCGTAGAAGGCAGCGTGGTAGCCAACCTCAAAGTCTCAGGCGGGTACTCGTTGGTGGCGTGCAGGATTGCTTGACGATGCAGATACTTCCCACGTCAATCGGCGGGCGGGACGGGACCGTTGAGAAGGCCTGGCGGACCCGGCGGGATCCGGGTCTCCGTGGGAAACCGATGCATTGGGAAAGACCCGACAGCACCAAAGGCGGTTAAGGCAGAGAGCAACCCTGAATGCCTATAACTTTGTGTCAATTTCACAGACGGAAGAACGATGTCTCGGGCCACCTTTTTTGGGTTTCTTTGAATTGAGTTTGCTTGGCAAGAGAAATTTCGTGTGCCTGATGTGGAACGGTTAATCAGGCAGCGGCATCATGTCAGAGCAACAGATTGGATCAAGGTGACAGGAATATCGAGGCGATGGTTGAGCTTGTCCTGATTTTCCATGCTTGGGAGGGTGTTTGTACAATGGAAGGCATTGGAAGTAAGGTCTCAGATGGAGTACCGGTACTTACTTACGCCTTGAGAAAGGTAGGTACGAATACGTGAAGGCACTTGCTCAGGTTGTTCCTTCCAGAAGGCGAATCCACTCCTCAATCAACCCGAGGTGTCTGAGAGAACGGATGAACTGGGAAGGCGACTGCTTGGCCAGGTGCACCCCAAGGTTTCATAGATGAGGAAGGCTGAAGCAAGTCAGAAGTTCAATGAACATGATGGGGGGGGCTCTTTCCGTCCGAACCACGGCAAGACGTTGCCAATTAATCGTCTTGTTTCGTATCTCCTTCCCAAGTTCTCTCTAACTATCGGGCAGGCAGTTGCGACGGGTGTCCCAGTCTTGGGGGCTACCTTCCTCGCACCTATCTTACAGTACCTAGATATTTCGTAGGCTGAAGCACCTTACTCGAGGACATTAAAAACGGACCGGCGAATCTCCATAATACCCTTTCCCGTCATCATCTCATCTCCTATGTAGCGCTGCGGCGCTGTACTGTATCAAAAACGGTGCCATCCAACGTCCACGGTCCGTCCGACATCGTGGGCACGGTCCAGCATCCACCATTCCAACATTTACAAACTCCCAGTCCCAGTGCTCCGTACTAGTACCCCCCAGCAGCTCATCATCGGTCATCCACATGCCAGTCTGTGGCCAGCTCGGATTCCTCACGGCAACACCTCAGCAATATCAAGTGTCAACACATCTGATTCAGCGGGAATAGCAGAGACTGCCGATACGTATCTTACTCGCTAATCATGGCATTCGATCCGTCCACATCATGGCTCAATTGGGTCAAGCACGAAACAGGTATTTTCTCTTCAACTCCTCCTTTCTGCACATCGGCCGGACCTTCGGACGTGCTGCCATGATCTATCGACGGGAGCGCCTTTCTAACCAAGCTGGCAGGCCGCAAGCACGACCTATCCCACTATTTTCTACCGCCTCTGCCATGGTTTTCCCTCTTTTGCATGAGACGACGGCCGAAGCCAGCCTGGAGGGACCACAGATGCCCGCCTGCTTGCGACCCTACCGGCATGGACTGGTGGAGCGAAATCCCCATCTCTTAAGACTCCAATTCCCCATCCTGCCTGGCGGTGCTTGTTGCTGGCGTCCCATTCCTTGCACGGTCCCACTTGGCTGCCAAGACTGCCAACGGGATGCACAATAAAGGTGGATATCACAGGTACTGGAAACACGGCCAAAGACCTTTCGACGGCATTTATCCCCGTTGATAGACCAAAGTTACACAACACCACGACACCTGGAATACAGACGAGATGAAGACGCATCCCAGAGTATCCGTAAGACAGTCCAGCACTATTGTCGAGCACATGACGACTTATTGACGACGTATCAGCATTCGACGCCAGCTGTTGTTGTCAACTTGCATTCCATATGCCATCAACGTCCACCTAAAACATCCGGAGGCCATGCCGTTGCTCGGATACCAGGCCCGAAGTTATGGATGAAGAATTTGGATCCGCTTGCCTCCGCCTGAGGTGCTCAGCCATCCGACAGGAGAACGGAAACGGACATTGAAGAATCAGCAGCTTACAAGTTGCTGTCGCTTCACTCCAGCTTCATCTTGCGCCGCACTGGATATGCGTTTCACGCAAACAAATTACAAAGCAGCCTTCTAGGCTGGCGAAGGTTCGCTTAACAGATTTGCATCCTGCTGCTGCTGCTCAGGCCCAGAATCAGAATTCGGCTGCACCAGCATTGTTGGATCTTCGATCGCCCATCGTTCCATCCCAATTGCACTTAGACTCCGCTCCACTCCTTGCAAGTCAAAAGTGGCGCCTCAAATCGGTACGCCGCACCCCAAGGAAAAAAAACTCCATCAACAATCCCCCTGGGCCCTCCCACATTCCCACAACCGCTGTTTATTCCGAACATGATGAGCACAAACTATATCACCAGCCTCAGTGCTAACCATTGCAACCTGTCTCTGTAGGCTCCGCATGCGCCTTTCTCGTGTCGATGTCGCCAAGACCCGGTTATACCATCAGGGCGCAACAGAGGTCGCACAAGGTATCATGCAGCCCGTTGCCGCTCTGCCTTGATACGGGCCATGTTACAATGCAGCAGCAGCAATAATATCCCATGGCCCCCCACTGTTATCTATGTATCTTCGGGCCTCTCGACCGCATATCAGCAAAACACGCTCGCAGAACGGAGGCACAGCAGAAGTCGCATCGGAGCCTAGAGGCTGGAAAGACCGCCAAGCAAGGATGAGGCGTATCCACGAATATCAATATACGCGTGTCTATGGCTGCTCGCCGCGTCTTTCGGATAGCAACCGCACCACCTTGTACGAATATAGGTTGTCGGCGAGAGCAAAGAAGATACCAAAGAAAGGCGATCCGGAGCCCCGGCAAAAGATGATTTAGGCTGCCCCATTTGTCAATCATACCCCTGGCTGTCGGCGTGCCTGGCGAGCCCGGCCGCGGGATTGCAAATCAAATGTCTTTTCAAGCTTCCCTGCATGCGCTCCCGACAGGTTCCCAGGCCTGACGAACTTGCGAAGATGCACTTTGGCCGATTTCATCTACCAGGGGTCATCAATGGATGGCAATCGCAACAAGCTACTCCGTACGGATACTTCGCGACCAAAGGCCCAAAGACGCCTCGGACAGGAGAGCAGGCTGACATGCAGGCATTCTGCGGCCCCAAAGCAACATCAGGATTCGGTTGTTTTCCCGGCCATGTGTGTTGCTGCATCTCAACCTTGGAAGGGAAATTAGCAAGAGACCATCCAAGATGCCAAGTTGTGGTGAGGTGCTTGAAAAGGTGTGCCGCGCATCCCTGCAGCTGAGTCGCCTTAGCACCAAAGTTAGACACAGCTTGATATGGCCCCCCGAGACTCGCCATCCTGGCCTGTCCTCCACTGGCACCTGGCTAGGCTAGGGAAAGCCCTCCGTGGTCGTGGTCCCAGGCTCTTAGCAGCAATCCTTCAGCTGCACTGGTCTTGTCATCAGCAATTCGTCATATTGGCACCCGTCAAATCATCGTCTGTGCCACCTCCCTCTTTTTCTTGACTCGAGCGGCTCGATTTTTGGAGAGACAGACAGGACGCTAGCCCATGCTAGTCGTTGATGAGCTCCGCGACGGGAAGACTCAGGGGCCAAATTTTCTCTCGGGATGTCAAATCTTCAGCTGTCTAGGTCCTTGCAAACTTTTCCAACGCCGCACCGGACTTGTCTTCTCAATCGCTCTCGAAATGTTTGGATGACCAATCGTCTTTTGCTCGATGCTGTTGAGCTCGCGGCGCGGCCGACTCATATCTCAAAGCCCAGAACACCGTTGTTTCCCCCACTTCTCCCGGGAGAAACCCGCTCTCAAAGGCACGCGAACTCGTTTTGCTGAGAGCTATTGCCCCCTGACCAATCTCTATTAAAAAGTTGACCTTGTTGATGGATGACGCACCGAATGCTACTCACGGACGCTGAACGTAACCTCTTAGGGCGACAGGCCGCGCCACAATCATGGATCCTCGTCTATATTAGCCGTCCTCTTAACGCTCCTCCCAAAGACCCAAAAACAGGCGGCTTCTTCGGGAACAACGCCACGAGCTGCTTAGCCAAGACACGGTCTCGCGCGTTCAATGCAACCGAAAGCCGTTATCAAACCCAGCCAACGCCGGTCGTTCGATTCCTTTTATGCTCAGAGCCGTTCCTCAGTTCGCAGGAGCGGCTACGGCAAAGAAAAAGCAAGACATCGCGGAAGGGGGTTGAGGCTGAGAATCAGCATCTTGTCTGCAGCCAGCCGTTAACGCGTTTCGGCAATACGAGTACGCGCTTGTATCCCTTGGCGGCTGCGTTGCGTCCTTCGCATAACGCAATTTCTTAATCCAATGCTGGACTGTGGTCGGAACCACCTTCACCGCGGCCTCAAGTCGAGTGTGCTGCTCAGCTGAAATGTCTATGGATCGATCATTAGATGATTAGAGTCAGACAGGCCAGAGATGAGCGTTGACTCGGTGTTATTGGCTACCTGTCGCCTCAATTAACAATCCTTGTCATGAAATTGGCGGGACACTGATCGACCACCGCTCACACCGAACGGAACATCGGGCTTTCCCTCAGCAGCGCCTATGTCTGCCTATCTCCTGAGTCTTGCATCGTTTGGATTGATATGCTTGCAGTGAGGGCAACTCAGCAAGCAATATTCAGGCTGCTTTGGCACCTTGTGGGAAAGGGCACATTTGTCGGCTGGTTCTAGTCCAACCTTTGCTTCTCATCTCCAATATATCAGTCGTGACCCGGCCGCCGAGGGCCCTAGGCGCTCTGTCTTCCCTCGAGCGTCGACGCACTTGTCATTCGCCTGGATTAAGAGCGAGTTACGCAAGTGCCGGCAAATCAATTCAATCTGGAACCTGAAGACTCGGTAGAACCATCAGCCAAGTGGTGCCTGGATCTCTAATCCGGCTAGATGTGTGAAAGGAGATCTCCAAGGTGGATCAGCGAGTGGCACAAATGTTGTATCCGTACGGATACATCGTCCATTCCGTGCGGCGCTGGTCAACAAGCCACCGGATGGCGCATGGCATCCTTGCTCCGGCTTTCTTTATTGGTGAGGAGACTTTGGCCTGTCATAAATGCTTGCTTGCCGGTCTCCTTTCACTAACGTGTCGTGGCTGTGCTGTGCCTGTACATGCCGAATCCTCCAAAGTTGGCAACGACATCAGCTCGCGTCCTCAAATGGGGATCTAGATTCCTATCTAGATATTGCTAGTGTGGCGAACACTTCTCGAGATTTCGCGATTTTTCTGGGGTAAGACCGAAACGCGTCCCGCGAAATCCTTCAACTTGGGACAGAAGCATTGTCGTCAATCTGTGGTTTCCAATGAGACGGTCCCAGATCCCAGACCAAAGGGCGGCCCAAACTCTCCGGTCTGGCGGGGACCTTGCTGTGAACTGGGGTGTTGTCGACGTTACAGTACCGCCCTGCCGTTACGCGAAGAACCAATTCCAGGACCACGCTCAAACGACAGGTCGTCGTCAACCCTGCTCTCTCTCTCTCTATCTTCGATGCACTCCCTTCCCTTTTGCGATTTTGAGGACGTTGAAATGAGTTCAGGTCCCCCCAACGCGGCCCCCCAGACTCTGCCTACTGCATCCTAATGCAACGAAGATCATTCAGCAAGGTCACGGATGTCCACTGATCCGGCTCGTTGCGATATTGGCTTCATTGGCTGTCGTTCGTCGCGAGACCTACGGCTCAGGATTCGACTACTGGCAATATGGCCCGTCGATGTCTGCTGGTTGGGCTTGGAGACTAAGAGCAGCCTTCAGTCATCTGCGCTTTGCCGCCTCAACTCCAAGCATGCAGTAAAGCACCACTTTGCTCGTCCATGGCAGACTCAACCCGAATACGCTGATGTGAAATTGCCAGGACCAAGTTCGCCATCCCACGTACCGTGTAACGCCATATGTTGGTCAAGAGAAGGAGGCCCTGACTTGCCACACCGCATATCTCCAGTCACCTCACTTGGCCGCCGCCGGTACATCATACTCACCAATGAGATACTAACAGCGAACGTGCCGGGCCAGGCCTCTGACCGCTTCCTTCAGCTTCAGGGGATGTAGGTAGGGCTCAGAATCAAATCCTCCGATTCGACTGCCTACGACCAGCGGCGACGGCTGTGTCGTGCTTGGATGCGAGCGGCCGACGGGATTTTCTCTGTTTCGGAACCCTGGATGAGAGTCTTTTTTGAACGGGCGAATTGCTGTTCGGAAACACGTGGCGTGGTGTTGGCCGGCGGGAAGCTGCAGAGTCGAGGACTTGGTCTTGTCTAGTCTGGTCTGGCCAAGGAAGATACGTCAGACGGCCGAGTCTTTGCGGATGCCTGCCTCTGTGAGCTCGACTTGAGGCTTGGCGAGAATGAGGTTCATCGAAGACGCCCGTAGTATGAGCTTGATTCCCGCTAGCCTCGGTTTCTCACTTCATATGTTCAAGCCCAACATCAAAGAAGAGAGTAAGGTCTTTCAGTCATCGGCTTGTCTGGCTATTTCTGTTGCACTGCCTCCGATCTTTCTTCTGATAGGATATACTAACAATAGTATCAAGCATGTTGTCTTGATGAGCAAGTCATCTAGACAACATGCCCACCTCTGAGGGCCTATCTAGTTTCCCTGAGGTCATCTCCACGACTACCTTCCTAAGTATGCAGACGCAAACCCTTTTCATGGGTTTCAAGGTTGTCCCTAGGCCTGTTCACAAGATGGAGACTTGTCATAGGTTCTTCAAAGTATATCATTCTCTCGGGTGAGACTCCTAGCATTTGAGGACCATTTGAAAGCGGTTCTTGAAGAGATGACGTTCCGGAACTGAAACACTCTCGTCCAGACTGATGGTTCTCTCCTTAATCTGATAGAAAGTCAACCGCCTTAGGTGCTGCCCATCTCCTATGTGTACGGTAGATGGCACTGGACGAGATGAAAGTTGGATGTGTCGGTAGGGGCAGTGCCGCAGATCCTGGGCTCTCTTGTCCCTGAGCTGGGCATCATCATTAGTCTCATGATAGTCGGATATCTTGAAATGCCCCAACCCCTGCTCGTGTGGCATACGGCAATGGCTGTTTCCAGGCGCTTGCCGACTTGTATAATCCCTCATCTGACTCAATCCGATGCTTAAGGCTTTGATAAGTGCAACTGTTGGAATATTGGCAGAAAAGGTGGATTTGAAGGTAGTCTGGGCCGTTGCAAACGGCCCTTCTACCTACTTATACCCAACGGAGGAATCGTAAGCTACGCCCACCAACTTCCTCCTTATATATACGTAGTTCAATGCCAAGATTATTGAGCTTCGTACATGGCCCTCAGGCTGCCCTGCTGAGGAATATACCAACAGCTACTGTTGCCTTCTTTATGCTTTGGTGACGGCAACTTACAATTCCTGTTTGGTCGTTGGCGAATAGCTAGCTAATGAAGTGAAACATGCGTTGAAGATTTCTGTCCATTATCTCGCTGATGATGTCTAAGTTCTGGCTACTAAACCAAATTGGCACTGCCAGAACTACTAAGGTACATACAAGTGATGCGATATCGTCCTTCTCTACATGCCCTACGTAAGATCCAAGAGTCTCAATGATACACGACGTTCCTTTCCAACTTCCCATTACGGTTCTGCCCCTTCAATGATGTCGCCGCACGATACTGGATCGCATTCGTATCGCCAGTCCGAACAGGAGACATTGTCAGCTTGACAGACCGTGACAGCTCTCCTCGAAGCGATGCCCCCGCCAAGCTGTTGAGACTCTGACGGTCGATACCCGACAAAATTGAGAGGCCGAACCCCCTGCCCAGGGGCTCTGAGTGAAGCATGACGATCAGTCCCAGGATGATAACTATCAAGAGTGGCTGGATAGCAAGCACCAGATAAAGCCAAGGCGATTTCCGCAGCGTTGGTCGGCTGTAGAATATAGTCTGATCGGCTTTATCGACTCTGTACTTGTTTCGGACATCTTTGAATGAGACATTGGTATTGTACGCCAGCACCCAGCTCATCGAGCTTATGTTGAACTCCTCCGAGTTGAAGGGCCCATAGCCTTTCATGAATGCGTTCCTTGACCACAGCATCGCAGCCACTGACGTGGCCATATATGGCTTCCTCCAACGGGACTTGGGGCCTCTGTTACACTCCTTGCTATCTCCGCAGAAAGGGCTTAGCATTTCCATCAAAGGGTACATGTACCAAGACGAGAGTGCGAGGTTTGTGTAAGTAAATGGTAATTGCTGAGGCGGAGGCAACATGTCGTCGTCGCAAGTGCCGTTCAGCAGCGGAAAGCCACCTCGAGTAACTGACCAAGTTCCATTGCATTGCTACCGGTAGATTTTGTATAGATAGACATGTTTCGAAAGGGAATTACAGTCCAGGCCACTTGGTGCCAGTCCAATGTACTGTATTGATTGGTCGGACTGAGCTTCCTGGTTCATGAGGGTGAATGACCACCTGTTGAACATGTTTGTGGTGTCGGTTTCCAGGTATTGCTGCTCCGACAATAAGACGCGAACTCGCTTTCGACAGTTCTCGTCTTATTCAAGGTGGCTACTGTCCCGATCACCGGTGCAGTGATGGTCCACGATTCGCCTATTGCGAGATGCTCCTGTATTTTGATTACATAGTCTGCCTGGAGAGTATCAAGCGCCGCGACGCTTGTTTCATTTACCAGCAGAATATTGTAGCCATATGCGTGCGGAAGCGGTGGCAAAGATGGCTCAGAACCGTTTGAGTTCAGCTTCGTGGCTTCCCGAAACGCCGTGGTTGCGTTGAAAAACCCAGAGGCCCCGTGGAACGAGAGTATGCCGGGCGGCTGGAACATGCCGTAGTAGGTCTTGTTGGAGATGTAGTCAAAGCTGTTGATCTTCATCTTACTCTCGCCGCCAGTGAATGTCTTGTACGCGACACTGAGAGCAATAGGAAGCGCCAACATGAGACTGAGAGTGACCCTCCAAGAGATACCGAGTCTTGAGGCGGTAGGCTTGTTGCGCAGAAGCGCGTCGTAGTTCTGGACGGTGGACTCGCCATACCTGGCCTCGATGAGCATGAACAGGGTCGGCGTGATGCTGCCTAGGCACAAACTCATGATGCTGAGCAGGAATCCGACGACGATGAGCTGATTGTTCCTGACACCAAGATACCAAGAGATGTATTCATCGGAAACCACAAAGATTCCAAGGGCGAGGCAGATCAAAGACAGTACAGCCGTGCCTAGGTCCGAATAGTAGATTCTCTTCTTCGTTGTCGGTTTTCCAAGCAAAGTGCCAGGCCCTTGAAGAAAGGGAGCTCGGGATTTAAATAGGTCGCTCTCACATCGAGTTTCCGGGTGCATACTGCACAGCCTGATCATACACGCCCGGATAATTGCAACTATTTCTTGTCTGCTGTTGTGGAAAAACAGGCTCTACGAGCCTTAGCAGTTGATAGAACCATTCTCAACGACCTATAGTCTTTTAACTCGATGCTTAAACACTTCTGAATCATGTCTAAGGCATTAAGAGCTGAGTAGTTCTGGCAAGGTCGTGGTTCTAGTGGGGTGGAGGCCAAAGACATGCACTTTTAGTAGTCTTTTGCATCCTATCTGAAGCCGGAAGCAGCTATGCGAATGACTCTATATGTTTTAGAAGAAAAGCAGAGGTTTGTATTATGCATCGGAGTGGCCGAACTTCTTTCTTGTGTCTTATCCTATGAAGTGCTAGATGGCGTTAATACATGTAAGCACTTTCCGAAAGAGTCACCATAAATTGTACATTAATCCGAACCTATTCATTTTCTATTCGCTTAAGTATGATATCAAATAGATTAAAAATAGAGAAACATTAGAGATGGATATATTGACGCTATCTAGCAGTCGCCGGGATGGCTGACGTTGCGCTGGGCGAAACATGAAAGCTCAATGACCCAATCCAAATCTTCTTCACAGCAGCTATGACTGATATGTCAAGTGGGATTCCCTTTTAACTTTGAATATGATTTTGATAAAGGTAACTCCTAGGTTAATTGGCTCAAAGTAACGAGCTACAAGCGACAACGTTGGTGAGCACTGTTGTGGTTGTCACGATGACGGCTGTCAGTGTGATCCTGATATCCCGTCTGTTGAGCTTCAACCACCACATACGACCATACCCATTGGAAAACTCGGGATCCCGTCCGCTCTCCCATAGATAAGCCAATGAGGGCCGGATTAGTAGTTGGGTCGGTGACGACCAGCGAATACCTGGTGTTGTATGTTTTGTTTTGCTCGTGGTGTGACCCTTTTGATATTAGACCGTCTGTATCATATGCAGTAGTCACATGCTGTGTTGTGACATTCCAGGCATCATGCACGCTTCGCTATACCGACAAGAGTGTTTCATGCGAGTAACCAGTTGATCTACATCTGTGATTTTCACCTCTTCATCTGGACCCATCTCAGTTCAAGCTTCTGGTGGAGACAAGTCGGTATGTATGTATGCTTGGCCCCTTCCGGTCCCTGGCAGCTTGCCTTAGTTCCTACTAACTCTCAAATCCCATTGTCCTGATCCCCAAGAAGTCTCCTAGAACTTGGAAGATACGGCGGTTTCGCGAATAGGCAGAGTGATGCTGTTGGGATAGGTATGGGGAAGGCAAGTGCCCATGACCTTGCTACCAGACTGGCAAACCCCTCAAGTCCCAAGGGTCGCATGGAAAGAGAGCACTCAGAGCCCTACAAATAGTCAGAAAACTTGCAGGGTAATAAATATACAGGTAGGATACTTACTCCAATTTCCGGCTAAGTTGTAGTTGAAGTTGCGGTGAATGGTTCCAAGAGCCATTCTGAAGAAAGTTCGCCTCGGGTAAGGGTTCGAGCCAGAACCAACAGCCAAGCCGTTGTCAACACGAGACAGACCCGGATCGCCGTTACCGCGGTCAGATTGTGCGCCAAAGTTGACGAAGACGTTGGCGTAGCCGGTAACTTGAACCTCGAGATGGACGTTGAAGATACCGTTACTTCCGGTGCTTCTCCATGCACGGTACTCCAGGCGGTGATTACGATCCGAACCGGCCCATGTTTTCAGGGGAAGCTGTGAAAGACTGGGGTTTGCGCCATCAAATACGTGGGCTTCGATGTCGCTGCGAAGGTCGATGCAAATGGCGGGGAGTTCCGCTGGGGCGCCGCGGTAACCGACACATGTCAGGCCTCGCTCCTGCACCAGAGGCTGGAGAACTGGAGAGCATGAAGCCAGAGTGAGGAATAAGGCAATGAACCAAAGCATATTGAGTGTTGGATGTAAGAGTGTCTTGTATGTGTAAGAAAGAACGGTGTGAGTTGGGCTTGAATGTCGAGCTGGCGAGATTTCTCTGAAGAGTTGTCGTGATCTGGGAGCTTGAGTGCACCGCTATATATCTAGCTGAACAGACATGATGGAGTTCGGCATATGCACGCGGAACAATATCTTCGTGATCTTACGTCTCAAATTCAAATATGTGACTTTCGGGGTTTTCGACGTTGAATATTCACGCTTCTCCCCGATGCTGCCCAGCTGGGATATGAGGCTCATAACACGGGCCTAAAAGCGCCCACAGCTAAAGGCTTATGACTTGACTCGAGTTGTTAATTGTCAAAAACCTTGATTGCTTTTTACGTGAGCTCATCTATTCCAGAATCTTTACTTCTTCTGCCTTTCCTAATGGGAATAGTGGCTATTTTCAATGGAATCTTTCGGACTCTTAGTTCGGAACTCGGAGCTCAAAAACCGACTCTCTTATATGATCACGAGAACGCAATTAAACTTACGCTCAATACAGCGACTGCTTGCGAACGGAACCCGCGGGGTTCGCTAATCCTGGAGTTCCCTAGAGCCAGGCATATAAGTTCCAAGTCGCTGTTTACTTGAGGTCTGACCTATAACTTTTGGTGCATCGCTTCATTCATTTCAAGACAACTACGCTCTCTAACCACGTTCACTATCTTCTTTGGTCCAAGCCAACATCTTTGTCAATCACAGTCAACTTCCAACATGCGTTTCTCCGTTCTCCTTGTCATGACTCTTTTCTTGTATGTCCCTAGTATTCCTACCTGATGAATCTTAAGCTAATGTCGCTAACGATCGCCAGGGGTCTGTCAATGGCCGACATGCACGACTACTGCGCATGTCAATATAAAACCAACTCAGCTGTCGACTATGCCGCCACTGATCTGTTGGCCGGTGACTGCAGAAATGGCTACACCTATGGTAGGTCTTGCTCTTGCCAATTGGAGTCAGGCAGCTTACAACATTTAGGTCAAAACTCAGGGCAGTTCTGGATTGGTCGGTCATCTGGTTCAGGACCGAGGTTCCAAGGGCGGTTTGCAAGTTCAAGTCCGGCTCAATCAGTTGAGTGCAGCGTGCTCAGCCGCAACGGCATGACTGACTTATGACAACAGCTCAAGGCGATCAGTGGCCAGATTGATGGAAATGAGTTCTACAATAACTGCAAGAGATATGCTGCGAATGATGCGAGCTGCTTCAATTACGACTTCAAATTCGAGTACCCTGATGGATCTATCCTGTGCCGATAGTGGCTCGACTTGAATAGAGTCAATTTTCTCGTTGCTTCACCCGTCACGGCCCGGGCCACCCGTTCACGTTCAGTCCTCCTTGGTATTCCACATTCGCCCTCCTGAATACTGTTGTAAGTCTTTGGCGTGTAAGCAGATTAAAGTGGTTTCGCAAGGGTGTTTCCTTCATGCCCGTATGCTTTCATGACATATGAGTTGTTCATCTGCTGTGCGGATTATGTTTCGTAGCTCTTGTCTAGCACTCAACAGCAGCGAGTTTGGTTGGCTGAATGTTATTTCATGACACTTTGAGCCCTTTCCGACGAGCAACGCCCCACTAAGCTGGGGGCAAGATCCTGAATCCTTGCCGCTGGAGCACACCCGCCCTATGAAGATCGACTACAGTTACGGTTGGGGAAATCAGCCAAAGCCTAATCTAAATGTGTGGGTGTCACCCACACCTCTCTACTCCGTACGTCAGTTGCTCAAGTTGGGCCTGGAACACCGGGACCACCGGACGCTCCGGGCGAACCACCGGGCCGGCGGGCCTTATGAAAGGTGGTCCGCTCACAAACAAGTCTGACGAGGTAGACCTTACACTGCTACAGCATGTGAAGCTGCAGTCATAACGGAGGAAGGGTGAACACCACGATACATGTGAAAAGCGAAAGCGAACGACTCACTAAGCGAAGAACCGATCGAAGGGGTACAAACTGTGTGTTACATTAGATAAAGCGAATCAATTCACGGCCAATTGGAGATGAGAAGCTTATGCTGAGCTAAACGATACCGATGTTCAACCTTTGAGTCGATGGTGGTCAAAAGTTTCACAGGTGAACCATTGAGCCACACAATCTTGCAAAGGTTGATGATGAGACATCCGAAGGCCTCGACATCATTGAACGATGCACCTAGTAGGGCAACTTCAACGATACCGATAACACGTATCTAAATTCAATTTGAGGGTTTGGCAAAGATGAAGTTCTACCGTACAGAGCGACCGGGCTCTCAGTCTAGAATCATCAATCAGCCCAGCTTCCTAACTTGCAACATCTCAAGGCGACCAATGCGTTATATGCTTCTTCATGTTCATCATGACGGCGAGCTACAGGAGTCTTCATTGAATGAAGGGTTCAGTCCTCCTCCGGCGTGGAGTCAACCGTAAAAGTATACCCGCCTTCGGCATCAGGCTTGATGTCTGAAAGACAGTACCGGGGCGTCTTCATACTGTTTGATGATGCGGTCAGATTCAAGCACCGGGATTAATAACATGACTTTTTCTTACCTCCATAGCCAGTTTGCCATGCACATATTCTTGCAATTTTTCGCCAGCAGAGCGACGTAACTCTTGTAAGGCGTGTCGTCGAAGCGGCGAGCACAAGCTTCAACGGCGTCGTTGAGCGCAGAGACCTCGTGCTCCAGGCGAGCCACGGCGCCATCAAGCCCCTTTTGAGCATCGCCATTGGCTAGCAAGACGACAAGGTTCTCGACAAATCCTTCCTTGAGCTCCTTTCGTAGACTTACGATGTCGTTGACGATCCAGACGATGGCGACTGCAGCGCGGTACAGCTCACGCATCTCAGGGGATGCCATGACCTCCTCGGGAAGGTTGATGCCGTTGGCAAACTCGAGGTTGACTGCCACCTGCATGATACAGGATGATGCCTCACGGTATCCGAGGTACTCTTGGAGCGACGTGGCCCTGCCAGCATACCGGTTCACGGCTTCTTGTCGGTAGCCATCGAGGGTGGCAGTAGCTTCTTTGGCGATGCGTTGTCGATAGCTGTAATTGTCCCCGTTTGCCTTCATGACGGCTTGAGCGTACTCTGCAAATGATACGACGGCGTCGTGGTCTCGGTACTGCGGTTGACTGGTCTCAGAGGTAGTGAGGAGTCCGAGGCTACGGTGAATGAAGTCCCGACAGTCGGCCAGAAGAACATGCAGCGACGCGAAGTCGAACTTGTGCATGAGCGAGTACTGGTCCAGCATATCGTCGACAATAAACATCCAGGCCTGGAAGGAGGTGAGGGCTTCGATTCTATCGCAGGATGCATATGGGTACCAGCCCGTTAGTTGCTTCGATAGCATGGCTTTTGTTAGACGTCCGCGAACAGCATCGTTTACTGCGTGACTAGTACATTGCTGTCAGTGGAGCCCCAACTATCATCATCCCATCCTCTTACCTCTCGATGATCTGGAGAATCTTGCTATCTACAGCATCAAGGCGTGGATTCTGGTCTCTCGGCCAATCTTTCATCAACCGGCCTAGGTCGGGAATGCGAATTTTTTGCCCGTGGAGCTGCAACAGCATCTTTTCGCGAACCCCATGGGTACGTTGCGGCAACAAGTCATTGTTCCGAGTTTGGTGTCCCTTTTGGGTTGATGATAGGGCGGGATGAAGTGAGAAGGGTGCTGCGGCAACTGAAGAATGAGACATTGTGAATGTAGACTTGATGTAATAGTTCGTTAGAAGAAAGGTCTGGGAAAGGTTGACACATGTGGGATGTCTATGATGCCTTGAAAAAAGGACAGGTCCAGTTACTTACTTATGTCTCCCGCGAGTTGTTGGTACCAAAACAGCTACATCAGTCTGCAGCCTGCAGGGAACTTTTGTTTCTCCACCGCGAGGATCGTTTATAGGACTCTATTACGAGGTTATCGGACCGAGCCCAATGTAGTATCTAATCGCACTCTAAAACCGCCCTGGAGCGCTTGAAGGACATGCTGCGATCAGAAAGCATCAGGATAAAACTGCGAGTCCGTGGCGTAGACTGTAGTTTCCGCCTTGCTTATATTTGATTCCGCCTTGAATCCAAAAGGCCGTCGGCCATTATACGTGTTATTACAGGCAAGATACATGTTGTAAATATCAAAATATCCATGGTGCTGATCCAATTCGGCGAGCATGTCGTCGACCGTGATACTGGCTGACTGCTGCCAAGATTTGAAGTAAAACTATGTGGTGGGGCTGTATATAGACTAAGTAACTCCTCAAAGTCAACTGAGGATTCAAGTTGTCCGCAAGTATGTCCATCATGCCTGCTGATCATCTTCGATCGCCTACGCAGACCTGAAATGTCCTGCTTGCAACCTTATCGGGGCCGGGGCCGAGGCGATCTGGGTTGGCCGTCTCCATTTCCGTGGAGCTTAATGACAAAGGTTGTGCACACAGTTAAACGAGTATTGGTGTTTTCAACGCCGTTTCAGTGCTAGAAAAGAAGCTTTGAGGGAGATAGGAAAAGCAACGTACGGGCATTGGTAGACATTGCGAGGAGGTCGCTAGCGCCATGGGGGAGCGCGTGGAAAGCATGGAAACGTTAGACCAAAACTTAGTAGAAATACAGTGGCCAATGTGTACAGACGGAAGTGACTACACTTCGGCCCGCGGGCACGTCCGCGATTGACATACGCACAGATGTCACTCGAGCGCTTATACTGTAGGCGGAATCGAGCTCCGTGCAGGGCAAAGCTAGCAGTATCTTCCTACATATTGGAAAGTTAACACTTTGTATCTTTGCCCCCATCAAGTATCGTTGATCCATGGAAAAGATACTTGACGGGGGGGACGGAAATTGGGTTCCCGTCCCTGGCCTCTCTCTTCGCGGGGGAGACCCCATGAGCAATGATTTCCCATAAAGGCATTTACCTGAAGTTCGTGATGTCGAGGAGGGGGCGTGGACTGATTGTGAACGGTGATGCGGTTAGGACTCGGACATTGAAGGGATATAGATCTTGACAAATAGAAGGTATAAAATAAGATATGCGCGAGTAAGCTTCCTCGTCAACCAACTTATCTCGAATATCAACAAGAACATTGCTACCATCGTTGCCGCTGCCACTGCATACAACTTGTCAACTCTTCCTTCTATTTTTCTGTGCATTCAATACACTTATCAGCTCAGATCGGAAACATGACCACCGCCGCTGTTCCCCCTAACCTCAGCAGTGGCCACTTCTGGCTCGGTGCCGGCAACGGAGCCAAGAACGGAGCGCCGGCGCAACAACAACAGCAACAAGATGTGGAAGTCCCCAAGATTCTTCCTCCTGGAGTGACACAGGCCGGATTCACCAAGTTTGCTCGCCAAGTAATTCAAGCAGTTGGAGGAGGCGAAAACTTCACTGTCATCACGGCTGGCTGTGATTTTGAAGGCTACGAAGATGATGACTTTGGCCGCAACTGCCGCACCCACGACTACTACCGCTCCTTTGACGACGAGTGCGAGTTGGTGGGCTCAGCTCTGTGTCACCCGCGCAGCGTGCAAGATATCCAGGCTGTTCTTGCTGCTTGCAACGAGTCAAAGGTCCCCGTATGGCCCATCAGCACGGGACGAAACCTCGCGTACGGTGGCTCGGCACCGAGAGTAAGCACAATAACCTGTATTAAACAGCTCCCGCCATTGTAGACTGACGATATCTCAAGGTTCCTGGATCGCTGGTCATGATCCTGAGCACGCATATGAACCGTATCTTGCACTTGGATGAGACAGCGTGTGTCTGCATCGTCGAGCCGGGTGTCACTTTCATGCAAATGAGCGAGTAGGTTGCGGTCATCCCATCAAGATTCTCAGAAACCGAGAGACTGACAAGCTTGCCACAAAAAAGTTATCTGCGCGACCGCGGTCTCTTGGACAAGATCCGAGTAGACTCGTCAGGTCTCGGATGGGGATCCATGATTGGCAACGCCCTGGACCGCGGAGGTGGTGCTTCCTTGTATGGTGACAGATGGGGAAAACACAGCGGAATGGAGGTCGTCCTGCCCAACGGCGAGGTCGCCAGGATGGGCATGGGCGCGATCCAGGACCCGGAGGGCCGAAAACAGGCGGAGCAAGGCGTTCACCCGGCCGATCAGAAGCTGAATGAGTGTTTCGCTCTGTTCCCGTACGGTTGGGGTCCAATGAATGATGGACTGTTCTCGCAGGGCAATGCTGGCATTGTCACGAAGATGGGATTCTGGGTGAGATGCACCGTCCAATGAAACCCGGCTCAGTACGACCAAATCGTCAGAAATGGTTTGCTGACAATTTTCATCATAGTTGATGCCTGCTCCTCAGGGCATGACGCCGTTCTCAGTCACTTTTGAGAGGGAGGCCGATCTGGCCGCCTTGGTTGACTGCATTCAACCCCTTGATCTCGTAAGTCCATGGCCCAGGATTCAAATCGTTGCGTCAAATTAACTCTTAATTCTACAAAGAACGGCACACTTCAGAGTTCCGTCAGTCTGCGCAACCTCACGCTCGAGGCTGCCCACTATGGCCCTAGGTCCAGCTACACCAATGCCTCTCATAAGGAAGTCATCCCCGAAGAGGACTTTGAGAAGATGGCCAAGAAGCTCAACACGGGCCGGTGGCGCTACATTGGCGCCGTATTCGGTTCCGACAAAGTGCGCGCGGCTCTCATCGAGGATATCAAAAAGGAGTTGACAAAGGTCCCGGGCAGCAAGTGGGCTACGCTCGACGAGTGCCCCGGCGAGCAGAACCTGGTTCGTGTCAGAGCCACGTACCTTCAAGGTATCTCGTCCATGGGAGAGTTCGCTTGGATGAAGCAGTGGCTGCCCAACTGCTCCGTCATCATGGTCGCGGCTATTTCCAGACTGGAGGGTAAGGCCGTGTGGGAGCAGTACTCCTTGGCAAAGGAGCTCTTCGCCAAGGCGGGCATCGACTACATCAGTCACTATGTTGCATACTTCCGGACTATGCGTAAGTATCCCCTTGATCGTAGGCTCGAAAGACTGATTCACATGAACTGACATCGCACTTTCAGACAACGTGTGCATCATCCCGTATGACAGAAAGGACAAGGACATGCGTGGTCGCGCGCAGTGGCTGGGCCGGACCCTGGTCAAGGAATGGAAGGCTCGCGGTTGGAGCGTCTTCAGGACTCACGTGGGTCTGATGGACCAAGTTGCGGATGCTTATGACTTCAATAATGGAGCCCTGTGGAAGATGCATGAGGAGATTCACGACACCCTGGACCCCAATGGCATTCTGGCTCCCGGAAGAGGCGGTGTCTGGCCAAAGTGCTACGACAAGGACGCTTGGATGATGGGAAAGAAGTACATTGGCTGAGTCAAGCCTTGTAAATACTCGAAGATACGAATACAAGTCTGCATGGGTCTTCTTAAGATTTACCTGATCGACGTAATGAAACGGGACGATGGGTCCTGTGGATGGAAGAGTGAGGGCACTTTGACAACTACCGACGTGATGGTTCATGCTATAAATTGAATACTCAAAGTACACAGTTCCATCCACCGTATCTACGGACAGTTGAAACAAGACGGTCTTTACTCGAAATGGCCACCATTCAATCTATACGGAATTCCCCTCGCTGTACCATCATGTGAACCTCCGATAGTCCACTGCTTTGTGTAACCATTTCGGGTCTCCCATCCGGTTGGAATACATTACGCAACATGACATCGCCGACCTCCATTATTCCAGCCCTGCCGTCACTATTCATGTGCCAGGTTCATCGTCTAACTATTCCTGGAAAGCCGTTCGCACACACTCTCTCTTCAGCTGTCATCCGATCTACTAGAGCACCAAGTCATATGATACAGATGGTTTACCGCAGCTCTGGTTGTACGCACCAGGTTCCAACACTCTGAATGGACAAGTCGGACTCTAAGTTTTCTTGGGTTGACACATCCCATCGGTCCATGCCGCGGCAGCCAATATATTCTAAGGAGGCGGAAGGCTCAACTGAGCAGATACAGCAGAAGCCAAAGCCTCAAATATTTTGACCAGCCTTGTTTACATTTGTAATTGATGGTTCCGGGGCATTACATGGAACTACTTGAGTAAGCCTTGTTGACGCCCGTGGAGATCTACGGTGACCACCAGAACGGAAATGTACCAGGGTCAGAGATTCAAGCGCCAGATGTTCTATGTAGCTGTGATCTTGTGAAAGCTGCTCGATTCGGAAGTTCTAAGAGGTCAGCTGACCAGCCTTGGATTCTGGGCATAGTAAACCTTCATCATCTTTCTCAACGGAAAGCCTGAATGTTGCCTCTGTGATAGAACCTACACCCAAGCACACCCACACTCCGAGAGACTTCCCGTCCGTACCCACCGGCGCAGATATTACACCAGATTGGACCGGCGTCATGGTTCTTCAGAAGCTCGAAACTGATTTTGATTCGCGAAATAACGTGGCGAGCCGTCATCACAGCTCGAAGCAAGTAAAAGTCTCGGCTCAAAATCCAAGTGTTCTCATTCATCCAACTACAAAGTACCTTATCTACCAGGATTGGTAACAGAGAACCCCTTAATAGGAAAATTGAAGTTGATATGATGCGACTCAACCTTACCCACCCCAGCCGGTATATACGCACTCTTATCCGACGCCTTACTAGACGCATAATCCTGCCATCCCACAAAGCCCAGCCACACGGTGCCGTTATCAGGCGTATCCGTCGCCGTGATACCAGAGTGAGAC